CACAGGTAAATAATAAAGTGCCATTAACTTTGCCCTCAATAGCTCGCCTTTCAGCTCGCGACCCAAAGAAATGACAAAAACAAAACTATAAACTTTTGCTGCTGCCCTCGTCCTCTTCCTCTTCCTCTCTCCTTCCCTCGTTCTCCTTCTCCCTCTCTTTTTGCATCTCTCAGTCTCCTTCGTCTGCTGCAATGGTGGCGTATACGTAATCTTGTTGTTTGCTTCGCGCCTTCGTTGTTGTTGTCGTTGTTGTTGTTGTTGTTGTTGCTATTGCCACTGCTATTATTATTATTTTTGTTGTTGGTGCCCAGCCTGCAGTTGGGGCTTTATGCAAATGGCGTTCAAGGATTTCGGTGTGAAAGTTGTTGAACCTCGTGCCTGGCAATTAGAGTCCAACACACTTGTAGCGGCAGTTTGGACCACCGGCCACATGTGGCACAGTGCCCCGGTTCGATGCGAGCGCCCGCGGAACTCAACGCGGCACAAGCCAGTACAAGGTGGCATATTGATAAGCGGGGAATGGGATAATAATAAGCCCCCTCCAATTTCTAATGTGCAGTCGAAAATAAATCAATTAACTGAAGCTAAAACATGGCACATGGCAATCTGGCCAATTAGCAGGGATATCTTTGGAGCAATATGGACGCAGCAGCCTGAATGGATGGATGGATGGATGGATGGGAAGGAAAAGGGTTCCAGTGGCACCCGCACACGACATGTCCGCGTATCCATGACGACGCAAACAAGGCGCCCCTCCTGCCCCCAAATTGGACAATTGGCCCAGTCGATTCCTGCAAGTAAACTGCATGGAAAGTGCACGCAACCCAGCCCACGAATGCCAAACAAATAAACAGACGAGCGAGCAGAGTGCTCGGCGGACACACACACACATACACATACACATAGACATATATACATTTAAGCTATATGCATTTCCAATATCAGCCAAGGATATTCGGCTGCGCTAAGTCCACATGACCTTCTAAAGTTGGTTGACTCTAGATGCCATGCAGGCGCGTCTGCAAAGGGGGCTGCTTTTCCCACGGGGGTGGCAGGGGGGTGGCAGGGGGGCGGCATATTTATTCGGTTAGGCAATTGCGAACGACGAACTGCAACTGCAAACTGTGCAGTGCGAATTGCAGAAGGGGAGCGGGGAATGAAGGGAAGGGCCATGATGCAAGCGTTTCATAGCCAGACAGAGAGAGAGAGAGCGAGAGAGGGAGAGAGGGAGAGAGAGAGAGAGAACGCAAAGCTCTGGGCCATGTGCACTTGCTGCACGAGTGTTAGAAGCCACCCGTCGTGGCCAAGAGCAGTAGCAACACCCGCCGAAGCCGAAGCCGAAACCGAATCTGAAGCCGAAGCCGGAGCTGCCCCAGCAGCAACACTGGTAGAGGCTGCAGCAACATTGGCTGCAAGCCAGAAGTAACAGGAGCAAGAGCCATGCTTGTGGCAACTTCAGAGGTCTGTGCAACATATGCAAGTCCGATCGATGCGAAATGCGGGCCAAATAATGCCAATAAGTAAAGGAGAATAACTGTTTTCCCGTGCATGTCAGCCAGCAAGCTTTTGGGGCAGCCAGGAAAACCCACATATCAATCCGCAAACACGCTTACATACATATGTTTGTATGCATGTATGTGCATGCACGAGCATGTTGCCGATGTTGCTGCTGCTGCTGCTGCTGTGCTTGCAGAGCTCGTGGGCTCTTGTTTTCGATTTCGATTTCTGTTTCGGTTTCGGTTTCTGTTTCTGTTTCGATTAGTGTGTTAGTTAGTTGGGTTTCTTGAGCAGCGACTCTCTTCTGAGCTCTCCGCTGTTCTCACTTCTCAGTTCTCTGTTCTCGGTTCTCAGTTCTCAGTTCTCGGTTCTCGGTTCGCGGTTCTCGGTTCTCTGGGTTTCTGGGTCTGCTTGACAATTTCGCTACGCGGCTGTTTTGGTGGCTGCCAGTTGCACATTTCCGTTATATCCGTCAGCCAGCAGTGGCAGTGGCAGTCGCAGTCGCAGCCGAATCCGAATCCGAAGCGCACACACTGCGTATGAGTAATATTCGCCTAACGAAACCAAAACCCAAAAACCAAAAACCAAGCCAAAAACACAGCAAAAATCCCTAGTTAATCACGCAACTGCACAAAAATTGCAAATGAATAATCAAAGAAAAGTCAAAGCCAAGACTTTAGCGGAAAAAAATTAAACAAAATCAAAAACAAGATTGAGGTGAGAGGGGAGTGGGTAGTGGGGAGTGGGGAGTGGGAAGTGTAGACTGTGGAGTGCAGAGTGGAGAGTGGGGAGTGGAGAGTGGGGAGCAAGTGCAGCGCTGCCAACGGCGACGGCGACTCAGCAGCGGTTCGGGCTTTGTTTTGGCTTCAGTTTTGGCCCAGCAGCTGCGACTTCAGTTCGATTCGTGATTCGTGATTCGTGGTTTGCAGCTCTAAAGGCGCGCTAAGAAAATCTCGGGAAAACAGCTCCAGCCAGCTGAACAGCAGAACAGCAGAAGACATATATTTTTTTGAAGTGAGTTCGAGAACTGAGTGTTGCAACCAGCAAGCAATGTGGCAGCCCCCAGCTGTAGTGGGCCACTGAAAGCAAGAGTGGAGTTCAGTGGAGTCGGCGGCAGAAACGGAGAACTCGCCGAGCCCAGCAAACAGAAACAGGAGCCCCAAGACGTCAGGCAAACGACAACAACAACCGCAACAGCAACAACCGCAACAACAAGCACAACAACAACAAAAACCAGCTATGCCTGGCCCGGCTTTGTGGTCCGGTGAGTGTCTTTCCCCTCTTTTTGCAACAAGCACAAGTCTCGTTGGAGCCGAAGCACGGTTAACGGTGCTCCCTCTCTCCGGCGATCGACGTCTCTCTTCGGAGAGCAAGATCTCGGGCGCGAGAGAGCGGGTCTGCAATTGCAAGTTGCACTCACTTCCGCATGCCGTCTCATTCTCGCGCCAGCGATCCGTGATTCAAGAACCCCGCGCAGCAGCAGCAGCAATGGCAGCAGCAGCAACAACAATAAACTTTCACTTTGACAGAGTGGGAGAGGCAGGGGGAGGCAGCACGTTGGCCAAAGGCTTCCTGGCATTGCAACTTGCCGCTGCAACAGCAGTTGGGATCAGGTCTTAACACATTTGCTGCTGCTCCCGCTGCTAGGTTGCTCATTATAAAGTCGTAAGCCATTTGCGCTGAGTGAGTTTGACTTTGAGTGAGTGTGTGTGTTTTGGTGTGTGTATGTGAGTGCAAAGCAAAATGTCAGTGAGCAATAAGGAAATGAAATGTGCGCCAAACAATTATTGTGTGTTGTTGCCGTTGTTGTTGCTGCTGGCAGCAGTTGAAATCGAAAGTGCTTTCAGACAATGGTCAACGAACGTATGGAAAGGGCATTAGAGGAAGAGTGTGGGTGTGGGTGAGTGTTTGTGTGTGTGCGTGTGCGTGTGTGTGTGGTGGTGTAGGTGCGATGCGAAAAGTAAAGAGTAAATAGATAAGTAACATAAGGCGAGATATAAGCCGCATTTCTTTTGACCATTTCGCAACCGATGACATTGCTTCCAGTTCGAGTTGAGCTGTCTGATTGGAACTCTTGTCCGTTCTGTCCGTATTTCCCATATTGTCCGTTAAACTCTGTCCGTTTTCCCGTTCGTCCTGCTCCCTGTTAGTTTTCCCACTGTTGCTGCTCTCGCTGGCATTACTGCCTCGCTTTTCCTTCGCTTCGCCGTGCTTTTCGCTCGTTGCGACGTTGCGCAATCGTTTGTCATTGTCCATTGTTGAGTGGCTGCCGTCGTTGTCGCTGTCGTTGTCGTTGTCGTTGCTCTAATTCAAATTAACTTTTACCTTTCCCCACACATTTCCACCCCCTCCCCCCTTTCGGGTCCGTCCCCCTCTCTCCTGCGGCGGCTGATCGTAGAACTCCGTTCGGTGAGAGCGGGATGGCGCGCGAGCAGGAAGCAACAATCTATGCTGCAAGTGCAACTGCCTCTGCCGCTCGCTCTCTTTTGGCGGCAGGAAAGTGTGTGCCCCGCAAGAGCTTTTGCTCGGGCAGCCCCCTTGTGGGGCTCCTGCCCCCAACCCACCAGCCCACCAGCCGCCCCACCTACTTTGTTGAAAGTGCAATGGCACAGTTTTGCCCGACAAAAAACACGAAGTGGAAGGAGGAATAGGAGTTAGCATGCAAGAGTGGGAGCTTTTGGGGGAGCTAGGAAAGCTTTTCACTAGCAATGCCAGAGCTCCAACCTGCTCGGCCCACCCCCTTTTCACCCTTAAGCTCGCCGGTCAACGTCCACAGCAATACAGCAATAGAGCAACAAAAACACAGCAGCAACATATGCAACTCGCACAGCTACATGCGCAACTTGTGCTGCTGGTGTGTGAATTCTAATTTGAATGCAATGCTTAGATAAGGGAGCAACAGAGATGGAGCTACAAAAGAGAAAGACAGAGGGAGAGCGAGGGGGAGAGAGTGGCAGAGTGGCAGAGTGGGATAATGGGAGAATGGGGGAGTGAAGTTTAGTGGTAGCTAGAATTTAGTTGCAGTTGCAATTGCGATTGCAATGAACTCTAGCCGATGGCCGGAAAAGGGGGTGGGAGTTGGATGGGGGAGTAGGGTGGGGGTTGCTTGTAAAAGGGGAGAGTGAAAGAGAGAGGGAAACAGAGAGTGTACGAGCCTAGTGGCTCTGCTGACGTCGCTGCCAAAGCATAACTATGACGTCGCTGCTCGCCATCGGTTGTGTGTGTGTGCTTATGTGTTTCTGTTTGTGTGCTCTCAGTATTTTTTGTACGTTTTGTCTATTGGTTTTCATTTTCGTTTGCTGCCGACGCTGCGGCGACTTCGACGGCGGCGTCGGCGCTTCTAATGCCCGATCGCGATAGACAGAGAGAGAGCGACAGAGAGAGCGAAAGGTGGAGCGAGTGGGGCCGGGGGAGTCCACGCCTGCGCCAACAGCGACGCCGGCAGTGGCAGTGGCAGCGGCAGCAGCAGCGTTTGGTGGCTGCTGCTTTCTTTCGCTCGCTTACTCCTTTTCAAAAATTTCATTTCACTTTATTTCGTTCGCATGTACGCACGTTGGCCGCGGAGCAACATCTCCCCGAAACAAACCCGAAACAAAAAAAAAAACAACAAATAAATAACACAGCAACAACGCGGCAGCAGCCGTCGCACAGACGCGGAACTTGGCTCGAACTTTAGTTTAGTTTCAGATTCAGTTTCAGTTTCAGTTTCTGTTTCAGTTTCAGTGGAGTGGCCAATGGCCCAGTGGCCAAAGTGCGGCGGTATCGGGCGAAACGGTTAACGCTAACGGTTGACGGTTGACGGTTTACGGTTAACGGTTTACGGTTTATGGCTTACGGGTGACACCACCTAACGGTTAAGCACGGGCTGAAACCTTTTTTTTTACTGTTCTCAAAGTTGATGTGGTATTAAAAAAAACATCTCGATATATGTAAAGTATATAGGCAAGAATCGAAAGCCAAGAGTGGTATGTGCCCCTAGTTTCGACCCAAGACCCAGAATCTAAAGCGAAGAACCCCTGACTCCCTGACACCCTCACACACATACATACATATACACACACACACACACACACACATACATACATACACACAAACACCCACCCACACAGCCACAGTCTCATTTGAATCTCAGTCTCATTTCGAGGATCAGAAGAAAGAGGAGCAGCGACATCAATCGATTCAACCGATTCATTATGTTTATATATTTTTTTGGAGTGACTTAAGTTTTGGCAATGGACGCAGACTTCTTCTTCTAATCAAACGTTGGCGTGTCAGAGCTTCAAGCTTCAAGCTTTAAAATAAATATAAGAAGAAGAAGAAAAAGAAGAAGAAGAAGTTGATGGACAAATGGACAAATGGTTGTTGTGATCGGAAGTGTCTTCTGAAATGTGTTCGAAAATCGGTGTTTGCCCCGCCAAGATGGCCCCGCACTCTCTCGTCCTCCTCTGCCTGCCCACCTAGAATCCGCCCAGATGAATGCCCAGCAGCCGCTGGTCCTCGAGCCCAAGGCGAGTGTGGTTGCCTCTGGCGCTGCCTCCGCGGACCCGGAGGCGGCATGCAACACGGAAGCGGCGTCGGCGGCGGCGGCAGCTGGAGCTCTGGATGTGGCGGCGGCCTCCCAGCTGAACGGCGGCCACGAGGAGCAGCGGGTCAATGGCAACCACGGCTGCCGGCGAAACGACCGCGAGGATCATCCGGAGCAGGACGACCCCGAGCAGCTTAAGGAGGTGGCCAACAAGCTGACCATCATCAAGACGCCGCTGAACAAGACGCTGCTCAAGAAGTGCACCAGCAACGGCAGCCTGCAACTGCCGCACAGCAACAATGGCAACAGCAACAACAACAGTAATAACAGCAGCAACAACAGCAGCAACAGCAGCAGCAGCCGGAACAACAATAGCAACGATGTGGAAGGCGCCTGTGATTCCGGTTTGCAAAGCGGAAGTAGCAATGAACAAGAACCGTTTGCGAACGATCGGCACCACCACATCTACCACCACCACCACCACCACTACCACCACCACCTTGGCGGCGGCGGCAGCGGTGGCGAGAAGAACGAGGCGAGCGGGGATGTGGCGTCCTCGTCCTGCGCGGATGTGGCGCTGGTCAAGGAGGAGCCCGCCGCGCGGGATCACGACAATCACCTGGAATCGGGGGCAGATGCAGCAGCAGCAGGAGCCGAGTGTGCAACCGGAGGAGCTACGCCTTCGACGGGAGCAACAGGAGCAGCGGGAGCAACCACAACGTGCAGCCCCAGCAAGTGCAACAAGTGCAATGCGCACAACAACAACAGCAACTGCAATAATAACAATAACAACAATACCATCAGCAACAACAACAACAACAACAGCAATACAAGCATCAATACCATCAACAACAACAACAACAATAACAATAACCATTACAACAATTACAATAACTATTATAAGAAAAAGTCTCGTATGCCGCCCATTTGCCGTTAGTATTGCATCCATCTATATACTCTATAGCTCCGTAAATCATACTTAATCATAAATACGTAAGAACACAGCCAGCCCAGTCAGCCCTACCAGCCCATCCACCCACCAGCCACCCACTAGCCACCCCCTGGTAACCCCTTGCCCCTGGCCCCTTACCACTTGCCACCTACCACTTGCCACTTCCATTACTTATGCTCTCCACTCTTACCAATCGAAATTTCAGTCGACAAAACCCAAAAAACAGAAAACAAAAGTGCACTAAACTAAACTGGAGCGACCGACAATTGGCCAAGAAAACAAGAAAATAAAGACTAAACTCCCCACCCCAAAAAAGCAACCCCACCACCCCAAAAGCACCCACCCGAATAGCACCCACTGGAATGCCTTCTGCCACTGCCACTGGCTATCTGCCACGCAGAGGACAGACGCAGTCTAGATGCTTCCCGAACGAGTCACAATAATACCAAAAATCCAAAAGAACACTAAACCCAAACCCAAATCAAAACCAAGAGCAAAGTCAAATGAAAAAGCGAGAAACCCACAACCAAAAACACACACAAGCAAATGCAAAAACAAAAACAAAAACAAAATCAAAAACAAAATCAAAATCAAAAACCAATTGAGAAACAACATCGGCAAAACAAGAAAATCAGCAACCATCGGCAAAGAAGAGAATTTTTTGTTTTTATCCAAATTTGAACAATCGGCAAAGACAAGAAAAAACGAAATTATGACATCCATAGGTAAATTTGTGACTATATCCCAACCAAAATCAAAAACAAAAACACCACACTAACACTAGACGTTTACTATAGAAGAGGTCCACGCAGATTCATCCGATCGCGAGGTTCACTTGGCGGGCGGATGTCCCAATCCCCCCCAAGTTTTCCTCTCGACAACCGCTTTCCACACTCCCCCCAGAGCACAGTTATACTCGTACCAATTTATCTAACCAGTTAATAAAATAGTGTCTTCTGAGATGGAGAACTTGTCAATGGGACAAGTTACTAAAGTTGTACTAACGAACAATGCATTTTACATAATAAAATATTGGAATATATTACATATAAGTTATTATATTTGGGAGTAAGACCCCCATCAGTATGAAAGTATTGAAATTAGCTCTAAGCTTTAACCAATTGCATACAGCAGCTCTCTATTGCCACCGAAATAAAACCCCCCACCACCACACCCTTCATCCTTTCTCCAAACTTTCTACCCGTTCTCGCTCGTTCTGATTGGATCTCACTTCGATCGAGATTGAATTAGCCAAGGGGTAAGATGCATCCTGCATCCGGGAGATTGGGGAGCAGGTACCGCAGACACTGCAGATACCGCGCCACCTAGATATATCTGCTCCCCATATGTCCGCGCGTATCTGAACTCTAGTGTGTATTCAGTTGCGTGTGCAAGGCGGCTCCACGCGCCCACGCACACAGCGCCGCAAAGATATAGACGCAGAGAGCACGCATGCCTTTGTTGTTTAGAATAATCTTGCGCTTGATAATGAAAATAGGTCAAATTTTAGAAGCACACACACACACGCACACACACACGACGACATGCCTCGTTGTCGTCGTCGCAGCCGAGTCGCCGCACGAGAGAACTTTTTGGGGCCCGAAGCTAAATGGTACGGTTTATGGTATGGTTCTCGGCGCCGCTGTGCGTGTGTGTGTGTGTGTGTGTGAGAGAGAGTGCGTGCGTGGGGAGATCGCCTCTGGATAGAAAGAGAAAGGGGGAGTTTGAGTGGCCAGGGACTGGAAACGGTCGGGGGTGGGGGTTATGGGTAGCCGATACCCAGGCTTCGGATTCCGATTCCAATTCCGATTCCCATTCGAACGGGAAATGGAAGATGGAAAAGTCGTTGCTGGGCCAACGCACCAAGTGACCAAATCGGTCAAAGAGAGACGGAGATATTGAAGGGAATCGAGGGAGAGAGGGGTGTCGAGGTGATATAGAATAGAGTGAGCGATCGAAAGTTCAACTGTTACAACTGCAGAGAAAAAAATGTTGGGAACCGCAAAGTACATCTCTCACTGAAAAGCCCGTAAATCGGATAATAATGGTGATACATCCAACTAATAAACCATTTTGGGGAGATCCCCATCCAAAAAGCTTAATTTACATTTTTTTAATTTAGGAAAAACTAATTTTGTTACATTTTGGGTTTTTGGTAAGATCAAAAAATCGAAAGTTTGAAAACAAAAATTGTTCTTCTCTGAATTGGAGATTTGTTATATATGGAAAAACTGGCATAAAAAAGTTATCCGAATGGAAATATATTGAATTTTACTGATCTTATTATCAAAACACTAGCTGAACTCCAATAAAATATAAGATTGAAAAGAAGGGATATTCCGCGACAAAGACCATAACACGGCCAATAACTGGGATATATCAAAATGACTTAAAATTTTTAATTCGTTAATTTCACACCAAAAATGCAAATTTTATATTTTAATTAAACTGTTATAAATGCAAAAATAAAAATATTTGCTTCTTAGTAGCGGGAAAAAAAGAAAAACGATACCCGAATGAAAATATGTTGAATTTGTAAAATTCTATGATCAAATTCCTAACAATACTCCAATACAATAGTGGAAAAGGATTAAATTGATTTTGTTTGCAGAAATACAAAATACAAAAAATATACAACTAAAATTTGAACCGTATTCGCTCTGTGCACCGAATTCCTGTGCCTTGCAACACACATTAAGCATTGTAATCTGCGGATTGCTAGATCGCTAGATCGCTAGAAGCTCCAGAAGGCACGAGAGCTTTGACCCACCAAGAGCTTTGACCCACCGAGAGCTTTGACCCACCGAGAGCTTTGACCCATTTTGGGAAGGAGTTCTGGAGTTCTCCTCTGGGGATCCAAAGCGAGCCCGCTGATCGATGAAGCTCTGCAATTAACCGAATTAACTGAGTTAACCGAATTCCTCGCCTCTTCTGCGATCAAATCTTCAGCTGGCCAACAACCAGTTGGTTGGTTGGTTGGCCACAAGCTCGCTGGCCGCTTCTTTCTGTTTCTTTTGGCCGCTTCTGCTTTGCGGAGGGGAAGTAAATGCAAATCGCTCGGCTATTTGTTTATACTCCATCAAGCATCAGCCGCAGACGCAACAACAAAATTCGGAAAGAAAATAAGCTTCCGCAACAAATTTATGCGAACTTATGTATATATGCAAAGCATGGATTCGATCCGATCCGATCTGTCTGAGAATTTCTCAAGCTTGCTGCGGCGATTCGCACGGGGGGTAATTGGGGGAGTTAAGCCAACGATATAGGCCTAAATTTAAGTGTGTGTTTAGTGATAAGTGGGATAAAAATATTAAATATATGAAAACCAAGGGGAGGAAGTGCGGGAAGCAAATGTTCTATGGGTACCACATTGTCCACTGTGTATCCACTCGATGCTGGCCACCAACTAACCGGGATCCTCGGGATCCGTTCCCTCTTCTCTTCTCCTCCCAACAGGAATTATGACACTGAGCCGTGGCCCGTACAGCGAGCTCGATAAAATGAGCCTTTTTCAAGACCTCAAACTCAAACGGCGCAAAATCGATTCGCGATGCAGCAGTGACGGCGAGTCCATCGCGGACACGTCCACCTCGTCGCCGGACCTGCTGGCGCCCATGTCGCCGAAGCTCTGCGACAGCGGCTCCTCGGCGGGCTCCTCCCTGCCCCTGCCCCTCCCCCTGCCCCTGCCGCTGCCCATGGCGCTGCCCCTGCCACTCGGCCTGCCGCTCCCGATGGCGCTGCCCCTGGCGGCGGCGTCCTCCTCGGCGGCGGCGGTCACCGTCTCGCTGGCGGCGGTCGTGGCGGCGGTGGCCGAGACGGGGGCACTGGCGGCACTGCGGTGACCTCGGTGGCCTCGGGAGCGGGACCCTGCGTCTCCACATCCTCGACGACGGCGGCGGCGGCCACCTCGTCGACGCCCTCGCTCTCCTCCTCCTCCGGCTCATCTGCCTCCTCGGCGTCGTCCTCCTCCTCGCTGTCCTCCTCCAGCAACGCGGCCACCTCGCCCAGCGCCGGAGCCTCCTCCACGGCCACCTGTCCCGCCAGCACCACCACCAGTGGAAACGGAAACGGAGGAGGAGCAGGAAGTGCCGGCAAGGGAGGAAGCATCAAACAAGAGCAGACGGAGATTCACTCCTCGAGCAGCGCGATCTCGGCGGCCGCCGCCTCAACGGTGATGTCCCCGCCGCCAGCGGAGCCTCCGCGCTCCAGTCCATCCACGCCCGACGTTCCCGGCGGCGGAGGAGCGCCAGCGGGAGTGGGATCAGCGGGAGCGGGATCGGGATCATCAGGAGCAAACGCAATCAGTGAACACCAAAACAACGGCAACGGAAGCGGGAACGGAAGTGGCAACGGAAGTGGCAACGGAAGTGGCAACGGAAGTGGCAGCGGCAGCGGAAGCGGAGGAAGCAGCCGCGCCTCGCCCGACTCGCTGGAGGAGAAGCCCTCGACCACGACGACGACGGGTGCCCGGAGCACGGGAGCCACCACCACGACCACGCCCACGGCCACGCCCACGAACGGAGTGCTGTCCTCCGGAGGAGCGATGAGCAGCGGGGCCAAGCTGAGCGAGGCGGGCATGAGCGTGATCCGCTCCGTGAAGGAGGAGCGGCTGCTCAGCGTGTCCAGCAAGATGCTGGCCTTCCACCAGCAGCGCGAGCAGGAGACCAAAGCAGCGGCGGCAGCGGCAGCAGCGGCGGCAGCAGCAGCAGCGGGACATGTGACAGTGCTGGTGACGCCGTCGCGGATCAAGTCGGAGCCTCCGCCGCCCGCCTCGCCCTCCTCCACGTCCAGCAACCAGAGAGATCGGGATCGGGATCGGGAAAGGGAGCGGGAAAGAGACAGGGATCGAGATCGGGATAGAGATAGAGATGCGGAGCGGGAGAGGGAGCAGTCGATCAGCTCCTCCCAACAGCACCTCAGCCGCGTCTCCGCCAGCCCGCCCGCCCAGCTCTCGAGCTCCCACGGCGGCGGAATGGGCACCACCATCGTCCAGACGCACCACCTCCACCAGCAACTCACGCAGCCACTCACCCTGCGCAAGAGCAGCCCGCCCACGGAGCACCTGCTCAGCCAGTCCATGCAGCACCTCACGCAGCAGCAGCAGCTGCACATCCACCACCTGCTCGGCCAGCAGCAGCAGCAGCAACAGCAGCAACAGCAGCAACAACAGCAACAGCAGCAGCAGCAGCAGCAACACTCGCCGCACTCGCTGGTGCGCGTGAAGAAGGAGCCGAGCGTGGGTCAGCGGCACCTCTCGCCGCACCACCAGCAGCAGCAGCAGCAGTCGGCGCACCTGCAGCACCACCACCAGCAGCAGCAGCAGCAGCAGCAGCACCTCCACCAGCAGCACCAACAGCAGCAGCAACACCTGCAGCAGCAGCAGCAGCAACCGCAGGCACTCGCGCTCATGCACCCCGCCTCGCTGGCGCTGAGGAACAGCAACCGGGACGCGGCCATCCTGTTCCGCGTGAAGAGCGAGGTGCACCAGCAGGTGGCCGCGGGGCTGCCCCACCTGATGCAGTCCGCCGGCGGGGCGGCGGCGGCGGCGGCGGCAGCGGTGGCCGCCCAGCGGATGGTCTGCTTCAGCAACGCGCGCATCAACGGAGTGAAGCCGGAGGTGATCGGCGGCCCGCTGGGCAACCTGCGGCCCGTAGGCGTCGGCGTGGGTGCCGGGAATGGGGGCGGGGCCGGTGGAGGAGTCGGATCCGTGCAGTGCCCCTCGCCGCACCCCTCCTCCTCGTCCTCCTCCTCGCAGCTGTCGCCGCAGACGCCCTCGCAGACGCCGCCCCGCGGCACGCCCACCGTCATCATGGGCGAGAGCTGCGGGGTGCGCACCATGGTCTGGGGCTACGAGCCCCCGCCGCCCTCGGTGGGCCAGCACCCGCAGCAGCAGCAGCAGCAGCAGCAACAGCCGCAGCAGCAGCAGCAGTCGCCGCACCACCAGTCGCAGCAGCAGCAGCAGCAGCAGCAGCAGCAGCAGCAACAGCAGCAGCAGCAGCAGCAACACTGCCTGTCGTCGCCCTCCGCGGGATCGCTGACTCCCTCCTCCTCCGGCGGCGGGTCGACCCAGGGAGCGGTGGCGCCGCAGAACAACGAGGAGGCCGCCCAGCTGCTGCTCTCCTTGGGGCAGACGCGCATCCAGGACATGCGCGCCCGGCCACACCCCTTCCGCACCCCGCACGCCCTCAACATGGAGCGGCTCTGGGCGGGCGACTACTCGCAACTGCCGCCGGGGCAGCTGCAGGCGCTCAACCTCAGCGCGCAGCAGCAGCAGTGGGGCAGCGGCGGCGCGACGGGCGGACTGGGACTGGGCGGGGTCGGAGGACGCGGATTGGAGGCGCCGCACGAGCCGACCGACGAGGACGAGCAGCCGCTGGTGTGCATGATCTGCGAGGACAAGGCCACCGGGCTGCACTACGGCATCATCACGTGCGAGGGGTGAGTACTAATGCAGAGGGTTACCTTCAGTAAGCCACTAGAGTTGCCACCACTAGAGGTTCCCAGAAGTTTATAGAGGTTCCCAGAGGTTCCTAGAGGTTCCTAGAGGTTCCTAGAGATTCCTAGAGATTGCAAGAGATTGGTAGAGATTCTTATAAAGATTTTAACCTGAAATAAGTGTGCATTAATTGGTGAAACTTCTGGTCAGGCTCACCCATGTCCGACAGCATTCGATTTTCGAGGTCACCCTTTTCGAGGTCACCTTTTTCTTCTCCCAACTCAGAATAGATAGATTCCAATAAAACACTAAAGTTGCAGGGAGAAGCGTATCTAGATTTCCACTTGCTAAAAACGTCCAGTTCAGGATAAACGAGTTGGCACTTGCACCTGGAGGAATCATATCATATCATATCTAGTCTAGATTGTGGAGATACCTGGGCAATAAATACGGCAACACATAATTACGTAGGTTCATTAGAACTTTTTAGAGTATGTCGAAAAGGAAAGTTCCAGCTCAAGATCAAACATTCTGAACACAGAGAGAAGAACGTAGAACAAGGAACGTAGTTCCTCATAGGATTCGGTTAGCCAATTACCACTATCCAATCCCAGCTAATCCTCTGGCCTTCTGCTCCTCTGATCCGCCAGATGCAAGGGCTTCTTCAAGCGGACGGTGCAGAACCGACGCGTCTACACCTGCGTGGCGGACGGCACCTGCGAGATAACCAAAGCACAGCGCAACCGTTGTCAGTATTGTCGATTTAAGAAGTGCATCGAGCAGGGCATGGTGCTGCAAGGTGAGTGTTCCTCCTCCTCCTCCTAACCATAGTCCATCATCCACCTCTCAACTCCCGATTCCCATCTTCCATCTCCCATCTGTTCGCAGCCGTTCGCGAGGATCGCATGCCCGGCGGTCGCAACAGCGGCGCCGTCTACAACTTGTACAAGGTGAAGTACAAGAAGCACAAGAAGACCAACCAGAAGCAGCAGCAGCAGCAGCAGCAACAGCAGCAGCAGCAGCAACACCAGCAACAGCAGCAGCAGCAGCAGGCCCAACAGCAACACCAGCAGCAGCTGCACTCGCCGCTGCACCACCACCACCACCAGAGCCACCAGGGCCACCAGCCGCTGCACGGCCAGCAGCACCTTCACCCGCAGCTGTCGCCGCACCACCTGCTCTCGCCGCAGCAGCAGCAACTGGCCGCCGCAGTGGCGGTGGCCGCGCAGCAGCAGCACCAGCAGCAGCAGCAGCAGCAGCAAGCGAAGCTGATGGACATGAAGCCCATGTTCCTGGGGCCCGTCCTCAAGCCGGAGCTCCTGCAGGCGCCGCCGATGCACAGTCCGGCGCAGCAGCAGCAGCAGCAACAGCAGCAGCAATCGTCGCCGCACCTCGCACTCAGCTCCCCGCACCAGCAGCAGCAGCAGCAACAGCAGCAACAGCAGCAGCAGCACCAGAACCACCAGCAGCCAGGAGGAGGAGGAGGAGGCGGGCAGGAGGGCAGGGGGGCGGGAGAGCGAGATGGCCGAGATGGACGAGATGGGCGAGATGGACGAGATGGGCGGGGGCGGCACAGCTGCCGCCGCACTTGGTGAACGGGACGATCCTGAAGACGGCGCTGACCAACCCGAGCGAGATCGTGCACCTGCGCCACCGCCTGGACTCGGCGGTGAGCTCCTCGAAGGACCGGCAGATCTCGTACGAGCACGCGCTGGCGATGATCCAGACGCTGATCGACTGCGACGCCATGGAGGACATCGCGACGCTGCCGCACTTCAGCGAGTTCCTGGAGGACAAGTCCGAGATCAGCGAGAAGCTGTGCAACATCGGCGACTCGATCGTGCACAAACTGGTCTCGTGGACGAAGAAGCTGCCCTTCTACCTGGAGATCCCCGTCGAGATCCACACCAAGCTGCTCACGGACAAGTGGCACGAGATCCTCATCCTGACCACGGCCGCCTACCAGGCGCTCCACGGCAAGCGGCGCTCCGAAGGGCAGCAGGTGGCCAGCAGGCACGGCTCGCCGGCGGCCACGCCCACTCCCGTGGGAACGGGCGGCATGGGGATCGGGATCGGATCGGGATCGGGATCGCCGGCGCAGCCGCTGCACAAGGACGACCCGGAGTTCGTGAGCGAGGTGAACTCGCACCTGAGCACCCTGCAGACCTGCCTCACCACGCTGATGGGCCAGCCCATTGCGATGGAGCAGCTGAAGCTGGACGTCGGCCACATGGTGGACAAGATGACCCAGATCACGATCATGTTCCGGCGCATCAAGCTCAAGATGGAGGAGTACGTCTGCCTGAAGGTCTACATACTGCTGAACAAAGGTACGTGGCTTCGATCTATCCAATGTTCCATTCCATTCAATTCAATTCCATTCCGTTCCGTTCCATGCCATTCCGTTCCATTTCGTTCTGCTGTGTTCCGTTCCGATGCGTTCCGTACCGTTTGTAAATCCAGCAGAAGTGGAACTGGAGAGCATCCAGGAGCGGTACGTCCAGGTGCTGCGCTCCTACCTGCAGAACTCCTCGCCGCAGAATCCGCAGGCGCGGCTCAGCGAGCTCCTCTCGCACATCCCGGAGGTGAGTGTTCCCACTTCACACTGTTCCCACTAGATCTGGGATAAGGGATAAGGGATCCTACTCACGATTAAACCCTTCTCCTTGCAGATCCAGGCCGCGGCGAGTCTGCTGCTTGAGAGCAAGATGTTCTATGTGCCCTTCGTGCTCAACTCGGCGAGCATAAGGTAGCAGATGCTTGAGCACGGCCTGCTGCCCACCGCCCACCACCACCAGCCGGAGACGCCGCCAGGTTCCGATACCGCCTCCGCCTCCGCCCCCGCTCCCGCTTCCGCTCCCGTTCCCGCTGCCACCCAGCAGCAGCAGCTGCAGCAGGAGCGCCGCCGGAGCAGGCAGCTGCAGCACCAGTTGCTGCGCGACCTGCCCAAGATCAAGCTCGAGATCGGGCTGCAGCGCAGGCCGGAGGAGGAGCAGCATCCGCATCCGCACCCGCACCCGCAGCTAGAAGGAGGCCCAGAGGCAAAGGAGGAGCAGTCGCTGGAGCAGGAGCAGGAGCAGGCGGAGCGATCCTCGTCCATTCTGAAGAGTTCCCTGCTGAGCGGAGCGGCGGCCACTCTGGCCACCTTGACGGCGGCCGCCGAGCAGATAGCCCGCTCCTCTTCCAGCGGCGACACGGCCAGGGACTACAGCAGCGGCGGCGGCAGCAGCAGCAGCAACAGCAGCAGCAGTAACAGCAGCAACACCAACAACAACAACAGCTGCAGCAACAGCAACACTGGCAGGACAGCAAGAGGAGGCAGTTCGGCCGGCGGCAGGATGGGCAGCAGCAACAGTTTAGAAGAGAGCAAAAGACTTGAGCATCAACAACAACAACAACAGCAGCAACCATATACATCAATACTACACACGGCCTTAATGTCACAGCGATCGATGCCTGCGGCGGCGACACTAGTGGCAGCGGCAGCATCAGCAGCAACAGCAACATCTGCAGCCGCAACAGCAGCAGCAACAGCAACAGCGACAGCAACACAGGCGGCAACCACGTCGCCCACGCCTGCGCATGTGCTGAAAACAGCGGTGACCTTGGCCACCCTAAGCGAGATCGCAACTGCCCGCCAGCAGCAGCAGCAGCAGCAGCAGCAACAGCAGCAGCAGTTGCAGGCGTTGCAGCAGCAACAGCAACAGAAACTGCCCAGGAGGATAATTAACTTTGGCACTGCCACCAAGCAACTGGGAGCGGGACTGGGAGTGGGAGCGGGAGCGGGAGGAGGACCAGGAGCTGGACCAGCAGCAGGAGCTACCACTGCAAGTGCAACTGCAACAGCAGCAGCAACTGCAGCAACAACAGCAACGCTTGGACGCAATCGCCAGCTGGGTCCGAATCCGGGTCAAGTGGCGAACGGTAAGCAGAAAGAATTGTGAGCCTTGTGTTTGCAATAACGTTTGTGAACCCCCCAACCACCCGACCACCACCCCACCCCCTTCCCTCCCCTCCCAATGGTGCCCAGCAGCAGCCAGGACGGTGCGTCTGCTCAACGGCAACTGTTGCGGCCGCTTGCAGGCGACAGCAGCAACAGAGATCGCCGGGGGCAGCAACAACAGCAGCAACAGCAACAACAGCAGCAACAACAGCAGCAACACGGTCAACACACAGACACAGACCGACGAGGAGTTGCTGGCAGTGCTAGCCAGAGCCATGCCCCCCCAGCAAGGAGCTGCTTTGCCATCAGCCACATCATCACCATCACCAAGCACAAGTTCATTAGCAACACGAGCAGCAGTTGCAGCAGCAATGCAGCAGCAGCAGCAGCAACAGCAACAAAGGACTGCCGTGTCGGCGACGCCAGCGACTGGAGGAGCGATGATAACGACGACGACGACACAATCACAATCACAAGCGACATTAGCACCACAACAACAGCAACAACCACTGCCACAACAGTTAAATACGAAAAGAACAACCACAGCAACAACAATAACAACAACACACAACAGCAACACCAACTTCAACTTCAACTTCAACAGCAACAATAACTATATGAATATGAACAATAATATTTACGATGCCACTGCCAGAGCGACTGCCTCTGCCACTGCCACTGCCTCTGACTCCGCCTCCGCTCCTGCCACAGCGGCAACAGCAGCAGCAGCAGCAACAGCAGCAGCAGCAGCAGGAGGAGCAGGAGCAACAACCACAGCCACGTCCACTGCCACGCCCCCGAGCCAGCGACCGCCCCCGCGCACACCCACAGCCACCTCAGCTTCTGTTACTGTAGTTGTGTTCAAAACAATGTTACCTGATGACTGAATTATTTTAGAATCGTACACGTAGAGCATGTTTTATTATGATTACCACTATGATTACCACTTACAATTTACGATTTACGATTACGATTACGATTATGATTACAATAACGAGTACGAGTGCGAGTGCGAGTACGAGTACGAGTACGAGTACGGGTACGGGAACGAGTACGAGTACGAGTACGAGAACGAGTATGAGTAGGCGTATGTCTGGATATCATTACCTATTAACTATTCATTAGTTACGGCTTATCGATTATTACTATTATAACTATTACTATTGCTACATGCATAATGTAGAGCCTAATTGATCTACCGTGTATTTTAGTTTGTCTAATTGTTGGATCCCTGTACTATATCCCGCACACATGAACACACCACACACCCGCTCACATTTGATCCTCGCCCCAAACAATCCAAATACAATCCACACACACCCACACACACAACCATAATCATAACCATACTTAGGAAGGATATTCACGTGCGAAGTTGAAACGTTTTAATCATGTAATTTTTTTTGAGTTCTCGCTGGAAGGAGACGTTCGAGACGGAGGATAAGCAGCAGCAGCGCAGCAGCAGCAGCAGCAGAGATTCGGAGTGTTAAACGAGTAGGATATTGAGTATATAGCGAGTACGTAGCAAGTATGTAACGAGTATGTAATGAGTATGTAATGTTTACGTAGCCACAATGCCACACACAGCTATAGGAAGCATTTAGGATGCGTGCATATGTCAGTTATCTATTTTTTTTTTTTTTAACTAAAATCTATGTAAATTATAGGCTCATACACACACACACACACACATACATACACACATACATATATAAATACCGTGTAGCGAGAGAGGGAGCAGGAGCAGGAGCAGGCGAAGAAGACGAGATGGGATGTTCGATCCACCCACACAAGGTATAAATAGTAGAGACCAAGTAGCTAGCTTAGTGAGCATCCGTTTTGGGGCAGAGAAGGAGTAGAGCAATTTGTCGGCGAGAAGGGGTGGTGGGTTAAGCGGAAACGGAAATGAAAAAACGGAGAGGTAGACGAAAATGGAAGCTGAACTGCCAGAGAGGAATCACACACATAAAGCATTAAAATAACTTCGCTCGCAACTCTTGCAAAATTATACTGTTAGATACTATTAGTTATCGATCCCAAAATCCCTAAGCCCTACACCCTACACACACGCATACACACAAACACACTATACCTAAGTTAAGAATGCATAATCACATACTACACATAAATTACGCATAGGACATACAAACAAGAGGAAGTTTAAGGAGAAAAATGAAAGAGAAAAACAAAAACAAAAACAAAAAACAAAGATAAGAAAAGAATGAATTATTTTTTTTTGTGTAAGCCCGATTGCGCAACTGTATATCGTAATCGTGTTGTCGTCGCAGCCCCAAAACGCCTATCGCCCATGGCGGTATTGATGCCCGGATTGTTATCGATATCGTCGTACTACGTTTTATTTTGTAAATGTATTAATTTTGTTGATTTTTTTGCTGTCTGTATACATTTTTTTTTAACAACATTTTTGAATAAATGTAATTCTTGAAAATGTTTTTGGTTTGCTATCTGAATTTATACCCACTACCCCCGACTTTTTGTGCTTCAATCCTTTTCATTTCTTATTGGTTTGTATATAGTTCAGTGGATTCCTTGAGTTTTGTGAAGTTACTTAAACGTAGCTAGCCACTTTTGACACCTGAAACCTGACTTCTAAATGGTCTCTGGGGCATTTTCTTTGAAAGAAAGCTTAGAAAGATTATGGTAAAATCGCCCTGACTCTTCATTTCTACTCGATTTCTACTCGGTTCTTGTTTATCTACTTGGAAATTCCTGAGTGGCGCCACCTGCATTAGAGGCCCAAGAAAGTATGCACCGGAAATGGTTTTTTAAATCGGCTTGAAGGGAAATCAAAGGAGCCTCGTGTGAATAGCGAAACCCGATCGAAAGGTCCTCGATCCCCAGTCCTGTAACTCCAACCCTCCCAATTGCGGCTCTTTCAAATAAGTATTGAAAACTAGGGCTAAGAGGGGAAAACGCAAATAGAGAAAGTAAGCGAAAAAGAAATGAAAAATCGAAAACAATGTTATTCGAATAAAAAGCGAAGAACAGAAGATGAAAAATATGCAAGAGTCTGACATCAAATTGCCTTCAAAGTGTTATTTTCGATTTTTTTCCGTAGAAAGTTTTTTTACCAAGAAACGATGCAAAAACCAATACGAAATACCAAATAGCAGAATATTTAAAGTACGTATTTATGTGAATTTATATAAGCGATGACATAATAACCAATATATGAATATGAAAGGAAAGGGCAAAGGACGGACGGTTAAAAGAATTAACATTTTTTGTAGAGTAAAACCGGGATAAACAGCATCTAGAGGAAAAGAGTCAAAATAAAATATTTTTGCACAGCGTGTTATCGAATAAGTGTTTAGACTTTAAACGTAAATGTAATCGAGATGAAAATCAATCAAAGGACCCGGCCCCCTCCCCGCCCATCCTTAGATCCTTCCTGTCCTCAAACCGCCCAACAGATTATTAAGGCTAGGGCCAGATGGAGGGAGGATCGCTCCCGCGGAAAAGAAAAGTGTCTTTGTAAATACATGAGAATACAGAGTGGGAATAAGTGGGGGACTTCGGTCCACCTTTCCAGCCATCTGGCGTCTCAAGACATAACATTAGTTAGCTAATTTTAACGACATACCCTCCCAGACTAGCGAGTTCTCGTGGAATAAACTTTTGTGCACCCCGAGCATAACGGAACCTTAGTGCTCAACACCACCAACCACTTGACCCACTCACCCACAGCCACAGCCACACCCACAGCCTCAGCCACACCCACAGCGACACCCACAGCGACGCCCGCTTCCACAACCGCAACCAACTCACTCCGCTTGCCCAGATCCATTGGCATCCCGGGCAGAAGCCCACGTTCACCATGTCCCCGTAGTGTAAAGCGTGGATGCTATATGAACTTCTTATGGTGCTTAATCTGGATCTTGATCTTGAGGACAACCCAAGCCTACAACTCAAATTATGGGACTGATGCAATGAAACAAAAATTAAACAAAGACAAAATAAGTGAAAGAAAGCAAGGGAGGAAATCGAATTAAACCCATATAAGTATACTAGGTGTATATGTATGTGTATTGATTAAACGATTCAATAATAAAAACGAAGTAGATCCTTCCATATGATAAAACCAAAAATAAAAATACAAGAGGAAGAAGAAGAGTTAACGCTAGGGAGAGATCTCGCTTCTGAGGCCATTGTTATACTCTTTGAATTTGTGTATACCCAAATTAGAAAATTGTGAAACCAATAAGAGGGAAACCGAGAAAACATAAGTAATCGCCGTGGAAAATTATAGATATAATGTTTTTTTGTGCATTTCTAATTCTACATAGTGGTCGCCAGCGACTTTTACCTTTTATATAAGTATACATTACGGTTTTTGTTTCGTTTTGGATTTGATATGAATGTTACTCGATGGATTGATATTGATTGATTGATTGATTGATTAGTGAACGTTTGATGTAGTGGTAACCAAAAAGTTTAATTTACTGATACATTGAAAATATGTATAAAAGACAGAAACACTCACGGCAACAGAACGGCAAGATGATAATGAGATGAAAATGAAATGTTAGCAAATATAAAACAAATAACAAAGACGAACTAAGCCCGTAATTGAGAATTTTTAAAGCACGATTCGAGATCACATATAAATTTAATAAATTACACATGTATTAATAATGAAATGATGTATTTACGAATAAAATTAATATTATCACATGAATAATACAAAGTCGACCAGTCTATTTAAAGAGATCGGACGGAAACTGTGACTCCATCACGATTTTGAAGGGTTTCTTGGCCACCATCTCGTCTTTGTCGACAATGAAATCGCTACAAAAGTTATGGTAAAGCGAGAGGTCTACCTATATAGAGTCAAATACTTACTCCTCGTTGGCCAGGGTCACGTTGATGCGATCGGTGGAGACCCGGGTGGGTCGAATGGCCCCAAAGAAGTCTGTAATGGGCACCTTGTGCGGATCTCGTCGGTACAGATCTTTGCGCACTCCCACTGTCGAAATGCACACTCGCTTGGGACACACTTGCAGCTGTTTGGAATGAGTTGGGTAGGGAATTATAAAGCCTTTCAAATTCTAACAAAATCTCTTACGAATTCCCCTATGGTCCGTTTGCTGAAGGGCTGCACCTTCTCGAGAAACTCCAAAGCGTAATAGGTGTAGCGATCGATCATATAGACGCCAATCGAGGGATCCACATGGTGCTGCGGGTTGTAAATAAGTATTGGGTTCACGGCATTTTAGACCACAGCCAGACTCACCGATAGAGAATCCTCGCCCACCAGGCTACTTGCCACCGCCAGGACATTCGGCGACGTGAATTTCTCGTACAAAGACGCCGCTTGGCAGGTGTCCACCATAAAGAACAGCTCGTTGTAACTGCAAAGGAAAGAAAGATTATTACCAAGATTGGGAATGGGAGATAATGCTTGAAATTAAACCCTCAAAAATATGACTAAAACTCCAAGAATTAAGCAGGACAAATGATTTACTGTCGCACCGCTTCTTTTCCCACATCTGCTGGATCCCATCGGCCAGCTCCTGGCTGGTTATCTCCTCCGAGTCCTGGAACTTGAGGAACCCGTCGCCACCGTGTCCGGTAAGGTAGATAAGCACGTTGCTGCCTGCGTCCGAGAGCAGCTTCTTGGAGCGCGCAGTGCCGTTCTGGGTTCGCCCCGTAAGCAGGCGCACGAAGTTCTCCACGGTCACCTCGTAGCCCCGGTAGTCCACCTCCACGTCGTCGCCGTACACATTGATGTGCTGGTTGGCGTTGTTGTAGACCTGCCCGGGGCGCGGGTTCCGGGCGTTGCAGGCCATGTCGTCGGCAATCATCAGGATGATCTGCGAGTCGGGGATGCCCAGGCGCTTCACCGAGCGGTAGATTGACAGCACGTTGGCCACATGCCGGTAGTTAAACCAGAACCTCGATGCGTCCACCAGCACCGCCCAGTTATTGGTGTGCGTGGATCGCTGAGCGGCGTCTACATAGCCCTCCGGTAGCACAGCGGTGTCCTCCGCACCAACCCAACAGCTGGTAAGGATCAGGGCAAGGAAAACCAAAAATTTAGGAAACATCCTGCAGCCGATTTTCATTGAAAACAAAACGCAGCTGTGGTGATGACGGATTTTTCACAAACGCACTAACGCGTCCCAACAGCGCTTTCTGTTGCGCCTAACAGAGCGCTGTAAACGGATTGTGAGTTTGTTAGGGTTGTCAGATAATCGATATAAATCTGCTCCAGTTCTTACTAACTTTGATGGTGATTTATTTTATATATGTTTTTTATTCACTTTGTTAACTTCAATTTAAAAAATATAAAGAATATATGACCACTGGCTTTACGAAAAAGTTTGATATATTAAAAAAAAACTAATTTATTTACATATGCAAACTATTATTTTTAAGAAAAAATTTCTATTTTATTATATTATTAATCTTTTGGTCCTATTTTATGATGTTGTGTCTTTAAATTTTAAAGTTTATTGAAATTACGTTTTTCAAAATGTCCAGAATGTCCAGTCTAAAGCTTATGCATGAACTTTATTTATATTCAAGGTGAGGCAAGACCGTTTTTAAAAAGAAATTTATTTTTCATTATATTATTAATCTTCTGGTCCAATTTTATGATGTTGTTTCTTTTAATTTGAAAGTTTATTGAAATTACGTTTTTCAAAATGTCCAAAATGTCCAGTCTGAACCTTATGCATGAACTTCATTTATGTTTAAGGTGAGGAAAGTCATCGGGGAACTATAAGGGACTTTATTGAATCAAGAGCGGTTTTCTGTAATCCAGTTCGTTAGATAACAAACCCATTGTTGTTTGTAAGCAAATATATCAGAATATAACTATAATAATAATAATATTATTAATATACATTTTCAGGCATATGACAACCCTGTTACAGGGAGTCAGCTTGCTTATGTTGAAGGGCCAATTTTCCATCTCGGTTTTCTCCACCTAAAACCCACCAAATTTTAAATTTCGAGCTTAAAATAGTCAGTACCTAGAGAGTTCTAACGACTGCAAGCAAAGAATTAAAGGGGCGAGACCCCCTTTTGGGTAAAAAAAGCCCCACAAAATGGCGCTTTAAACCAATATGGCGGCGGTTCGAGACGAAAACGAATGACGCTGCAATGAGGAAAAGAGCAGGCCGATAAAGAGCAATGCAAAAGCGGAGAGCGCAAAATGGGACTGTGTGTGCGTGTGTGGCCAAAAAAGCCTTGTTTGCGTGTGGAATTTAACTGTTTTTTCGCCGTCTGCGAATTGGGGGGAACACACACAGCTGCACACCTGGGAAAATGGGGAAAAATCGTGCCAAGACAACCACAAACATAAATATGGGGCTTCTGAAAACTCTGTGAATTCGCCGCGATCGCTCTCTTTCTTTTTCGCTCATTTTTAGCCTCTCAGCCGCTCTCTGATTCACGTGGGTTTTCATATTCATTAATATATTTGTGTGTTTCATTTTATTGTAGTCGTTTATGTATTTTTTGTGAAGCTTTGGGGCCCTGCCGGAAGTTTTCTTTTTATCCACGTATCGTCGATTGCGCTTTGCGCATTTCATCTATCGCCGTTTCTGCTTTGTTGCGTGGCGTTTTGTCGGCCATTACGTTTTCCATTTGCCTTTGGCGCAGCACACAAAACACACAAAGCGTGCATATGTATGTATGTATGTGTATATGGATGGCAGAGTAGCGTACCGCACAGAAAATAAAACTGTTTGTAAGTGAAATTAAACGGTGGGAAGGGGCGGGATGCACAAAGCACAAAACCATTTTCTTGGCCAAAAACGGTTTTAAGTACGGGAGAATTGCCTCGGTCGAAGTCAGGATCAAAGGGGAAGGCCAATAAACAAGGATAATCGATCGAAATAGCCTTAGTACCTAATTGATGATGTCAGTGGCGTCGGAAATAGCGTGTCCTGGTCACTTACTTGACCCAGTTGAAGAAAATCGCTTTTCCAGCCCCTTTGGAGGCGAAAGAATGGAAAGAAAGAAGAAAACGCTGCATAATAATGCTAAAGCGATGCAAAACCCTATTGATTTTCCCTCATTTAAAAAGCAATTAAGGTTTTTGCCTGTAACCCAGTTACACGTAATCGCAATAAAAATTGTCCTTGCGCTAGTGGAAAAAGTCTTGGGGAAAAAGCTAGTGGGATGAAGGGACCCCGTCTGACACTTGCAGGATTCAGCTTTTCAACCCCTTCTTGGCCTTGAGAAATATTCAACAACCTACGCCACAGCATCTTTGGTTGAGGAAAACTGGGAAAATTTGCAGGACAACCGAAACGTGCTTGGCCTAGAACTCCTTTTCTAGGAAGCTGGCGCTGTGGTTGCTTTAGCTTTTGCCTTTTCCATTTTTCCAATTACCACCCCCGTTAGGTTATCCCCGAGTCCTTTTTCGCTTTTTTGCCGACGCAACAAAAGACGCATCAGCAGCAGCAGCAGCAATAACAACAACAACCGACGTTGCGGCGAGTTTGTGAGAGAGAGAGCATAAGAGCGGACAAACATTTGCCAAAAACAACACGTATACCGGCCGAAAGGCATAAGTCGACTCTTTTAATGCCCTACGATAGTACGGCATTTTTAGTTAATAATTATGAAAACTACACTCTTTTAATCAGATCTTACTTAAAATTTATATGTTTTGGGTAATTTTTAGTTGTGTTTGTTCCATGCCATGTTTTCTTACTTTTGTAAAGCGTTCGGGAAAGGTTTTATTAAACACTATTAAAGTGCACTAGCTTAAATAAAAAGAAATTAATTAAGAATCGCTTAAATTGATGCAAAATAACATTTATGGTGTAAGGGTGTGATTTTTATTTATGTTTGAAAACATTTCTTTCTAAATTGAAAAGTTTATTAGTGGTGTAGTATTGCCATTAAACACATCAAATTGGGTGGCAAACAACGAAACATGACAGAATTTCACAAAACGAATCATTTTTAATTTAATCTCTTGCATCCACAATTTGGGCTTATAAATATGTATTACATATCAATCCTGTGAAAGTAAGAAGATTAACTTGCTTGACTAAAAACCGTTCTAATGTTTAGTCACGGTCAAGTTAAAAAGTCGCTTTTAAAACGATCATAATATTATCATTTTAGGTCTTTTTATAATTGTTAATATAAATATTATATATATTTTCTTTGAAAGTAAAAAATCAACATGTTTAATTCCTAACAGAATTCAAAGCCGTCCTAAAATATTTAGTCCCGGTAATATAAGTTTTTTTTTAAATTATAGTCAAGTTAAAATACCCCTTTTAATAATATTATAATATTATCATTTTAGGTCCTCTCGTGGCAGCAGGATTGTCCTCCCGCCGCCCACAAGCAGAGTTGCACCAAAGCGCCTGCGATAGTGCATTATATCGAACGGCCGAGAGCGGCGGCGAGCCGCGGCGAGTTCACGTTTTTCGCCGCCTTTTCGAGCGTCGCTCTCTTGCTCTCCATTTTGGCTCGTTATTTCGCTTCGCACCGTGTTTGCGTTCACAACTCTTGTTCGGGTTCTGCATTTTATTTTATTATTATTTTTTTTTGTTTGTTGCTATTCGGTGAGTACCTGCGGAACGCAAAGAAAACGAAAGGAAGCGTTTTCCTTGCCCTTTCGGACTGTGATTGTGCAAAATGAAAAGCGTTGCCAGGGGACGGGCGTTCGTTTATTGTTGCTCGCGTTTGTTTTTTGCAAAAACCTAGTGAAAAAGAAATTTTCTGCTGCTCGCTGCTGCCTGTCTGTATCGGTGTGTGTGCGTGTGTGCTGGTTGTGTCTGTGTGAGCTCACTTTGGGTGTGCTTGTACGTCACTGCCACCCATTTTTTGTGTGTGTGCCCCACTGTTCTGGTTCTTCGTCTCGCATTTCCCCCTGCCAGTTCTTGTTGCAACTCTGCCGAAGACCATTTCCACGAATTTTCCTTTTTGCCGAACGAACGAGAGAGCGAATGAAAGATTGTATGTTGGCAACTCTGCGAATTCTTTGACAACTTTTCCGCTTTGTGAAAATTGTGCGGCTAGTTTCCGTTCGCTTCCTCTGCTTTTCCGCTTCTTCCGCTCCGTTCGTGTTTACAATCGCGGCGTTTTTGCACACTGTGCCGCGAGTGTGTATGTGTAAATTCTATTTGGTGGTGTGTATTCACACATCGATACGGCTGCGGGGTCGTCATTTTGTTATTCGCCATTCTCTTTTACTTCCTTTATTCGTCTGTTTTGTTGCCGTCACTGTGTCAGTTGTGCTTGCTGGTGTGCGATGTGTGTGTGTCTGTGTGAGTTTTCCGCTTTTCCTTGCCGGTGCAAACTGCAATTTAAAATCTCTCGCCAAGTGTGCGCGGCTCCCTCTGGTCACACTAAAATGGCGCCTGTCAAAATCCGCTGGGATCATCAGACGAACAAGAACCTGAAGCATAGCAATCGGCCGAAGCAGGATACTTAATTTGAGGATTATTCAACATGCCATCAATTCTTCAGGTTCTCCGCTTTGGCCTGCTTCTTCATCTACTACGCTCTCTTCTGCTCTCCACTCTTCTCTCGTTTCGCTTTTCTCGCATATCGCAACTTCCAGCTGCTGTCAAAACTTGTTTTTCAGAATCGGTAGAGAGCGTTGGTAAAAGGGGGAGTGGAAAGGGGCTAAAAGGAGACGGGGGCTTAGTGGCGACCGCAAAAGCATGTTTAATGTTCTAGTTGTATTTTTCTGGAGTCGAGCGGACGGATTGTCCTGGAATTTTGACTTGCAGTGGGGATGAGCCGAAAGCGGCTAAGAAAGCCGCTTGCGTTTGAGCCAGGTGAAAGCCAGGGCCATAAAGCTGTGCTAACCAGATAGATATGCGCTTAGGTTTTTGCAATGAATTTTATTAAAGTGCCGTAAAAGATTGGCAAAGCTTATAATCAGTAATTTTTAAATCCTTTTTATTTTAAAGTTGTAATTGGGATAGGAAAATGCATTTCTTTTTTATAACATTTAATCAATTAAATTTAAAAGAAAAAAAACTATAACAAAATGAGCGAATCCATTGCTAACTAGGATATTATTCCCGCATGGCTGATCAGTAGTTTGACTCGGTAACTTACTCCTTTAACCCCTGCAGGTAATTCTCCACATCACAGTCAACCAATGGGACCAAATCACTGCGACTCAAACTGGACACAAGCAGCATCGGATCGCAATTAGCAACAGGAGGTGGTGGAGCAGCAGGATCAGAAGGCGACGGGGGAACGGCCAATATAGGAGCGGCAACGTCGGCAGCAGCTGCCCAGGGCCCCTCGAGCATGTCTAGCCGGAAGCCGACAGGAGGCGCTGGAGGTGCTGACGAAGCCACCGCAGCAGGTGCCCCTTTGGACGACAATGCCAATGCCAGCGTGGTGAATCCGGCAAGCGGCGAGGACCCAGCGACGGGCTGCAGCGAAAAGCCTGACATTATTGTCAAGGCAAATACTTCAACGCCGCCAGAGGAGGCCCCGGATGATCCTTCAGCAACAAGCGTAATAGAGGTGGCGGCGGAAAAGGAGCAGGATGCCAAGGGGTCCCACCCGGTTTCCAAGACGCCAAGTTCCACGCCAACGCCAACCCCGGGCGTCACGCCCAGCGTCGGCGAAGGAGGAGCCGCCAAGAGCCTGAGGGTCACCCGGCACTCCTCGCCACTGCTCCTGCTCGGCTCGCCCACTACCAGCAGGCGTGAGGTGGTCGACGGAGTGCTGGACGCCGAGGAGCCAACGGGATCAGGTGGCCAGCGGAAGAGCTCCACGGAGCGATCCATGGCTCCCGTCATTCGGGGACGCAAGTCCATCAAGGATCTGAAAGAAGCCAAAGAAGTCAAGTCCGAGGAGGCGCCTGTTGGGGCGTCAGATGCGGGAGCAGCAGCTGGGGCCAAGGAGGAGCTGGCCAGCGAGGGCAGCGAACTGGAATCCCTGTCGACCTCGGACAAAAAAGACCACAAATACATAAAAGACAAGGAGGAAGAGCGGGAAACCGAAAAGCAAAAGGATATCTCGGAGGATGCTGAGAAGGATAAAGCTGCTGAAAGTGAAGCAACTGCAGAGGAAGAAAAAAGTGCTAAAAAAGAAAGGGTTGCAGAAGAAGAGAAAGCTGCAGAGCAAAATAGGGAGAAGGAGAAGGAAAAAGATACTGATCCAAACAAAGATGCAGATAAAGAAAAGGACAAAGAGAAGGAGAAGGCTCCAATGGCGCCAGTGACCCCCACTTGCAACCGAGTCACCCGCAAATCGATCGCCTACGAGCAGGCGATCAACACGCGGGTCACCCGCAACCGTCGCCAGTCCTCCGCCGTGGGCGCCCTTCTCTCTGCCTCCGCGTCCTCGGCTGCCACATCCTCCGCAGTCACGGAGCAACCGTTACCGTCCCGGGGGCGCCGGAAGAAGCCAGTGGCGATTGCTCCGCCCCTCGAGCCTGCGGTAAAACGGAAGCGCTCCCAGGACGCCGAAGTGGATCCCGAGGCCACTAGTGGCGCCAAATACAGCAAGGTGGAGGTGGTGAAGACGGAGGAGGCCGAAGCACCAGACGAGGACTCCGCTGCTGTGGGCATCAAACAGGAGCTGGTGGATGCCAACGAGGTCAGCAGCATCTCGCCGTCAGTCACACCCACACCCACACCCACTCCAACGCCTGCTCCGATCTCGGGCGGCCGGCGGGGACGTGGGCGCCCGCAGAACAGAAACTCATCCTCGCCGGCGGCCACGACGCGCGCCACGCGACTGAGCAAGGCAGGATCGCCGGGCATCCTGACACCTGTTGCTCAGGAACCGGCGCCTCCGAAGCGGCGCCGCGTGGGCTCCAGCACACGGAAGACTGCCTCGGCCAGCTCGCTGGCACCCAGCTCGCAGGGCGGCGCCGGGGACGAGGACTCAAAGGACAGCATGGCCTCGTCCATGGACGACTTGCTGCTGGCCGCCGTGGACATCAAGCAGGAGAAGTTGACGCCGGACTTCGACGACAGTCTGCTGCCGGAGAGCCTGCCCTCCACCTCGGGTGCGTCGAGCGCCAACGGTCATGCCTGCATCGAACCACTCACTGTGGACACGGACAGCGCCAGCAAGTGCGCAGATCCCGCCGATCCCGCAGTGAAACCAAAGGAGTTGCCGGCGGCTGCAGCTAAGGAATCCTCGCTGCAATCCGGGAGTCAACCGGCCGCAGTGCCCTCGGCTGCGGGGAAGGCTCCATCGCTCAGCCCCGAGATGATCAGCGAGGGCGTGAGTGCGGTCAGTGTGCGGAAGTTCTACAAGAAGCCCGAGTTCCTGGAAAACAACCTGGGCATCGAGAAGGACCCGGAACTGGGCGAAATAGTCCAGACGGTGAGCAGCAATCACACGGATGCCGACACAGAGATGTCTGTCGACAGCGAAGTGCTTCAGGAGGAGTCGCCTAAGCCGCAGAGCAAAGTGTCCCACGAGAAGGGGGAGCAGGAGAAGGTGCCGCAAGTGGAAGCAGAGGGCGGAACTGGGGCTGCTGCTCAGCCAGAAGCCCTTCCCGAAACTCTGCCTGAGGTTCCCGCTAAAATTACAGTCGAAATTATGGCCGAGGCTGAGGACGACACCTGTTCGAACAGCTCAATCAAAGCCGGCGAGCTCCGCCTGGACGAGAGCAACGATGGTCATGAGACGCCGCTTCTGCTGAGCCAGAGCTTCGAAGTCGATGGCGATGGCGATGGGACTTCGGAACAGCCTGGCGAAAAGGTGAAGCCGGACGAAGCGTACTTCCATTCAGATGACTACGACGACTTCGAGCACGAGATCATGGAGGAGCTAGCCAAGGAGGGCGTGTTGGATGCCAGTGGCAATGCACTGAGCCAGAAAAAGATTGAAAGCGAACAGCCAGAGGACGTCGCTCCACTCGAGTGCAAAGACGACGCTGAGGCGTCAATGGCTGGCGGCGAGGAAACGGAGGAGTGCGAGCCTCCCAAAGACGCCTCGCCTGCGGACGAAATGGTGGCCATGGAGCTGGAGGAGTCCTATATCGACGTGAAGGAACAGACGGATCACCTCCTGGCAGAACACTTGGCAGAAGACGCAACGGAAACGAGTTGTGGCCACGAGGACAACAAGGAGAACCTGTCGACCTCGGCTGCCAGCACTGCTGCCGAGGGTCTGGACATCCAGCTGACCCTCAAGGAAGACGAAGACGAGGAGAAGCCACTTTCTGCGATGGCTGTCGAACAGGAGCCGGAGCTGCTGACCAAGGAGCTGGTCAAGGGGATCGGAGCGGAGGCAGACGCAGACGAGAAGGCAAACGTCAAGCAGGAGTCCATCGGCGACGAGCACCTCCAGCTGCTGCGCCAGGAGCAGGAGATCCACCTGCAGAGCCTGGGTCTGCTCACGCACCAGGCCGCCGAGCAGCGGCGCAAGATCCTGCTCGAAGCGCAGGCCCGCCAGGCGCAGCTGCAGCTCCAGCAGCACCACCACAACCAGCACAAGCGACAGGGAGCACGCGGCGGCGGCGGCAGTGCCACCCACGTGGAGTCCAGCGGCACACTGAAGACGGTCATCAAGCTGAACAGGAGCAGTAACGGCGGCGTGGGCGGCAGTGCGGCCCTGCCCACGGGGACAGTAATACATGGCGGCAGCGGCTCCTCCTCGGCCTCCTCCACCTCCTCCTCCTCGGTGGGCAGCGCCACACGCAAGTCGAGCGGTGCCTTCGGATCGGGTTCGGGAGCGGGAGCAGGGGCAGGGGCAGGTGCTGGCGTTCGACGGCAGTCGCTCAAGATGACATTCCAGAAGGGACGCGCTCGCGGTCACGGGGCTGCGGACCGATCGGCCGACCAGTACGGCACCCACGCCGAGGACTCCTACTACACGATTCAGAACGAGGTGAGTTTGCCGCGCGCTTTCCCGTTTGCTCTTCACTAACGACTGCGCTTCCCCGTCTTCTCATTACAGAACGAAGGTGCGAGAAAGTTTGTTGTAACCACTGGTAATCCCGGCCGCAAGACCAATAACCGTTTCAGCTCGACTAACAACCACCACTCCGCGGTAGCCCTGCACGGTAGCAACTCTGCGCCCCAGCACTGTGCGTATAGATCAGGTCTCCCGTCGGGAGTAGCATATCCAGTTGGCCCAGCTCCAGCTGGCCGTTCACTCTGTTCACTCTTAGAAAGCAAACCGAACGAATGGAGCAGAGTGGCTAACCACTGAAACTCAATATGAAAACTTCCGTTACTTGATTATATGCGGGCTTTAAAATCGAACTCCGTTGCACTTTAGCTTTAAGCAGCTTTAGAAGCTTCCCTGAAGCAAAAATGGTTCGGTTTGATTTCCACCCACCTAGAGTGCACACTCATTTCAGCTTTGTCATTTGGGAGTCATCACCCCCTCGATTTCATGCACTGTACGCTGCGCTGTGTGTGGTACCGTCGCCCCATTCATCCCCATTAACCGTTCCCATCCCCCCGAACACTCAGAGACACAGACGCACTGACGGAATAACGCCGGCTAGAGGATCGAAGAGTACGTCACCTAACGAGCCGTCTTCTCCCACAGATTCGTCTCACTCCGAGAGCCAGGGACAGGCGGACCACGGGTTCTACCAGATGGTCAAGAAGGACGAGAAGGAGAAGATCCTCATTCCGGAGAAGGCCTCTTCGTTCAAGTTCCACCCGGGAAGGCTTTGCGAGGACCAGTGCTACTACTGCAGCGGCAAGTTTGGACTCTACGACACTCCCTGCCACGTCGGCCAGATCAAGTCTGTGGAGCGCCAGCAGAAGATCCTAGCCAGTAAGTCCATACACCTGGCGTTTTTTGGTTACCAGCTTGATTTTGCCTCCGCCTCCTCATTCGCAGACGAGGAGAAACTGACGGTGGACAATTGCCTGTGCGACGCCTGCTTCAGGCACGTCGACCGTCGCGCGAATGCGCCCTCCTACAAGAAGCGACTCTCGGCCCCTGGGCACTTGGAGACGGGCGTTGGAAGCTCGGCGGCCAGCGCCGCCCTGGAAAAGCACTTCGCCGGCGAAAGTGGCGTCATCCCGACAGCGGGAGGCGAGGCGGGGGCGACAGCCTCGGGGGCTGGTCCGCACCGCTCCTGCGCCGTGAAGGACTGCGCCGAGGCAGCGGGACACTCGCTGCGGCGCAAGTGCATCCGCAAGAGCGTGAAGAAGTTCCAGCTCAGCCTGGAGATCCCCGCCGGCTCCTCCATCGTGTGGCTATGCGAGTCGCACTACAACACGGTGATCCAGTTCTCCGGCTGCGTGCTCTGCAAGCGGAGGCTGGGCAAGAACCACATGTACAACATAACCACGGTGAGTGCGCTTTTGCCTTTGCTTTTGCCGCCGCTCCAAAGAGTGTGCTTATTGCTGTGCTGTTGCCTCTCAGCAGGACACGGACCGGCTGGAGAAGGCGCTGTCCGAAATGGGCATTCCGGTGCAGCTGGGCATGGGCACCGCCGTCTGCAAGCTGTGCCGCTACTTCGCCAACCTGCTGATGAAGCCGCCGGATAGCACAAAGTCCCAGAAGGCGGAGTTCGTCAAGAACTACAGGAAAAGGTAAGTTTGACTGCTCACCTCTGTAGTTGTTTACCCACTGCAATTGTATCTGACCAACAGGCTCCTCAAAGTGCACAACCTGCAGGACGGCAGCCACGAGGCGTCCGAGGCGGACGAGGAGGAGCCGCCCAATGCAGCGGAGACAGAGAGGGCGACCGCGGACGGACACGAGGACGTCGAGATGCCCATGGTGGTGGACTACGACGGACCCATCGACTCGAACTCGAGCAGCTCCTCGATCGCCGCCCTGGACTCCAGTAAGCAGATGTCCAAGCTGCAGGCCATCCTGCAGCAGAACCTGGCAGCCGACGGGGCAGGAGCGGCCGGAGCAGGACCTGCCACAGCGGCGGGAGCCGCAGGGGGATCCGGCTCGGGATCCGGATCCGGGGCAGACATCTCGAACGTGCTGCGCGGGAACCCAAACATCTCGATGCGAGAACTGTTCCACGGCGAAGAGGAGCTGGGCGTTCAGTTCAAGGTTCCGTTCGGGTGCAGCAGCAGCCAGCGGACTCCGGAGGGCTGGACGCGGGTGCAGACGTTCCTGCAGTACGACGAGCCGACGCGCCGCCTGTGGGAGGAGTTGCAGAAGCCGTACGGCAACCAGAGCTCCTTCTTGCGCCACCTGATCCTGCTGGAGAAGTACTACCGCAACGGCGATCTCGTCCTGGCCCCGCACGCCTCCTCGAACGCCACCGTTTACACGGAGACCGTTCGCCAGCGCCTGAACTCGTTCGACCACGGTCACTGCGGCGGACTGGCCACCACGGGCAGCACTGGCAGCCCTTCTGCCTCGACTTCCTCCGGCAAGCGCAGCGGCATCCCCCAGAATGCGGGAGCCAGTGTGCTCGCCACCGCCCTCACCTCGCCCGCGACCACCCACGTCTCCACCTCTGCAGGCAGCGCGGCAGAGCAGCACGCGTTGCCCGATCCTGTCATTCCGCTGGTGGAGCTCAACGACGACGACGACGGCGAAGGCGAGGAGGGAACCGGCGTCGGAGTGGGCGACGAGGAGTCGGACGCCAGGCAGGAGGACTCGCTCCTGGACCGCCTCGGCACAGTGTCGGTGGACAAGCTGACCAAGCAGCTCAGCTCGAACGCGGTGACGATCATCGCTCGGCCCAAGGAGAAGTCGCAGCTCTCGAGCAGCGGATCCTCGGCGTCCAGTTCCTCGTCCGCTGCTTCCTCGCCGTCCAGCTGCTCGTCGGCTGCTTCCGCGCCGGAGGTGGCCGTAACAAAGGTGCCCGCCGCCGCGCCCGCCTCCTCCAAGGATGCACCACCACTGGTGCCCGCGGCTGGCGGTAACAGTAACAGTGGCAACAGTCGCAGTATTCTGAAGACCAACCTCCTGGGGATGAACAAGGCCGTGGAGATTGTCCCGCTGACGGCCGCCTCCCACTCGACCACTTCAGCTTCGGCTTCGGCATCCAAGAACTTTCTCACTTCCATCGCTTCGCTGGCCAACAAGACCACGGCGAGCCATGGAGCCGAGAAGCAGCACAAGATCCTCGACGTGGCCAACAAGCTGCTCGGCAGCCAGAGCGATCCGGCCTCCGCGGCACTGCTCAGCCTGCAGTCCAAGCTGAAGCCCCCAATGCACCAGCACCAGCAGCAGGGCGCGGCATCGGGATCGGGATCTGCTTCGGGAACTGGTGGGGCCCAGAAGCCTCCGAGTGTGGCCCAACTGCTGAACTCACCGCCGGAGCTCATCAGCCTCCATCGGCGGCGCACGAGCGGAGCAGCGGCGGCGGCGGCGGGCAACAGTCTGCTCGGAAACCATCCCGGCAAGCGGCTGCATCCCCAACGATCTGGAGCAGGGCCTTCAGCGGGAGCTGGAACGGCCAGTGGGGCAGCAGGAAGCCGGGGAGGGCCGCCTCCGCCCAATGTGGTCATCCTACCGGACACTCTGCGGTCAGCCCAGGAGCGGCACGAGAGCAAGAACTGGAAGCCGACTCTGATCCCGCTGGAGGATCAGCACAAGGTGCCGAACAAGTCGCACGCGCTCTACCAGACCGCCGACGGTCGCCGGCTGCCCGCCCTGGTGCAGGTGCAGTCCGGCGGAAAGCCATATCTCATCTCCATCTTCGACTACAACCGCATGTGCATCCTGCGCAGGGAGAAGCTGCTGCGCGACCAGCTGCTGAAGGCCAACGCCAAGCAGAAGCCGCAGAACCAGCAGCAGCAACAGCAGCAGGGAATGACGCTTCAGCACCAGCAGCAGAGCTCCGCCGCCTCGGCGGCCGCCTTCTCGAACATGGTGAAGCTGGCCCAGCAGCACACGGCGCGCCAGCAGCTCCAGCAGCTGCAGCAGAAGCAGCAGCAGCAGCAACTGCCCACTTTGCAGCCGGGAGGAGGAGCTGCGGGAGCGGGAGCGGGAGTGAGGCTGGCCAGGTTGGCGCCCAAGCCGATGCCGCCGCTGACCAATCCGCAGATTGGCAACCAGGCGGCCAGCTTCCAGCCGCTGCTGCCCAGTCCGCTGGACAACAGCAACAGCTCCTGGCTGTGGAAGAACTTCCCCGACTCGAACCAGTACCTGCTCAACGGAAACGGAGGAGGAGGCGGTGCCGGCAATTCCGCCAGCAAGTTGCCACATCTCACGGCCAAACCAGCCACGGCAACGAGTGGCGGGGCATCGGCCAGCAAGTCGGCGGCAGGGATGTTCACCCTCAAGCAGCAGCAGCAGCAGCAGCACCAGCAGAAGCTCATCGAGAACGCCATCATGTCGAAGATACCCAAGAGTCTCACGGTGATCCCGCAGCAGTTGGGCGGCGACATGGGGGGCAGCGGCACCTGCTCCTCGGGCAAGGACTGATGACGGCGGAGGAGGCCGCCAAGAGCAGCGGCATCGGCAGGCACCAGGCGAAGCAGCAGGATCAACAAGCAAACAACGGCCAGCAGCTTAAACGGCGAGCTTCAGCAGCAATCGAGGTGACCGGCGGAGGAGCCGGCTCCATGGATATCACAAACTCCCTAATTCCATGGCTTCAGTAGACTAAGTGATACACAGATAAACTGATCAACTGATAAACTGATAAACCGAAACACAATGAGCGGACAGACATGAAACAGATGAGGAATCAAGATAGTTGTAAGATTACATAACGTTGATTGTGTATAGAACGAGAGACGGTTACGAATACGATTAGCCCATAAGGAACCCCACTAGTTAGGCACTTGAGTCGATGCCACAGACGCAGAAGACGAGGTAACAAATGATCGAAGCAGAGGACGCCGATGCGGACGAGGATACGGACACGGATACGGATATGGATGTGGATGTGGATACGGATACGGATACGGATACGGATAGTTAGAGATGGCATAGACCTTGCTCTAAACTATGCAACTCTATCATTGTAGGATTAAACTATATTTTTTTAATTAGATTTACGGCTATAATAACTTGCGGTTCGTGTATTATAGATACCAAAATTGCTAGAGCTAAACGGTTTATAGATTTGTAAGCGACCCCCAAACACACACACACACACCCCCACTGCTACACCAACACGCTCGCACCAACACACACACACACACACACTCATACACACACTTTAATGAGAAAATTCAGCACAAATATAAACTGTGGCCAAGAAATATTTATTTAATTTCGGTCTGCTGCTGATCTTAGGAGCAGTGTCGGAGAACAGGATCCCAGGACGCCAGTTTCTGCCTTAATCCCAATGCTTTCCACAGACCAAACTACCAGGAGTACTCCCAACACACCACACTTCCACTCAGCAGTGGGCAAGCCGATTCGATAAGAGGACCATTTTGTATCTTCATTTATCCATTCATCCATTACGCCTCCGAAACCCACTCCTACACAGATTCAGACACAGATAATGATAGCAACCTAACATTAACTCCGAAATTGTACATATTTACATGGAAACAAATACAAAACTATAAAATACAGACTAAATGCTAATTCAACACAGTAAGCCCGAACCCAAACTGAAATCGAAAGCAAAAGCAAGTGTGAACCACAAACAATCAAATTGATCGGTGTTCTTTGTGCCTCTGGTGGCCTCTGTTCCATTCCAAGGAATTCTAAAATCGTAGCTGCCTAAGCGAAGCAAAAGCAAAGCAAAAGCGTTGGTAGTAAAGTGAAATTAATTTGCAAATTTTAAATGACAAATTAAAAAGCTTTCTCGACAAGTATAGTAAACACAGCATATATACCTATATACATATATATATGGATTTATATATACACGCTCTATAGATATTTTAGAGAGAAGGCGAAAGATACAATTGTAAATTAGTCCGTTAAGCATAGATATATTTATACACATATGAGAATTCAATTGTTGTTGTTGAACATTGAAAATGTATTTATAAAGCGGAAGTTGAATAATACCATACAAACCATACGAAAATAAACGAATGGAGCTAACTTTGGCGTGCCAAAGTTGTTATACCCTTGCAGTGATTATACAAAACCTAAAGCCGATCCTTCGGATATAGTACAAACTCAATGAAAATCCACAATTCATTGCATTATCTCCCATTACAAAGCAGTTATGTCAGCGATATAGTCTTCCGATTTTGGCACAACTCCTAACCGTTGTAAACGACAACCTCTCAAGGTTTATGTGATCATCTTTAAAAGCAGTTGATGTAGTTATAGGATATAGTTGTTCGATTTCAACAAGGCTTCAAAGATCTCCATCTAACAGATATGGGCAACAAACCTTCCAAGTCCCTGTAATCACTACATATATAGGCTAAATGTATCCCGTCATGGGGTCCATGTAACAAAGTCAACTGCAAGGGTATATTGAAAAGGACAGCAACTCCCATTTCGCTTCATTACAACGGATGCGAATCGGAGCTCGGAGCTGGAGGTGGAGGTGGAAAGGAGCCGTTCCCCAGGACCTCTCTCTGACGACCATGAAAAACATTGATTGCCTTGATCAAACCTGGTTTTCTAAAGCCCCATGGAAATTGTGTGCCTGTGTGTGAATCAGCACGTACATGTGCGTGTGCGCGTGTGTTTATGTAGAACTTTGTAGCTGATAGATCATTCGATCCGAACACATCTTACACTTATAACTTATTTATGCAATATTTTAAAGCGATTTCCAAGAATCAAAATTTCAACGAATCGAGAAATAAATTTCCCAATGTCCAGCTAAGAAACCCAATGGTTTTATTGAACTCTGGAATCCGCGGGGCAACTTCCTTATCTTAATGACAAACCGACAGCGATCGCTACACGAAAACACAGTATCCACCAAGAAATCAATTTATTCATCTTTCTTTATCGGAGTTTTGTGTCTGTGAAAATGTGAACATATCCGAGGAAAGCGGAAACTAGAGCTTTGAAATTGTTGATGAATAAATAGCTACAGTAACTGTGTGAGCATATTTGTAACAGGATCCTTAGTCATCTAGTGGTCTCTCTCTCTCTCTCTCTGTCCCTCTCTCGGTGTATCGCCATCTCTGTTCAGGTGGTGAAACTCTAGGTTCGCAAGCGGAAACGGAAGTAGTTGAGTGGCCCCAGCTTCTACTGCTATCTCCCTCCCTCTGCCTGCTTGTCTCTTTTCGCTTCTTAGCTTCGAAGAAAGTAGTACCTTCCTCAGATCTGTCGATTTCATTCGTTATTGGCTGTTTTATGTATGGATTTTGTTTTTATTAACATAAATTTCAAAAAATAATGTTTAGCGTTTTGTTGATGTTTTTGTTTTGGACTTGGTTTTAGAATTAGATTTAAATATTCGATATGCACTTGATGGTTGCTTTGCTTGCTGTTTTACAAATGTGTATAATGTATGTGTGTTCATAATTTGTTGTTTTCCATTTGTTGTTTATTTTGTATGCATGGTCCGCATACATCGGCTCGAGACGGAAATTAATAAATAGAATAGAATATGTATATTCATCTTCACATGATGCTCTGAAGTTCTTCTGCAGCTACCGTTACGAGTGTAGGTATAATAAATCTATGTTTATTAATATTGTTATATTAAAGTTTATCATTATTATATGATCTGGCTCTGCTCGAATCGACGCGGAGTGTGCACTGCCCGGGCGCTCCTCTTACAAGTCGGTCTCGCCGTAGAGAGCTGTGCTGAAGGACATGTAGTCCAGGGCACCGGGCACTCCGTTGGGTCCCTTGTAGGGCGGCATGCGCTGGATGCAGTATTCGGCCTGGTCTGGCGGCAACTCGCGGCGCAGTTCGTCGGGCAAAATGTATGGCTAAAAATAGAAGACATCGGTTGTGGTATAGTCATGAAGAGAAGATCGGAGCGGATTCCCCTACAAGTGCTGAACAGCTCTATATACTATATATATAGCTTATCTGCGATTCAGTTCTTGGATAGGAAGTCCCCAAAATAGGAGCAGCCTACCTTGTCGGCTGCCAGGATTCGGAAGGAGTCGATGACTTGCTCGGCAGTGTCGGTATCGGTGCTCTCGCGGGTCATGAAGTCGAGGAAGGCGTCAAAGTGCACGTAGCCAGTGTTGTTGGGGTCGACGACGGCGAGGATGCGCTGGAAGTCCAGGTCGCCCTGCCGGTCCTTGCCGATCGAGTAGCCCAGCGAGACGAGGCACGACTTGAACTCCTCGGGCGAGAGGCGGCCGGTGCGGTTCTTGTCGAAGTGGTTGAAGCTGCTGCGGAACTCGTTCAGCTGCTCCTGGCTGATGCCCTTGGAGTCGCGGGTGAGGATCTGGTTCTCCACCTCGTTGATGTTGCGGTTGATCGAGGTGAGCAGCTGCTCCCAGCCGACGCGCAGCGTCTCCATCGTGTAGTTGGTGTAGCGGTTCTCGAAGATCATCGACTCCTGCACCGCCTGGTGGATCTTCTCCAGCTCCTCGATGTTCGGCTTGTAGGCGTAGACGGCCTGCTCGTACTCCTTCAGCCGGTGCAGCTGGTCCTCCAGCGAGCCCTGCAGGCCCATGCCGATGGCCGTCACCGCGTCCATCTGCCGCTCGATCCACGGACCGACGATATTGGCCTTCTCGGCGAACTGCCGGCGCAGCATCTCGTTGTTCTGCTGCTTGCGCAGCTCGTTGGCCAGCGTCTGGTCGCGCTGGGGCACCAGCTGGCGCACGTCGCTCCACTTGCGGGTCATGTCGCTGGCGGTCAGCGTGGTGTAGGGGTTCTCCAGGCCGCCGGGGATCTGGTGCTGCTTCACGATCGACTCCACCTCGCGCACCAGGTTCACGATCAGGTTGAACTCCTTGTCTGCCTCGCCCAGCGTCGCCTTGAACTGGTCGTGCGCCTGGATCAGGCCCTGGATCTCCTCCATGGTGTGCACGATGAACATGTCCACCAGGTCCTCGCGCGTCCCGTCCAGCCAGTTGTTGAACGGCGCCGCCCGCTTCGCGAACTCCAAATGCAAGATGTCGATCTTCTCCAGGATGCGCTCGGCCTCGTCCAGGGCGGTGCGCCTGCGCTGGGTGAGGGCGCCCAGGCGGTCCCACTGGTCGCAGATGCGCTGGCACCTGGCGTTCACCGACACGCAGTCATGGTACTCCAGGGTGCTGTGGATGGTGGATGCAAATCGCAGATTAGTGGCTGCTCCCTGGGTTTCTGGTCAGGAGAAGCAATGGATGGGAATGGCTGGGTGCTGTCAGTTAGAACGTTCTTATGAATGCATTCAGTGTGACTCTGAAGATCCGTCGATTGGATTTCTCCAGCTCATAACGAATCAAAATTCGAAATGTTCAGAAATAATGTTTAGAAATGTTTAGAACTAAAGAAAGATCGTTTGATTGCTTTGAAAAGTGAAGTTGAAGTCGGACAGGATTCGATGGTCTGATTAATTGGCAGATGGATGGCGAGTGGATGGACTGATCGCGGCGGTGGAGTTCTACCTAACCTCACGCTGGACGCAGACGCAGACCAGACGCAGAAGGATCGCCACGGCAGCAGGCGGGATAGATCGATAGATCGGATTAGCTTGTGGGCTCGCGCAGGCCGGATACTTACTTCAGCTCCTGGGCGATGGCGGCGATCTGCTCGACGCGGTCCTGGTGGGCGGCCAGGTCAGACTCAAAGGCTTCGTGCTTCTTCTTCAGGGCCTTCAGCTCGTTGAGCTTGCACTGGCGGAAGTCCTGCGACTGCAGCATCTCCTCCTTGCCGCGCGTCCAGTCCTCGTGGGCATCGGCCTGAAAGTGGGTGGGTTAAATGGTGGTGATCCATCACTTGGACGCCTGCAGCTCACCTTGTGCTTGAACTTCTGGGCCAGATGCTCGAGGCGCTCCAGGCGCATGGTCTCGGCCAGCAGCCACTCCTCGAAGGCCTTCTCGGCCAGCTCCAGGCCCTTCCACGAGTTCGAGATGTCCGAGACGGTCTTGCCCTCGGTGGGCAGGTAGGCGGGCCGGTTGGACAGGCGCAGCTTGGTCTGCAGCGTGTTGAAGTTCGTCTCCAGCTTGGCCTTCTGCTCCACGCGCGGCGGCTTGTGCTTGCGCCGGTAGGTGCGGTACTCCTCCAGCTTCTTCTGCACGCCCGCCAGCGAGTTGTCCGCCTGGCGCGAGTTCAGCCACGGCATGGTGCGGCGGATCCACTCCAGCAGCTGTTCGCGGATCAGGGAGGAAGGTATGCGGTTAATTTGGGTGAAGTTCCCTTTGGCAACCCGTTGAGCTACTCACATCACTGGCCAGACGCTCGTACTCCTCCATGAGGCGCTCGTTCTCCTGGTTCACCTTGAGAACCTTGCAGATGCGGTTGGCAGCGGTTTCAGCCTGGTTGGTTGCATGGTTGGTGGGTGGAAGAGGGATGTTGCAACATTAGAAGGCTTCAATCGAATCGTTTCGCTCTGAGCGTGCTTGTGTGTGTGGGCACGGAACCAACTCAGATTTGGAAAAGCGAGAACAAGACGAACAGGAAACAGGAACAGGAACACGAACTGGGCGACGCGGCTCAGCTCACCTCAGCTCCATGCCACCAAGTCGAACCGATTGAAACCGACTCGAACTGGACTGAACTGAACTGAGCTGAGCTGTGTGCCCTTAATGCGTATATAGAAAGAATCATAACATGGCAGAAGTAGGCATTGGAAACAGGCATCGGAAAAGCGACAGAGGACAGAGCAGGACATTCCAATGCGGTCAAGCGGTCAAGGGTTAAGGTGCCCTGGATGCAGATCTGCAGTTAGTTAGTTAACGCGAGGCGTTTATCGTGTTTTTTAGGGGTCAAGGGTTTAAAGGGAATTCGGGCTGAAGGATATCCATTGGATACAAGGAATACATTTCATGATTGGTGCCCTTCATCAGCTTTTTTATGAGTAATCAGTGATCAGATAAACTCCGAGATTGAATTTTGATTAGATTGTGTAGATCATGGCAACCATCTCAAATGGGGATCGGTGTGGAGTGGTGGAGTTGGGGGGTGACTAGGTGGGCTTATCGTATACAACAGACCTTTTGGGCGCCACTGAAGCAGTGATAGTATGAGGACACATAGGTCATCACCGCCCGCTCATCGGGCAAAGCTGTGTTCTGCAGATCTGTGATCGAGTGTGTGGTGTTTTTGTTTAATATTTGTCAGGAGGGTTGTTGTAGTTGTTGTTGTTGTAGTTGTTGTGGCGATTTTGCAGTTGCAGATTGGTTAATGGCAGTTGTTGGTTTTGATGAGCAGAGCGAGCGGCACACAGAGAGATAATAAAAAGAGAGAAAGAGAAAGAAAGCAACAAACATACAAATGAATTAATCATCAACTAGGTTAGTCTCAACAGGCGTCAAACATAGTCACAGTTAATTTAGGCTAGATTAGTGTGTACAATATTGGAATACTGGAGCATGCCGGCGCACAAAACTCGAATCCTGTCCAGGATCTGGGTTCGAGTTCGAGTCTTGCTTCGAAGCGCCAATTAAACACCTGTAAATGGGGCAAGCTAGCTGCATGCAACGCTCTCGGAATGGAGTTATTGAGCCTACTAACTCCAGTGGAGGTGACCTAACCAGGGGTTAGAAACCAGTTAAGATCCCTGACAATCCCTGAGGGTTCGAACCTCCTTGGGTTCGTTGAAGGAAGGAGTTTGAAGTTTTGAAGACCTATTGGGAGGGTACGTATCTCCTACGTATCTTTTCGAGCGCTGTTAGTAGGTTATCGTTAGCATTTAGCATTTGGCAAATGCGACTTCGAATGCAGAAGCGGATGCGAATGCGAATGCAAATGCGATTGCGATTGCGGGAACAAACAAAATGCGAGAGGCCAATGCAAATCGAATCATGACAAATCCAGGCGATTGAAGATTCAAATTTGATATATAAATTCGTAGAAGAGGGCGCAATTTCGTGGCGATTCCCGCTGCCCTTCTGTTCTGGTTGCTGTGACTCGGATTTTGGCTTGACCTTGCCTCGACCTTGGCGCCCGGACCGTCGCGACCTTGGCGGGTTGGGGGGCCAACAGAAAGGAAGCAACGGCAACGGCAACAGCAACAGCAGCCAGCAGCAGCGGCAACATCACAAAATCGCATAAAATATACTTAGAACGAGGAAGGCATATGCTCATATATAGATGGATATATATGTGTGTATATCGATCGATATGCCGCTACAGCTAGAGCTAGATATTTAAGTGTATCGTGGTGAAGTTTAGTCACATTGTAATTATTCGGGACGTAGGTGTATTGTCTTGTGGGTTCGGGTACATGCGTCACATTTCCAACCTGTTGGGCTCCCTGGAAGGCGTGGTAGTAGCAGGAGACGTACGTCATGATGGCACGTTCATCCGGTTTCGGAGTGTTGATCAAATCTGTTGTTGTTCACCAATCGCAATGATTAGAACCAGGACCAAGCTGATGGCTTACGTCTAGTCGCCAAGCCCCGAAAACCCTTCAAAGCTTTCGTCGCCAGTAATGGGAGGTTCCACAGGGATTGCAGAACCCTCTATCTTAACCCAGATACCAATGGGGTTTACGTATACTTGGATCTCCTCCCATTACTGGACCCCACCCAACTGGAGGTAATCAGCCCCGAAACACTCACCGTCTGGATCCAACATGCGCGGAATATCCAAATACTTCTCGGCCACATCAAAGGCAGTGTTGAGATTCTCCAAAGGATTGTCTTTGGACAGCTTGGCGTAGTCGATCAGATCTGGACGATGGCGATGGATGAGGGCGCAGAATGCCAGACCATCCTGCGGAAGACAGAAGACAGGGGGATCCGTCAGTATGGACGGAAAGACAGACCCTTAGGAGTGGAACCGAACCCACCTTGAACGACAGGTGGAAGTTCTGTACGTTGACGTTCTTGTACGGCGCCGTCTTGCGCTGGCACCACAGCAGCAGGCCCTCCTTGGCGGTCATCTCCTCCACGGAGATGTCCTGTATGGCGAAGCGCAGGATGATCGTCCAGATCATGCCCAGGGTCATCTTCAGGTTGCCGTCCACGATCTCCTCGGCGCCGATGGACACCAGGTGGACGCCCTTGGAGGCGATGAAGTCGAGCGCCTTGTTCACGTTGGCGATCTTGTGGAAGCGCATCTTGCCGCGGTCGGGCTTGGGCAGCGTCTCGCCGGAGATCACCTCCAGCAGCAGCATCAGCTTGAGGCCATTGCGGAAGTCCTCCTCGATGTTGTCGATGGCGGTACCGGCTTTGCGCAGATGACTGTTACACCAGGCGGTGAATGTCTGAGGGGATGATACAGAAAAAGGTTAATGGTGGATCCATAAGATTTCTCTTGGAAATCCATTGAAAGCTATTAAAACAAGGATATAGAGGGTTCCCTCAGAAGGGGTTTAGTTGGGTCGGGGGAATGTTGATATTTTCGTGTTAAGTTAATGTGCAAGACGGTTAAGTACCATGGGTTCTTTCTGGAGCGTGACACCCTGTATGCGATGTCAGCTGATCGCAGATCGCCACCAGCTGCCAAGAGACTCAGTTCCTGTTTTTTTTTCTTCTTGTCTCCCATTTAGGGCAGTCCCAGCCCAGATTTTTTTTTTTTGTTGTTAGCTGCTTTCGGCTCTTAGCTGCATAACTGGTGAGACCCCTCCACCTCCTCCGCCCATTCTTTTATTCGCGACCCACTGTTGTTGCAACTGCGGCTGACAGATGCAGTTATTTTTCACCGAATGGGGACAGACAGACGACGATGGAGCAGCCAGAACAAAGAGAAAACAAGAAAAGACAGCGGGCACACATGTGTATGTATAAATATAAACCAGTTCTTTTTTGCACACACTTCATTATTTTGACCAACGTCCCCCACCCACTGGGTTTTGTAAGCCCACAACTCGGAATTGTTATGAAGATTTCTCGGACGTTCCCACTCTCACTCCCACTTTCTGGCCCTGGAAACATCCATTTACGAATCCGGGAACTATGGGTATTACGGTCATGGGTATGGGGAAACCCGGAACAATCAAAAAGGGAAGGAACAGAAGAAGGAGGCGGGGGAGGGGGTCGGCCTAATCGTTTGACAAATGGTCTGCATCTATGGCCGTATATGCATCACAATGGATCACCGCTAAAACGGGATCAGAAGGGGGGAACCGAGAGTCCACTCTATTGGCCATTAGCTTACAGTTAGGTGCGTGAGACCAGAGCGGGGGAGAGAGCTGATCTGAGAACAAGAAATGCAACTGTTAATGCAAATCGCTCTGCCCCCCGTCTCTCTCCGAAGCTCTCTCACGTAACGATCAAAACGGTTGCTGGGGACAGATTAGACGGTTACCCACTCAAACAATAACAACTTGAACTAGGCCAGTTAGAGAGTGGTGATGAGAGACAGGAGAGGGAGAATGAGAGAAGTCGACTAAGCCTGCATTGCGTCGCCAAAACAAGTCGCTCCGGGTTACCGCTAGGCTCCACGGCTGCACTCAAGCCTTTGCCTCTGCCGACGTCACTGGAGCAACCAGTGGTGCAAAAGCAACTAAGTTAAATCTAGCTCTTTTCTTACGTAAGTTGATTAAGGTATTTAAATCTATTTCAAACAACAACATGGACAATACTTCAAGTTGACAGGAGGATGATATTGTTTTTTGTGCCCAAAAAACACAATTATCTTGACAATACAGCTACTACATCTGCTATAATTTGAAAAAGTGTTTATAAACGACTTTTTCGCCTTCAAAAAGCTGGCAACACTGACGGTGTCTCTACTCTTGACTGTTGCATTCCGGCAACCCGTTTTCGCCTCTGATCAATTACCGTTATCGGGCAGCGACGGTGGCAGAGGCCAGTGGCCTGGGCCTGTGCTGATTGCAACGAATCGGCAGAGTTGGCTGACCAGCTTGCAGCTTCCAGACCTATGATTGAGCAATCTTTTTGGCCGGTCAAGGCGCACGCGCCAAAAGCAAGAAGAAACCCAACGAATACAGGCGACGTCTTTATTTTTTTGGTTAAGGAAAAAGCTCTTTTGGGGAAAAGCTCGCTATTGGCAGCAGTAGCAACGCACTCGCTCTTGCACACCCATTTTTAGCCGAGTGTAATTTGAGCGGCCCATAGCATGGACTCATTCGCACATGGCCAGGCCAGGCGGATGGAGGAGGTTGGCAACCCTGGCCGCTGATCCTCCTCATTCATTCACACCTTTCGCACACATGAGTCACGCGGCGCGACAAAGAGGGCGAGAGAGGTGGTAGTAGTGAGTCTCCACCACCCACGCCCATCCCCCCTCCTCTTTATACCTTTCATGGCGTTGTTGCGATCAATGTAAACACAAAACAGAAACAATTTCGGTGGCTGTTTTCTTTCTTTTTTCGGCTCTCATTATTCAGCAGCTGACGAATTCCGTTCGGTAATTTACGGTTACGAAATACATATAAAGAGAGATGCCACGAATACATGTCCGAGCATATCAAGCTCAAGTCATCTGGCGACCGCCAAAATCTTCATATTTTCGCATTTATTTATTTTGCATTTATTTTTCGACTTTTTTTCGATCTTCGTCAATTATTTTCAGTTTCGTTTGTGCGCGAGTGGTATGTCATTGCATTTTCGCCATGCTTTATGAGTGAGGGTGGCTGATGAATCTCAGATACAGAGATACAAAGATACCGAGATATTCTGAATCCGAATCGCGTGGAAATGTGGTGCATAGGAATGCTGTCTATTTATAATTGTCAATTTCATTTCAGCACCTAGGCGGCGTCGTGTCAAAAACACAGCCTTGCACTAAATTTTGGCTGGCAATATATAGAATTATGTACATATATAAATAATATATCAGTGTGCTTGCAGGTCTCTGGATTAGAGATCTTGGGGATGGGTCTTTGGCTCTGGCAAAGGTGTGCGAACTGACTATCCTCTGTGGCTCTGTGCCCCATTCGCTATCTCTCGTTCTTCCCAGCCTTTTGGCCCTTATCGCGAACGACCTTCTGGTCTTCCTAGATATCTCCACCTCACACCCCAATACTACTTATGGATCGGTGTTTCCAGGTTTATCTAAACAGTGGCAATTAGTTGCAGTTCTTCTTCTGACGCCATAGGTATGTGTAACGGTGTGCTTCCGCTGGCAGACAGCGACAAACAACAAACAAACAAACTAAATGATGAACAAGACGATTGGGTGGGGGGCTTGCAGGGGTAATTGATTGGAAACTGTATGGAAAATGTATTGTTAACCTTCGCTTCTGATTGGGTTGGGCCTTCCCATGACGATCTGATCAACCTGTTGGGCGGCGGGAAGCAACAGTTGGAACCTAATAACATCTTCGATTTTCATAATCATAAGCGATCGAAGGCTTTCGATATACGTTCTATTTGTGCTATCCTATATGTATAGTTCCTGAACAGCAACAAACTATTTTCGTACTATCTTCAAACATTGCTCGAACAACAAGAGCCATGAAAATCACGAAAGAAGAATTCTATTTTTAAAACTGGCCACTGAGCTTTTTTTTGTAGTTGTTGTTCTAGCTTTTTTCTCGTGTGAACCCTATGTTGTTGTTGCGGTGGCGGTGGTGGTGGTGGTGGTGTTGGCTCGGTAAAATATTGAAACATAATCAAGAAATATAGAACCCAGCCAGACCAGAGACCAGAGAGCATATATCCAATACAAACGGACTTCGGATATGGTGGGTACCCGAAAAATTGACGAACAGAATGGTCTTGCAAGACGTTTTCTTTTCCCAAGTCTTCTCGAAATATTTGGGTTATTTTAAAAATCTTGAATAAAGCTTAAGGAGGGCAGCTCCTAATATTCCGCTTTCGTTATGAATCCAATTCTAATTCAATAATCCAATTCTAATTCTAAGGCTCATCGCACTCTGACTTTTGAAGTTTTAAAATACTCAAAATCCAGCCTTTAAACATAAAATTGTTCTGAAGAGTAACCCCAACAATGGTGCTATTTTAACTTTGTTAAGTGACAAAAGAGGGCTCAATCCCAACTACTCAGTACGATAGTTCGATTTCGTTTAGACATAGAGGGTGATCACAAAACAAACAAAATTCAATGGGGGGATTGACTGTGTTTTCTAGCTTGGGATTGACACAGGCATGTGGCATAGGTTCAACAAAAAGTTTAGGTTCTAATTCAAAAAGTGATCGGTACCCAGAAGGTTTTATTTGTGGGTTTTGGATACTAGGTTTTGGGGTTGCAAGGTAGTTTACAGGGCTAAGTGGGCTAAGGGCGTTGTCCGCCTCTCACTCACCTTCTTCTGTTGCTTCTCCCACGCAGGATCGAGCAGGCCCTCGCGCTCCCACTCCTCCTCCTGCTCCATGTAGCCATCTCCGTACTCCATGGAGAGTCCGTTCTCCATCATCATCTTGTGGCGCTGTGGATGTCCCGCTCGCTCGCTTTATATCTAGTTCGTTCCCTGTCCCGCTGCACACTGACTTGCTCGCTCTCGCTGCTGCCGCTGTCTTGTTGGTGATCCAGTTGCTGCTGCTGCTGAAGGAAAACAACGGAGGTTGTAGTTGACGGCCGCTCCGGTTGCTTTGGTCGCTTCATTTGGCGGCCAAGTCGTTTGAATGGGTTTGGGTTGCTTTGCTCTTGTTTCGATTCTCGGTTCTGGACAGCCTCTACATACATGCGACTGTGCCTACGTGTGTGTGTGTGCGTGTGACTGGGTGCTGACTGACAGACTGACTGGCTGATTGATTGATTGGCCGATAGGGCAAAGTCTCCCCGATCCTGAAAGCTCTCCTGGGGGAAAGGAAATGGCAACGGCAACAGTTGCATCAACCTGCCACAACAGGTGGTTGCCGCTCCACCCGTAAAGCCCCTTGCCCCTTAACCGATTCCCGCTAATATTCGAGTTCAAAACGCTTTAGTACAAAAACAAAAAAAATCAAAAAATCAAGAATTCGGACTGGCAAAATCGTTGTATAACACGTTAATTTGCTGCTTAATTATTTTTGCGTTTGCTTTGCTCGTTCTTTTGTGTGTTTTCCGTGCTCGTTCCGTTTCGTATCGTATCGTATCGGTTAAAAATAGTATGTTTTGAAAAAGTTTTATTTTCGGCGTCAACGTCAACGCAGCGAAGGGAAGTGGGCGGGGCTGGGGGCGGGCGGGCGGTCTGGCAGAAGGAGAAGGACGGTACGGGATTGGTACATATTTGAAATAATTCTGAGAAATAGCGCGAATTCGGATCGGAAATCGGAACTGATCCGGTAAATATAGATTGATATACTCGCGGTGGGTTGCTTTGTTCCTTTTTTCGTGTCTTTTTTTTATTGGTAGCACTTTGAGTCTCCATATATATATGCACATATTGTTCGGATATATAAAGAGATATATGTGGTTAGGTAGATATAACCATCACACGCACACACACACACCTCACACATATGCAGTAGTAGCAGCTTCGTTACTTTTTGCTTTGCTCATTTTTGAATTTTTGTATTTATATTTATTTTTCAACGAGTACAAAAAAAAACCCAAAAAAAAGAAAATAGAGTATAACGAAGGCAAGTGTCGGTTGGCCAGATATATATGCACATATATATATCTATATCTATTCGTGTGTGTGTATCGGAACCAAACAAAAACAAAAACAACAAAACAATCTGTGTGGACAGCAATTGGAGCAATATCTACGTGTGTCGCTTGCGAAGAGAAAGACCCGCTCGCGTTGATAGCCAACTCAAAACTGATGTCGCGCCAGCCAGCTGCCAACTCTGAATACCGTCGCAGTCGCAGTCGCAGTTGCCGCTGCTGCTGCCGCCGTCGTCTGCGCACCACCACCCCCCATCCGCCCCATCTGCCCCACTTCGCCCACAGCAGCCGAAGAAGAGGAAGAAGAAGCAGAAGAAGGAGAAGAAGGAGAGGCGGAGGCTGAGGAAAAGTCTGCCGTGCAGCGGGAGCATCGGATCGAATCGGATCGGTTTGGATCGCTTGCCACAGCCGAAGATCCCGTCCCCAACATCCGAAGATCCGACGACCCGAAGCCCCGAAAGCCGAGCGGCCGAGGAGCGGAGCGAGGGGAGTGGCAGAGTGGGAGTGGGTGGCAGAAGAAAGTATGAATTTGGCCAGCACAAGCGTTCGAATTGTGGCACCCTATATCGGATGGTTATGTGGGTATGCTGCTTTCCAATACGGCCAACCAGTTCGGTTTTCAATTAAAGGTTGGTTTTTCGATGTTCAGTTACTACGATAAGACATTCATTGGCAAACTTTATTACGAGATAACGAAGCTCTCTGAGCTTTAGAAAGCTGTCCTTAACTAGGCTGTGATGATTTCGGATCCCCGAGAACGGGGTATCACAAGTTCGTTACCCTTCCACTGGCAATCATTCTCGTTTTCGCTCATTTGCAGCTGCGACTGCAGCCTGTTCCTGTTCCCCCTTTCCTTTGAGGAGAGCCCCGAACCCCATTAGTTGAATTGGTAGGAAAATGCAGTTGCAGGCGACAAAAGAAGAAAGTGGAGGAGGCGCAGAAGGTGCAGGTGGGGCACCCTGTACATGGTACGCAAATGCGAGACAACAACAACTTGTTGGCCCCGAGTGTGTCAGTGTCTCCACTTCTCCGTCTCCGTCTCAGTCCCCCGTCCTTCTCCGTTACCCGCCTGTCGGCAAGTCTCCGCGGTTCAGACAGCACCGGCATCGACATCGACATCGGCATCCACCATCCACCAGCATCCACCCATAACCCCCCTTGCCGGGTCTTCGGAAAACGCCCCCGCATAACTACAAAAATAGCAAATTGTTAATTTCGCTTCGAAAACTCTTTTCCAATACACACACAATCAAACTGCAAATCGGCGGAGGAGAAGAGGTTTTGGGGAGCACATGATTTTATTGGCATGCTTTCATGGTTTTTCCGTGCGAAACATTTCATTTTTCATTTTTCATTCCACATTTCACATTTTTCAACACGCTGTTAAATAGTTTTGACTGTGTGCGTTTTTCCCGTCGGGGGAGAGAGGTTACATATATTTATGAAAATTTATAAAATATGCTCGCCAGTCTCAAAATCAAGGATAGCGATTAGCTAGGCCAATAAAAACCACCCACAATAAGTGTGGACTCTCCGTCCGCCGCCGTCTCCCTCGCACACTCTACCCCTATCTCTCGCTCTTCGTAGGAGCTTTCGAAAGCTCTTAAGATAAATTCTGTTTTTGATTCTCTGAGGATCTTGGAACACTGTAATATAAACAAGAACGCTGCCGGCAGAAAGGATCCCCAAGAACGCAGTGTCTTATGCGTCGCTTTGTGCCAATTTCAAGCTGCTCCATAGAGTGATGTGTGGTGATTAGATTGTGAGATTCAGGCGGAGATGGAACTCAAAATTGGGTATTTATAGATCATAATGTGCGTCGTCAGCGGGCAGTTTTGTTCTTTTTTCGAAAACAATATCTATTCTTAGTCGCTGCTTGTGCGTTAATACCATATTTTTGTTAATACACACTAACATACAATCCTGCTGAGACATATATTTTATAAAAATTGACCAAATGCCATTTGAAAGGCAGCGGCCCCAAGGTGAGGAGTGGGGGCCAGGAGGTGGCCCACAAACCAAAAATGATTGGGTAAGCACGGCACACACACACGCACGAAACACGTACAGTGCGGTTCAAAAAACGAGCGATTACTAATAAGAGTTTCGGATAGGGAAGGTCACTACGAATTGGTATATAATGTAAAGGATAACCTGATCAGTGGGATTTCTCTAGCTTATAATCTCTTCGCAATCGCAAAAAAATGGTTCCAGTTTTTCAAAACACCTCTTAAATACTGTGTCTATTTCTAAACAGTGTCCACTGTGAAATTTATTTATTACCTCCATCTAATTATATCACAAATATATTTGGAAAGAAGCCAACAATTGAAAGGCCCATAGAATAAATCAATTAACTATTAATACAAAACTTTAATTTGGCTTAAGAAAAACGTCCGAAAATGACACGATAGTAAAATATCTTCGCTTTACTGTCCCGAAACGTACCGGTCATATATGTAATGTTAACATTGACATACGTCCGTGTGGACAGTTGGATTAATAGCAGATCCGCAGATAAAACGACAATATCTCTTGTTATGCAGTTTATATATTATACATAGATATATTTTGTTGGTTTTCGTCTGTGTTTCTTGTATCTCGCAAGTAATTGATAACGCTTGGGTACAATTATGTTTAAAAGTAATTACAATTGATTTAGAACAGGGCCAGCACCGCAGACTTGCGCCCGCCGACATATATATGTATTCTGAACTCGTATGTTTACATATGTACGTCTGTAGATCATAACTACGCTTTAAATTTTAACCTTTAAATATATTACGTTTACTCTTGTATCTTTTATCTTTTAGCTTTAGTTTAACTTTTACTTTGCTTGTGTGCTTTCTTTTTTCGTGTTGTGTTCTTTTCAAGTTTTGGATTTTGTTGGTTTTTCGTTTACGGGCACGCAAACGTCGAGGAGGCTAATCTTCTTCATAAGGAAAACATTTTCTATGTCAATAATAATAATATTAGGTAATAAAAAAAAATAAACAATTAAATACACATTTAGCGTAATATTAGAGGGGCTTTTTGAGGATATTGGGGTTATAGAGGAGAAATGCAAACAAACGCAATCACAATGAAACATTCTTGGGGCGGAGAACGGGGACGACTTTCGAGTCCGACCCCTACTCCAGTTTCATCGCCAGATTAGGCGGCGGCTGCGCCTTCAGCTGTTCGAGAAAGAGCTCCTCCAGCGGCCGGTCGCTGGTGATGCGGAAGAGGAACAGGTGGTCCTGGCACTTCAGACTGATCGATCGCAGGGCGGGCAGCCGCAGCAGCAGCTGCGCGAAGCGGCCGTCGTCACCCGGGTGCTCTTGACGACAGTGCTCGTCCAGGCAGGCGTACACCTTCTCCCGGCACATCTCGATCTCCGCCCGGTTCTTGATCCCTCGTATGTCCGGGTTGTACAGTATGATCGCCTTCAGGCAGGACAGCTCGCGGCGGTCTAGGCTCAGGCGCTTCATCTTCACGCTCAGCTCGGACAGGATGCGGTCGAAGATGGCCGAAACGCCGGCCTTGATCGCGCTGTTGCGATGGTACGAGAAGCTCTGGTTGAGGAACAGCTGCTGGGGCTGCAGTCCCGGCGAGCGCCGTTCGAAGGTGCCGTCGTGCCCAAGACCGCCGCCGCCGACGCCTCCGGCACCGCCGTCATCCAGCGACACGATGCTGCACCAGGCCACGTTCGCGATGAGCAGCTCGATCCAAGCGGCCTTCAGCAGGATGACCTGGTCGTCTAGCGGCACTTGGGCGAAATGCGGCATCATGCGCGCGTATTCGACCATCTGGAAGAGCTGCTTGTTGACCACCTGGCACAGGGCTGACACGGCGCCCTTGTAGTCCGGCTGCACTGTGGAATAGGGGCCGACACGCAGGAAGGTCAGAGCTCGGTCGCCGCACTGGGTCTCCGCCCGCTGCTCGGCCTCCAGGATGCGCTCGATGGAGAAGTCCCTGGACACGCTGTTCGTCATGAAGTCGTCGGAGCCGTTGCCACTTCCTAGGCCGCCGGATCCCACACTCATTCCGCCGCCTCCTCCGCCTCCGCTTGAGCCGCCCACAGACCCCGGGCCGCTGCTGCCGCCTCCGCTGGCGCTCAGCCTACCCGCCGCATTGCGGGCGCCGCGCTGGCGCTCCTCCTGCACAGCCTCGCGCTTCATGCCGCAGGTGAGGCACTTCTGGTAGCGGCAGTACTGGCAGCGGTTCCGCTGCCGCTTGTCAATGATGCAGTTGCGGTTCTCGCGGCACGCGTATGTGAGATCCTTGCGCACCGTGCGCTTGAAGAAGCCCTTGCAGCCCTCGCAGCTGTACACCCCATAGTGCTTTCCGCTGGCCCGGTCTCCGCAGATGGAGCAGAGGTGCTTACTGCCGCTCAGCGGATGGTTCGGCGGGTACTGCTGCTGGACGGCAGCGGCTGCGGCGGCGGCTGCAGCTGCCGAGTTGGGCGCCTGCGCCATCTGGGCGTCCCCACTGTTGTTATTGGCGCCGGCCGAGCCGGAGTTGCTGGGTAGCACGTGCACCATGGACATTCCCTGCATGAAGGGTCCGGGACTCTCGGCCTTGGGCGAGAAGCTGCTATTGTTGCTGTCGTTCAGCTGCGAGATGTCTGGCTTGACCTCCTCCTTGATGTGGCTCAGCCGGAAGCTGGCGTCCTCGCAGTTGTCCATCCTGGAAGTGCTGGATGGGATGTCGGGATGCTGTAAGGGATCAGCGGCTCCTTCTCCTTCTCCAACTCAACCTCCTCACAGTTTCTCTTTTTCACGCTTGCTTCGTGTATGTGTCTTTGCTTTCGCCTGTCTCTCTCTGGGGATTTCACTTTGCCAACGCCACCGTGTCCGTCCGTGCGTCCGTCCGCGTATTCGTCCGTGGGGCCAAGTGGAGCAGCTCGCTTCGCTTGCAGATTCTTCGCCGCTGCTGCATTTACATAATCCCGCTGGAGCCGCGCACTTTTCTCACTTGCCTCACCCAAACAATTGCGCTTTTTACCAACAAAAAAAAAATGCCAGACTTTCTGACTAATGGATTAAAACTTTTTTTCGCGTCGACATTTTTTCTCAACAAAGACAATCCCACCACAGCAGCGCAACTCACCACCATAGAGATGAATCGTGACACAGGTAGCGCACGAATCACGGTCATGACTTTCTGATGGTGGAAAGAAACTGGTCCTAGTGTCTCACCACTCATAAGCACAAGTATATACAAAAATATTTGTATTAAGCTCGTGGTACAACTGTTTTGCAAGTTCATTTCAATATAAAAAAAAACACTTTAGCTTTTCTCGTGACTTACAGTCCGCGCATCTCTAACTCACCAAAAAGTGGACAGAGTTGTCCCCTCACCCACGCAAACTGTAAACAGCCGGCGGCTGTGGTCCACTTTATGCGCTTATGGCCACCACAGCAACCAATAATTTTAGCCTCACCTAATTATTCATTAAATAGTGCCAATTAGTCAATAAATCGAATTGTGAACTGGAGAGTGGGTCCAGCGACAGCCCTGAAGCGCCATTGCACAACTCACCACGGCCGCAGTGAATGCAACACTGCGTCTGTCTGGCCCCCACACCCTCCCCCATGCAACCACCCACACAATGCCACAAAATAATTTTGCGCCGAATATGAAGAAAAGTGAAATGGAAGCGCCAATTTCACCGCTGCCGGCGCCAACCTCGACCCAAAATTGTAGCCGACGTTGCCGAGAATCGAGCGGTTTAGCAAGTGAACCGCGAAACCAACACCGAACACGAATTGGAGAGGGATTGGGTGAAATAAAAATGCAACTTACATGCAGCCAGTGGCTTAGAATGCGACGCAAGTCGCAAGGTAAAACTTTGTTTTGTTTATTTACTCGGGAATCTATCTGTTATCAGTGCTCGCGGGCACGCACACACAGGTAGAAGCACAAACACGGACACACGACGCTGATTAAATTTGTTGCAATCTTTATTTTTATTGTAATTTACAAAGAGACGCGGTAATTGGCATTCGCAGCGAGGCGCGGAAGAAGAAGCATCGGATTCGCGAAACAACAGCTGACGAGTGGTGAGAAAGACCGGTTAAGGGGGACAGAAAACTGGTTTGTCCATGGTGAAAATGGCTTTTGAGTTGAGTTTAGGTGATTAGAGCGTCCGGCTTAAAAAAGGAACTAGTTCTTTTTCAGTTATTTAAAATAATTAATGACTGTTAACGGCTTGCTTAGTCTGCTAATTTTGTAGTATAGTGTAAAACTTATTCTGTTTATTAAAATGCTTAACCAACTGCTAGTCAATAAAAAAATAGCGACTCTCAAATTTGAGCTAAATGTCGAAACTTGTAATTCATAGAAAATGCATATAGAATATATACAACTTCCGAGCTTAAAATTATTTAAATCTTTAATAGGCTAACCCGGTCCTACAAAGATTAATCGTATTTTTGTATTTTGGGTGTATTGTTCTGTTGCCTCTTTAGTTGGTCTCAGCCTTTTTCGCTTGGCTTATCTGTGCCTATAATAATACCCTTGGAGAGGGTATTATAACTTCAGTCAAAATCTTGCAAAACACTGAAGCAGATGGTGTTTTCTTAGGACTCTTGAATTTCATGAAAATTGGACCCCAATAGCATATAGTTGTCATGTTAATTTAGCCTTCATGCATTTGGCCCGACAATTTTGGTGACTGGAAGGGTATATAGGCTTCGGCTTGCCGAAAATTGGATTGAAATTCGATCGGCTGAAATTGTAGATAACGAAATGTTTACATCGGCGCTGTTCGTGTTTGTTTTCTGCTCTCAATCATAATCCGAATCCGAATCGCCGTGCAGCTTGCAAAGCTAAGAATTCCGCAGAGTTCCAATGAATTCGTTTAGATATTTGATTTCCTCCTGGTAGACGCCCGTCTCGTACAGCAGGTTCTCGTACTCCCTCATGATTCCCTCGTAGTCAAGGCTGCTATTGCTGCTATTGCTGCTGCTGCTGTGACCTTGGCTCTGATCGCGCCCGCCCCCACTGCCACTGCCACTGCCACTGCCACCCCCATGGGGCAGTCCACTTTGCGGCGACTCCTCGAAGTTCAGATAGAGCTGAAAGAACGTCGCATCCTGGCAGCGGCAAATTGGGCAAGTTCTCGATCTGCAATGCGGATGGAGGTTATTATAGTCCATTTAGTGGTGAACGGATTTCCAAAGGTTTGCAATAACAGTTCAAGTTACTTCTGGGGAATTCCCCCAAAATCAAGAACCACAACAACTTGCTTTTATTAGCATATCGAATTTAGCTAAAGTCCGAAGACCACGTCGATAAGATGAGATCTTTTCTTAGATGGGAGTGTTCAGAAACCTCTGAGCCAGAAATACCAGAAATACGGAGGACTTACTGCTCTCGCCAGCGCTTCAGGCACTCCTCGTGGAAGGCGTGCCCACAGCTGCCAGCGGTCAAGGGGTCCGTGCTGCGGCAGAGCTCCGTACAGATCGGGCAGATCACGTTGCTGTGGCTCATTCCGTTCCACTTCGATTTGCTCAATTCGATTCGATTTGATCCGATCCGATCCGATCCGATCGGACTCGACTGCCCGGCACCGCGTTGCTGCTCGTCCGGTGGCAGCGAACTGAATGCAGCTCGCTGGATCGCCTGCTTCGCTGATAAGCGTCCAGAGGGCCGTAGGCCAGTCCACTCCATTCCTCCAGCCCCTCGGAGACACTCCTCCTGCGCTCATAATCGCCGAGCCAGAGCCAGTGCCAGCCCACCTTTGTGCACCGCCCCATAATGCGGAAAGTACGTATGTGGGTCAGCGATGGATACTCCTCCGAGCCAAATCAGCCGAGATAAAAGCTCCACTCGTATAGGCGAGATTACACTTCAAACTAGAAGCTATCTGGTCACCGAAATTGAATTGCCTCGGCTCAAAGCGATGGAAACAGGGGTTCGGAATCTAAAATGGCTTCCAGTTTTCGATCCCAAAGAATGCGCATTTTCGTTCAATCAAAATGTTAGCCATCGCCCATTGACATTTAATATTTGGTAGTGGGATTAGCCATGTTTAAGAGCGCCAAGAACCCCTCCCATATCACATGATGTTGCTCAGAGTTCTCTGATTGGAGGAGTGAAGGGTGTTGCATCCGCTCAAATGACTTTCGCTGATTTGGGGAACCACAATCAAACATCGGTAGTAAATTAGAAGTGTTGTTTATTTGTGTAAACATATGTGTCTATATTCATATTCGATTGCTCTGTCGTCTTTCGAATGGAGTGCTTGGGGTGGACTAACAACAGGTTCATTTACAGAGGCCTTCGTTGGAGTGGAATGTTTGTGTTGGGAGCAGTGCGGAAAAGCCAATGCTCGTTTGCAGTAGAAGTTTGCTTCGGGTGGATAGGGATAGGGATCCACTCTATAGTGGATCGAGTGGATAGTGCACGGGGTTAATACTAAGCGTGGGCGACCATAATTATCTACAATCTACAACTAGCACTAGGTAATGTCGGGTGAAATGATGCTTCGAAAGGTTACATGCATGCTCAGTGTAGAGCCAAAGTTGTGTTCCTGTACAACTTCAGATGACAAAACCAATCTTCTTTGAATGGGCAGAGTCTAGGGGACACCTATGGCACTGGTTGGACCCTCTTCCTCGCTATTTGGCATGTACTTTGACTTAAACAACGATATCTACGGGGAGCTGCTTACGATAGGGGGCGTGGCATCGCATCGAACTGCAACACCTTCTACATTCTGTTTACCGATCCACAATGCCATGCATGTTTGCTGTTTCTTCGGAAACGGAAACGATTTTTGGAATTAAAGCATTCGTTAGTCTTTTGGGAACTTCATCTTGGCCGTCAGCTTGGAGCCGGAAACGGAGGCGGCTGCCGATGAGTTTGCCGGTGAGGAGTTGCCCTCCGGCGCAGCGGCGACCGAGTTACGATCCGCGAAGGATTGGCTTCTCTTCGGGCTGTCCACGTTCATGTAGATGTGCGGAGTCGCCGATCCTCCCGTTGTTGCTGCTCTGGCTGATGTGGCTGATGCTGCGGCCGTAGAGAGAGGATGCATTGGGGCTGAGGGGGGCGGGGGAGCCGGCGTGGAGGGCGCCGACGTGGCCGGCGGCGTCGGCGGCAGCTCCTCCTCCTCCAGAATGATGTCGTCGCCCACCATCGTTATGCGCCGGATCGAGGAGGAGCCGCTCCCCAGCGAGCCAACTCCTGGCCGGTAAATGGAGCTGCTGCTGCTGCTGCTGCTGATCCCCAGTCCCAGTCCCAGTCCCAATCCCATCCCCATCCCGCTTGGACTGGGACTGCTGCTGCTGCTGTTGAAGCCGCTGTTGGTGTAGGAGTGATTGTTCTTCTTGAGGGGCAGTCGCAGGTTGCTGCTGCTGCTGCTGCTGCTCCCGTTGGCCGTCGCCATGGCGACTGAGGGGGCGGGGGCGTAGCACTCGGCAGCGGGAGATTCATCTTGAGTATGAGGTCGGGTGCCCGCGACATCAGCTCCAGGCCCTGCTGCGACTGCTGGTTTGCCACTGTGCCCTGGGTCACCGTTCCCGTTCCCGCTTGCGCCATTGGAGTTGGCGTTCCCAATCCCGATCCCGATCCCCCCGACATCTGGGAGACGACGGTGCGGCTGTGGTTGTGGCTCAACCCGGTATCTTTCCATTTCTCTGAAACGAAGAGTGACCGTGACTTAGTGCTGGGCGCTCGGCGAGCACTCCGGACGGGGGGCACATACCTGCGGCGCTGCTGGCCCCGTTCGCCTTCCCGAAGGGCAGGAGGAGGCGGGCGGGCTGGCAGAAGACGACCGTCTTGTAGGCCTTGCGGTACTGCTTGTTCATGATCACGTAGATGATCGGGTTGATGCAGGCCGAGAGGTAGAGCAGGATGTAGCTGCAGATGTGCAGGCTGGGGTGCTCCACGTTCTTGTCCGCCACCTTGACGATCGTGATGGGCAGGTAGCAGACCACGAAGGACAGGAAGATGGCCAGCACCATCTTGGTGATGCGCCACTCGTTCCGCTTCGCGCGCACCTCCCTCTGGTCCTTCACCCTCGAGGGCTGCTGCTTGCCCCCCGGGCGCCGACTCCGGGGTGTCCACGGAGAAGCTGCTGCTGCTGTCCGAGGAGACCCTGTTGCCCACGCTCGGCGGGCACTCCACACCCGAGGAGAGTGCTCCCGCTCCTGCTGCGGACTCGGAGCTGGCCAGCGGGCGCAGGTTGTTGGGGATCGAGTTCTGCTTGGTGGCGTGCCGCTTGAGCCGCTGCTCCGACTTGTGCACCACCCAGAAGATCTTGGCGTAGCAGGCGATGATCACCAGGCAGGGGATGACGAAGGCCGTGATGAAGAGCGTGGTCTTGCTGCTGTGCCCGTGCTCGTCGGTCATGATGGAGCAGGTCTGGAGGCGGGGGTCGTACCCGAAGCGGCCCCACTCGCCCAGCAGCGTGGGCAGCTGCATCCCGTAGGAGAAGAGCCAGCAGGCGGCGATCATGGCCGCGATCCAGTGGCGCTTGTAGATCCGCGCGTACAGCCCGTGGTGGGTGATCATCACGTAGCGGTTGATGGTGATCATGGCGATGCACAGCAGCGAGACCCCGATGTTCCCGTACTGGATGAAGGGGATCAGCCGGCAGAGCACCTGGCCGTGCCGCCACGTGCCCTGGATGAAGCGCAGCCCCTGGAAGGGCAGCACCAGGGCGCAGAAGAGCAGGTCGGCGATGCACAGGCTGCCCAAGAAGCAGAGGAAGTCGAGTTAGTCGAGGGTTGGGGTCTCAGCGAAGGGAACTCCTCACCTGATGATGAAGGCGGCGGCCACGTTGCGCACCTTAGGGCACTTCAGCAGTGCCACCACGGTCAGCAGGTTGCCGCAGATGCCGACGACCATGATGAGGAAGGTCAGGACCGCGGCGAGGGTCAACAGCGATTGCGAGAAGCTGCGAAGAGAGTGAATCGAAGCATTAGGAAGATATTCCATTGCAGAGCTGCCGTTCATACGATAGCACTTTCGCCTCTATCTCGCAGAACAGAGCTCCCCAAACAGAAGTGGTCCTTCCCCGACCTTTGGCTATCGCCATATCGGAGCCGCTTCCGCTGAGTGGCCAACCCACGAGAACCAAGAATCGCCCGTCTTTGTCAGTCGGCCGGCGATCGGTGCGGCGGATCGCCACTGGTGCAATGGAGCGCGTAATATTAACGATCTCTTATCGGGGCTCTCCCAGCCGGGGCTATAATTACCCAGTGCTCGCTGATAGCTCCGTCTCACTTGACACCCACTTGGAAAGGCGGCAGCGCCCTCCAAGAACCCAATGCCCAATGCCCAACTCACCCGCTCTCGTCCGCCGGCGGAGAAATGGTCGTCAGCGGCTCCAGGGGGGGAAAGCCATCCAGGCCAATGGTCGTCTCGGCACTCATTCTTCTGGAAGAAGGAGAAGGGAGGAGGGAGCTCCTCAATTAGAGATGAGTACAGATGGACCTGGGAAAAGCTGCATCCTATTTAGGGCCACCTACTCGTGCTCAACCACTTGCAAAGATGACACAGTGCCCTTAGATCACCGTCAAGCATCACCAGAGATCGCATTTATTAAGACTGATACACTTTTCCGACAATTGTTCTCCCCACAAGTGACTCATTTTCCCGAGAATAAATGAATTACTTTTCCACGGGCACAATATTGATCACTTAAGACTCGGGGAGTTGGCCAATTATTCCCTTGATTTTACGAGCATATTATGCTTAAGGTACACCTTCTGCTCGAGAGCTACGAACTTGAACCTTATCAGCATTGTCAAATTCACGACCACCAAGGTTATCAATAAGTTGGCAAATATTTGTCGATGGAAGTCAGTTTCTGTTTCTTGAGAGCGGTGCACAATGCACAAGTCGGCAGTGATAAATGATCTAACTAAAGTCTTGATTCCCTGTAAGCTTCTGAGAGGGATTACCTTGAAAAGGATCACGCGATCTTGATAAGAAGGGTCACGGCCCAAACACAACTTAAAATATATAGGCTAAGATGGGGTAAAACCGCCAAAAATGTATATTTGACGATGTCAAGCTTTCATTTATAAAATGATCAATGATCCAAATCATATTTCTGAAAGTTTAATCCCTTGGCTACATAATTCATTAAGAAAGTTTTTATGTAGCTTTTTTTTTAAAAGAATTGTGATCGTTCAGAAGAAAAGTTTAAAACGGCGGTTTTACCCCACCTAGTGGGGTAAAAACGCCATTCTGGTTTTAGTGTAGTTAAGTACCCAAATAATGTCAATAACTTCTGAGAAAAATTTTTATTCAATTCAAATGGATATTACATGTTACAACGAATATATTATATAAAAGTAAAAATAAGAAATTGAAGCGAAGTCATAAGCAAGTCGTCGAACTGCTGTCCGAGAGAAACCATGAAACATAGCTGATGCTTTTATGAGATATTTCTCAAGCGATGCCTCTTGGTCGTCAGTAAAAATCTGTAAAATAAGAATTACGTGGTTAAAATAGTTTTAAACTAAGAAGAAATGTCGCATTAACAAAGGTTTGAAACTGAAAATTAAAATATTCTTATTTAAAAGATAAAATCATTTTATACAAAACTGTTTGCAATTATCTGTTCAAAAAGAAAGGCTGTTATTTTTAAATTGAATTGAATTCAAAATCATGACATTACATATTGTTTCAATTAACAAAAATTGTGAATATTTGACACTTTACCTGGGGATGATGGCCATAATAAGCGTTGTGCGCTTTGTTGACTCGGTCTCGCAAAGTCTCTCGGGGAATCCCATATTTTTCGGCAGCAACTGCCACCTTGCTGCCCTCCTGAACTTCCTCGATTGCCCGTTGAAATATATTTTCATCAATTTTTGATTTTTTTCTTGCGAGGCAGGATGGTGAAAGACATTCATTCTCGATTAAAACGAGTTTTTCCGTTATCAAATTGTGTGGCGTTTTTACCCCACCTTTTCGCGGCGTTTTTACCCCACGCGCCAATTTTTTTTCGAGGTCACTTAGTTTGTACAATTTTGGAAATATTGGCTAACTTGATACATGTACATCAGTATCAAGGTTCGTACTATAAGCGGACACTTACCTCTTTTTTTAAGCCGTTCACTTACACTTGATTGAGCAATCTTTATAACAAAAATTTTTTGGCGCCGTCGAGTGAAACAAAAATGGCGCTATAGAAATTGTCACGATAAAGCTGCAGTATTCCGACCGACTTCAAAAACCGCGCATTATCAATCAGAATCTACATTATCAACGGTTAATCGTTTCGGCGCTTCATTTGAATTTGAAATCCAAATGGCGGTTTTACCCACCGGCGGTTTTACCCCATCTTACCCTACTTGTTGTTGCTGTTATTTCAAATACTACACTTTCTCAAGAAAAAATATAAAATAAAATATTTTGCAGCCAGAAGGTATCTGATTATTATTCACATTTCGGGTGGTGTTCCCCCAAAGAGGGTTGCACAAGGGTTATCACCTCTGAAAACTTCTGCTTTTTACGGTCAACCTGCTCTGGATCCTGTTGACGATGATCGCGCTTGGCACTGACCGATCCCCGATTGCTGGACACTGGACACTGGACACTGAACACCGATCGCCACCGCCGACAATTGCCAACTGGCAGCGGCAGAGGCTCGCGAGTGGCTCAGACCCTGCCTCAAAAAGAGGAGAACTGGCGCCGCCTGTTGTTGTTGCGCCGACGCAACACCCGTAGCCGTAACTCGAAAACCGTAACCCGTAACCCGCCACCCGCCACCCGGAGTCCGAAGCCTGTAACCCGGAATGGGGCGTGGCAGCCGCTCTGCTTCTTCGGGACTATGATAAATTAGTGTCAATTAAATAATTTAAAGGGGTCACACTCGGCGCTGTTTCGCTTTGGGTTTGGGTTTCGGTTTCCAGCGGCAGTTCCAGCGGCCGTTGCTGCACCACTTGGGGTGCAAAGATCAGCGTCGAACCTTAATTAATTGAGTGTGCGGCGGAGACGGGCGTCTCTGGGCATCTCTAATGTGTGATGCGATGGGAAGTGCTCGTTCTCCGCTCGAGTGGTCGCTAATCGAGACAAGTGTCGTGTTCTTGTACCGCCCTCAGCACTGAGAGAAAAGTCCCAATGCAATTCGAATGACAGTTAGTTACCACAATTAAGTGTTGTTTTGCTTTGTTTTTAATCTTACTCGGTATCCTAGTATTTTTAATTGAACAACTCATTTATTCGTAATAGAAACATGTCTCAGCTGATAACTGAAAGTGACTGTGTAACGGGATTGTTCGGTGTGTATTACTCTTGCTTAGTCAGAACTGGACATCTTTGCTCTTAACTGGCACGCCTTAAGTAATCTTCCCCTTCTTTCCCGTTCGTTCCTCAACCCTGTCCAGGTCATGACTGGAATTCAGCATGGCTCAATGGGGCGTATACGCAATCTGTCTGGATCGCCTTCCCATGCGAGCTTAGAATATTTCCTTATCTTATCGCCTCCGAACAGAACAGAACCTTACCTGGGTGAATTTGGTTTCGTTATTTGGTAATCTGCTGCGACTGCTATGACCGTGATCAAGCAGCTCTCTCCTGGCGCTCTCCTTGCTTTCTCCTCCTCTCTTCTCTTTTACCTCCCCCTGGTCACTGTGTGCGTGCGTTATCAGTGGTCAGCGGGGGATAGTGATGGCGGGTGGGGGATCGCTTGCTTATTTGCTTTGGCTCACGTAATCGAAACTAGTGCTGCAGCAGTGATCTCTGCCGCTCTCCTTCCTACTCCTCTCTCGAATCTCTCCACACTCCACTTCCTCTCGCCCCCACTCTGTTTCTTATTCCTCCTCTTATTCGACCAGGTTGAGCGAGGTGAGTGAGTGAGTAATGCCGAGGGGAATGTAAACAGTTTACGGCATTCGCATTCACAGGGGTTATTCATTAACATTAACCGCTGACGTTTTTGTTGTTGCTGCTGGGGGACGCCACTGAATCTGCTGCTTTTGCTTTTATTGTTGTTTTTGTTGTCGGTGATTCAAAAGCCGACCCGGTTGTCATGACTAATACTTTGGGCTCGCGGGAGATCAGGTAGAGGCAGAGAATCAAAGGGTTACAGGTTGGACCAACTTAGCACTCGACATTATCACAAAAACAAAAAGTCGAAGAAAATAAGAAGGGGCACACGCTCGCGATTACGCCGAAGGCATCGAGTGTTGTTTGAATCGATTTGAAATCGAAGTTACTTTATGTCCACTACCCGTATTCCGTGGACAATCCGCAGTGGTCGAACGTAACGGACAAATTGCGTAGCGCCTGCGTTCTCGGTTCGGATCGGTGTGAATCGGATCGGATTGTTTATAACTGTCGGATCGAGTGCAGCTCGTCGAGTGGGGACAGAGCCGAGCAGAGCAGCGCGGTCTGTTGACAAATAGGAGCCTCTCACTCTCACTCTCACACTCGCCTCTGTCCAAATGTCTCTCCGCTGCCGGCCAGAGGCGTAGCCGGACTGGGTTTTAGGGGGTTCTAGCCGCTAACAGCTTGAGCTCGTCAAAAGTTCTTATGATCATAGGTTTTTCGAAGCCAACAAAATATTATATTTGCAAGGCGACCCCTTCGCGACGCCTCTGAGCTGCCCCATGACTTGGCGCTCTCTGTTGCTCTTTCGCTCGCACACACTCCGGCACTGTAGTTTCGCCCTGCCGGCGGGAGGGAGGAAACATTGCGACAGACAGGGATGGACAGACAGAGGGCCATCTGTTGAGCAAGGGGCGGGCGTGGGGGTTAGAGCAGATCGACCGCCAATGATTGCCGATCCGATGCATATCGCAGTACGCCGCTGCTCCTGCTTTCTCTTGTGCCTCACAGAAGCCAATGTGCAACAGCAGCAACATCAAGAACAACAGCGCGTTGCAGCAACAACAACTGATAAGACTTCGTGCGTCTGCATTCTAATGTTTACACAATTGGACATTCGACATCGATCGAGGCGATCCAGCACGACTACACTGCGACAAAATTGGGTAGAGTTTCTTCTGGAAAAAAATCAAGACAGATATTCAAATTATCTGAGGTCTTATCATTCGCCGGTTGGATGCTTTGCATTTCAATATATCTAAATATTATATATATGAACACATATACTACATATGTATGTGTATGCAATATGCATATCTCGTGGGTCGCATCACGTTTTTTTCTGTGCCGATATCGAACTGAAGACGTTCCGGCCGATTTGTGTGCACTCGGGTTTGTTTGTTTTTTGGCGCGGATTGTGTGAAGAACATAATAGTTTATGGTTTATAGCTATCTAAACATAGGCCCGTGCGTGTGCGATTTAAGTACGCCCGAGAAGTTTACATTACCCGGGTCTGAGCCTCGCCCCAGTGGGATGAGGGGGGCTGAGGGGGTGGGGCGACGACTGCCGTCCGATCGTCCGTCCAATCGAGCTGGTCGGGGAAGTTTCAGTTTTCACTTTGGTGCCCCTTCCGAAGGCATTTCCACGTACAGTAGGGGACGGGAAAATAGCTGTCTACAAGCAAATGCATTTTCCCGGAAATAAAACCGAACGGAAACCTTTCTGGATCAATAAGCTGCAGTTCAGTTACATGTTATTATCATTATCCTATGGATTGTAATTATGGATTGTAATTATTAGAAAACTGACCAGTTACGGCTAACGAAACAGATACGCATTCGGCGCTATACTTTTCTCCGACTGTAGCCGACTGCAATTCCCGGACCACAGGCCTGCGGGAAAACAAACAAAGAATTCCTATTCGTGCCGTTGCCAAAGAGTTTTCCCCGAACCGCGATACTCAATTCGCTCGACAGACGACCCGCACTCTGACCCTTGGAAAAGCGAGAGGGAGTGGGGGAAGGGACTTGATTAATTGAGACCACGTTCGATCCAAACTCTGACGCGAGTGACCCCAGTTGGCAGGGATCCGACTGATTTCCCTGAAGGGTTACGCATAGGTTATGGGGGCGAGGAAAGCGCGGAAGGGCGGCAAACTCAGGGGGCTTTCATTGATTCGATTACATGCCTATTCATGGCATTTATATATAGAGTACACCATAATCTATGGTGAGTCTCGCATAAGTTGTGTGTTTTTTTTAGTTGTTTAGCCGCTAGTTCCCCGATTCGAATGGATGCCGCTCATTTATTATCCAGAAAATTGCCAGAGGAAACTATGAACCCACACACACGCGCCTCCCAAGAACCGAAAAGTTTTCTGTTTCGAAAACGCCCGGAGAGGTGCGTAAGTCCCGAAATCAGGGCTTCGAATTTTAATAAATATACATATAAGGTTTTTCTTCTTCAAGTACCAGCTTAAAAGTCTGGTTAGGTACTATCGAAGATATCACTTCAAAATAAAAATAAAACCGAATTCAAATTGTGGTGTAAAAATAGAACTGTGGCATATCCATAAATTAACTTTTCACTTCTGTTTATTCTTCAACCGACAAGCGGAATAGCACTTGGATTTTCCCAGTAACGGATGTCTGATTGACCGTCAATTTCAGGGAAAATGGTGAAATGATCAGTTCCTAAATCTGTAACACATTATAAATGCAATGCGATTTCTGCATTGGGTTTTTGGACGGCGGAGGCCCTGGTTTTTTAGTATTTGGAAATTCCAAAAAGCAGCAACAACGGCAATAACAACTGACCCCGTCAGAATATCGGCTAAAGAGCGCCGATCCGGGGCGGGAGGATTGGTAGGAGCTGGGAGCGGTGGGGGCGGGGGGTGGAAAAGGGGCGGGAGGGGCGGCAAGAGAAACAACACCGAATAGGAACAATGTAAACAAAGCGCCCATTCCAAAGGCAAATTACCAAATTACTCGATGATGAAGTCAATTGTTGTATACAATAAAATGTGTGTTGTTGCTGCTGCTCCGATTTTCTTTTGTTTTCCTTTTTTCGAAACTTATTCTAGTTCGCCGCTGCCGCTGCCGCTGCCGCTGGTTTTTTCTCAATATTTCGTACGCTTGGCTGGCTGCTTGGCGGCTGCTTTCGGGCCCACTTTTTTTTTTTTTTTTTTTTTTTTTTTTTTGGGTGGGAACAATGTGTATGTGTGAACGCGGAGAATTCAGTTTTAGTACAAATTCGGCGCAGGAACGAGCAACGCGCCCTCTCGCCGACCACAAAGTACCTCGCGATGTTCCCGCCCGGCCAGAGTCCGCTTCCGATTTCGATACCGCTTACGATGCCGCTTACGATGCCGCTGCCAGTGGCGTATGCGATCAGAAAGGCCGAGCAGGACGAGCAGGGGATTCCCCTGGCGGAGAGCCTGGACCTCGACGGGGACGTGGACGTGGACATGGACCCCAGTCTCAATCTCGATCTGAATCTGAATCTCAACCTGAATCTGGATGACGGACGGCAGGTGCTGTTCAAGGGCTACTCGGACGAGCTGCTGACCTTCGCCTGGGTGGCCTGCATCGTGTTCATTATCGTGGGCGTGCCCGGCAACCTGCTGACCATCGTGGCCCTGTCCCGGGGAAGACAGACCCGCAACTCGACGGCCATCTTCATCATCAACCTCTCCTGCTCGGACCTGCTCTTCGGCTGCTTCAACCTGCCCCTGGCCGCCTCCACCTTCAAGGAGCGGGCCTGGACGCACGGCGACCTGCTCTGCCGGCTCTTCCCCATGCTGCGGTACGGCCTGCTGGCGGTCTCCCTGCTCTCCGTCTCGCTGATCACCATCAACCGGTACATCATCATCGCCCATCCCAGGCAGTATCCCAGGTGAGAGGCCAAGCAATTACCCCTTGGAAGAACTTCAAGAAGATCACTTAATATCACTTAATATTACTTAATATCACTATCTAACTAACTAATTATTTACTAGGAAGAGAACATTGAGTACCTGGCTGAGGGACATCATATTAAATAAAAAGCATAAACAAGGTTTTATTAGTACATTAGTAAACTTTTTAAGATTTTGAAAAATGTATTCCCCTGAGGTTGTTGACCTTACGTTTTAAAGACGATTGCTTAGTGGCTTACTTCTCGACGATACACAACCAAATCAAATCGAATCAAACCATCAAATTCTCGGACTACTTAACCCAATTCGACTTACTTAGCATAACTTTGTGCGTTATTGCAATTATGGTTTATTCATATCTATAAAGGGAACTCACCCGCTTTGGTCTCAGTGCACTTCATCTTGGTGTCCAGTCCAAGTTGGATGGTGCTACACTCACGCCTGCGATCCGAATATAAATAATCAAACAAATATTAACAATATAAATAAAAGCTTATACATTTATTGAATACTCGAGCCTTAAGCTCAAGAAAGGAACTGACAGCCGGGAAAGTATAGTTTTGAAAACCAGAGAAGCGATTGAATGCAATTTAATTGTCATTTAACTGATCCCTTAGTTCATAAAAACTGATTTGAAGTAGATTAGTTGAAAATTTTGGTAAAAACACTATATTTTGAGTGTTTTTTTTGGTTGTAATACGGTCAAAAAGTGACTTACAGCAGATCCAAACACTGTTTGGAGCACCTTATGACCACAGTTAACCAGCCCAATCACTTTTTGGACGATTACAAAGAAATGATTTTTTGGCCAGTTTTCGCATTTTTGGTAAGGGGTAACATCGTCATTTTTTGCGAAAAATGGCAAAATTTCAACTTTTTTGGGTGTTTATGCCATCGGAATCAGAATTTTATTGCGAATTCAAGGATGTATGCCATTCCACATTTGGAAGAGTACTTTCTCAGATATTCCAAAAAAACTGGGTTTTTTTTACCATTTTATGTAGTTTTTATAGATTATATAGGGTATATAGCTTCCTTCATTGTCAGTTGATTAATTTGTCAATGTTTCACTAATGCTATTTGCATATCGCTATTTGCACCAGGATCTACCAGAGGCGGTACCTGGCCCTAATGGTGGCCGGCACCTGGGTGACCACCTTCTCCATCATGATTCCCACGTGGAGGGGCGTGTGGGGCATCTTCGGGCTGGACGAGAGCATCGGGTCCTGCTCCATCCTGCACGACCACTATGGCAGGTCGCCCAAGGAGTTCCTCTTCATCGCCGCCTTCATGGTGCCGTGCATCTGCATCGTGATCTGCTACGCGCGGATCTTCCTGCTGGTGCGCCAGGCGGCCATTCGGGCGGGGACCGCCGGCAAGAGCACCGCCAGCGACGTGACCCCCAGTTCCACCACCCAGCACCACCAGCAGCAACAAGTGCAGAACCAGGCGATGGCCATGCCACGGAGGCCGGAGAAGGCCAGCTCGTCCAGCGGGGAGGCGCAGGAGCCGGGGGCAGGGCCGCCACGCCCCTTTGTGGTGGAGGAGGAGCTGGCCTACATCGACGACGACGCCTCGACGGCCAGCCTGCCCATCTCGTACAGCCTGCGAAGGAGGGAGCAGGAGCAGGAGCAGCAACTGCCACCCGTGGACGCCAACGTGGTGCTCAAGGAGCGCGAGAGGGAAAGGGAGAGGGAAAGAGAGAGGGATAGGGAACGGGAGCAGGAGAAGATCAGCCTGAGCCGCAGCCAAACGCAACTGGAGATGGGCAGGCACGCCGGGTGAGTAGCTCGTCGAGCAGTGAACACCCACTCAGCTCCTGACTATCTGACTATCTGACTGTCTGACTGTGCTCCATTCCCTTCCAGAAAGAACCCCAACCCCATCACCACCTCGCTGCGCACCTCGTTCACGCGGTTCAGCCCGCGCAAGTCGCACTACGCCTCCATGGGCAACACCTCGAACGCCTCCTCGATCTACCCGGGCAGGATGAGCGCCAAGGACCGGCGGCTGCTCAAGATGATCCTGGTGATCTTCGTGTGGTTCGTCATCTGCTACCTGCCCATCACGGTGACCAAGATCTGGAAGAGCGCCACCGAGGTGCACTGGTTCAACATCGCGGGCTACCTGCTCATCTACCTGACCACCTGCATCAACCCGCTGATCTACGTCCTCATGAGCTCCGAGTACCGGCGGGCCTACTGGAACCTCCTGCGCTGCCACGGCTCGTCCCCCGATCCGCACAAGCAGCGGACCCACGCCCACGCCAACGCCAATGCCAATGCCCACGCCAAGCGGAAGCTGCAGGAGTCCAGCCGCCAGCCGAAGGCCACCACGTGACTCCTCAGCTTCCGAGGGCCTAAGCCCAAGCATCCAAACATCCCCGGCGACCTCCGACCTCCGTCTCCGTCTCAGTGGGACTTGATATGTGTGTGCCATGCGTCCGTCTAGTGTGGAATGGAATGGAATGGAACGTGGTGGAATGGAATGGGATAGAATGGAATGGGATAGAATGGAATGGGATAGAATGGAATGGGATGGGATGGGTTGGTAAGGAACGAGCAGCTGCTCCTCGGCGAGAATCGATCCCATTTCCACACGATCAGCAGATGTATCCCAGATCCCGATCCCGATCCCGATCGATCGAACCCTGTCCGTATTGCGTAATGTAGGAACTCCAGAGTGTTTTGCATTTTATACCAAATGACTTTAATATCTGGTTTACATTTGAATTCCATGTTTAAGAACAATCGATGTTTGTTTAGTTTTGTTTTAGTTTTTCTTTCGTTTTTGTTTTCTTTTTTTTTTTTTGCTTGTCGCTAATTATTGTACCAATACATAATGGATATATCCGAATAGGGATACACCCCCTGCCCCCAATAAATGCTTCGAATAATTGATATATGTAGTTACGTCGTTCCCATCCGATCCGCGATCCGATCGATCCGCGATCCGCCCAACGGAGTTCCGAGTTCGCGGGGCAATGCTACTAATGCATTCCATACTATATAGTGTGTAGTGTGTAAACGCACAGTGTATAGTGTCGTCGTATAGTAAGTAGGGCTATAGCTTAACGCTATTATTATCAATATACATATTGTATATGGCTGCGTGTATGCGTATGAAACTTGGACTACTTAAGGCTAGTAACACAACTAAATTTTCCAATATTACGGCGTCGCTCGTCGCTTCGGCATCTGCTTCAGTTAAGATGCATCCGCATCCGCATCCGCATCCGCTTCGGTATATGTAGGTATACGTACGTGTAAAGGCTATGTATGTATATGTATATGGCTGTATATCGTATATGGATCAACTAATTCGTATTTCGTAATTCGTAATTGCGATTGCGAGCGTAATAAAAAGGTGGCCCTTCCGGCACCTACATAGTAGTTCCTTCCCCCCACTGAGCATGAGCATTCCCACATCCGCTTCCGCCCCTTCAAACCGACTCCAGGTGCTCGGAGATCTCGAGGATGGGACTCTCGCTGAGCGGCTTCACCAGCGACTGCCAGTTGGGAGCGAAGAGGCTGAGCACCGGCGCCGCCGTCTGCCGAGAAAGACGATTTAGATTCGGATTGGGTTATCCATCTGTTATCCCAAAAGGGCAACCTTCTACTCACATGGTAGTCCTCCTCCAGGCTGTGCCCGTGGGGCGTGGCTGGCTTGCACTTCACTGTAGGCGTGCTAGGCGCCGTGGACGGAGGCGCCGAGCAGGATTCCGCGGACGCCGAGGATGCCCCGCGATCCGCGAGAGCGCCTCCGTTGGACTGGACCGACTGACCACCTGGCTGCTCCGCCTGGCTGATGTAGGAGGTCTTCAGGTTCATCTGGCTGAAGGCGTGCGCCCCGGGCATCGTCATCGAGTGCTGCAGCCGCGGAGTGCCGCTCCTGGGCCGCTCGAGCAGGGCCAGCTCGTACAGCTCCTCGGCCAGGTGCTGCTCGGGAGCGGGAGCGGGCGGGGGAGCCGGAGCTGGCGGAGGCGGCGGCGGCGGGTGTCCCAGTCCGTGGCCGAAGTGGTGGTGGCCCGACTGGTGGTGCTGCTGGTGGTGGTGGTGGCGTCCGGCGGCCAGCTGAGCCTCCAGGGCGTACTGCTTCTGGAAGAGCTGGCGCTTCTGCTGCAGCAGGCGGTGCTGCAGGAGCTGCTGCTGCAGCGGGGGCTTCTGCATCGGCGACATGGCGACAGGAACGCCCATGCCCACACCCACGGGAACGCCCACTCCCACTCCCACTCCCAGCTGGTTCAGCGGGTGGTGGGGGTAGAGTCCTGGCGGCGGCGGAGGCGGAGCGTAGCAGCCGTGTCCGTACAGATCCCCGCCAGCGGCGCTGTCCAGGAGCAGCTGTGGCTGGTGGTTGTGGCCCGGGTGGAACAGCGGGTGGTGGCCAGGGTGGTGGTGCTGCACTGGGTGTCCTTGGTGTCCTTGGTGGTGGTGCGGCAGCGTCAGCAGCGGATGGTGCTTGCCGGGCAGCGCGTAGAATTGACTGTTCGGAAATTGACAGAGCTCCTCCAACCCGAAAGCCTGCGGATGCGGATGCGGATGTGGATGCGGATGTTGATGGGTATGCGAATGCGTATGGGAATGGGAGTGGGGATGGGAGTGCTGGTGCTGCAGCTGATTATGATGCGAATGCGGATGCGGATGCGGATGCTGGTGCGGATGCATCGCCGCCTCCTGCTGCAGCTGCTGGATCTCCAGCCAGCCGTGCCGCTTGGCCTGCTCGTAGCGGTAGCTGCCGTAGACGCGACTGGTCCCCAGAAGGGAGCCGGAGCTGAGGAGCCCCTGGGCCACCAGTCCGTCGCTCGCCCGCCGTCCCTCGCGGAAGTGGATGGGCGAGCGCTTGTCCAGGAACGGAGCTCCTCCGGGCGGCGGCGGCGGAGTCGGGTTCGGCGTGGGCGTGGAGGCCGAGCTCTGCGGGAGGCCCAGTCCGAGGGCCAGGGCGCCGGCTCCCAGTCCGACTCCCAGGCCGGGCATGTGGATGCACGAGCTGTGGCTCCCGTAGAGCGACCGCTCCGACGAGTGCTCCGAGGAGAGGGCTCCGGCGGAGGCGGGCGTCGGAGTGGCCGTCGGCGTGGGCGTGGCCAGCATGGAGGCGGAGCCCATGCAGGAGGGCAGGCTGCCCTTGCCGGAGGGCAGGGCGAAGTCCAGGCTGTCGTAGGGCCCGCTGCAGTTGCTCTTCGAGGAGCCGCGACTCAGGTTCTGGCTGAGGCTCTTCGAGTAGCTCCCGGCGAGCACTCCGCTGGAGGAGCTGCTGCTGGCGTAGGAGCGCATCCGGTGGCTCTGCCCGGAGGAGGCCCCGGAGGCGCCGGCCAGGTGGGTCAGGTCACTGCTGGAGTGCGAGGTGGGTCCGCCGTTGCCCTTCGACTCCTGCGAGACGGAGCCGTCGCGTCCGTCGTTGCCCTGGTCCGTCTCGCAGCCCTCGTCCGTGCTGGAGCTGCCCTGGGCCAGCACCTTCTTCTCCTGGCGGCTGTGGGACCAAGATAGAGCCATTGGTGGTGGACGAAGCCGTTCATTGGAATGGGACACTAGCAGTGCGTCAATGGAGTGGGGACTCACCTGTCGCCGTTCGACTTGGACTCGTTCGCCTCCTGGCCGGAGTCGCCGCCACTCCCGTTTGTGCTCGCCAGATGCCCGCGTCGCTTGGCCCGTTGCTGGGGAGGATCGGAGGATCAGAGGATCGGATCAGATTGGTAAGATTGCTTGCCACTCACCTCCACTGGCAGGGGACTCTCCTGGAGCGTCTGGAACAGCTTGCTGGCCTCCGCCGACATCTTGTAGCGGAAGCTCTGGCCGAGATTGGCCTTCGAGTCGAAGCTGCTCGAGCTGGACATGGCCTTCGTTGTCTTGCCGCTGGCTGCCTCAGCTGCGTTGGACGTGGGCGTGGAGGTGGAGGTGGGCGTGGTGGCAGCGGGCGGAGGAGCCTCCTCCGCCTTCGAGGCCTCCTCCTTGCCACTGGCCTCCGCCACAGCTGTGGACTGAAGTGGAGATCGGAAAGGGAAGACATGGATCAGAAACACCCCCAGGTGCGATCGAGGAGAACCCACCTGCTGCAGCAGCGCCCGGCAGTCTTCGGTGCTCTGTTTGATTATGTACTCGCTGATGGTCTGGTGGAGCTGCTTGGACGCCAGCGGCACTCCCACACAGGCGCCGCCGATGGGTCCGCCCCCCGCCTCCATCATCTCCCGGCAGCGCAGGTTGGCCAGCGAGGGATTGTGGTCGATGCTGAGCGAGATGGCCACCGGCCGGTGGCTCCGCGCCGAGGAGGAGGCTCCTCCAGGGTGGCTCTGGCGGCCGATCCGCGAGGAGGCGGACGTGGAGGAGCAGTTGGAGGGGGCGGGCGAGGCGGCCGCCGGCAGGGGAGTGTACCGCATGGGCAGGGGGATCCCCGGGGGATCGAGGGGCTCACCTCCTCCCGCTCCCGCTCCTGCTCCTGCTGCAGCTCCCGCTCCGTTGAGGTAGCTGTCCAGGTGGGCGTGGCCGGGCAGGGGCAGTGGGAGTGGGAGTGGCAGCTGCAGGGGGCCGTACTTGGCGTAGTAGGCGTGTGCGGACGGGGTGTCCATTGGGGGACCGGTGGGCGTCGACCCGGCGTGGGCCGTCCGCTCGCTCATGAGCACCGTCTGATGGCGGCTAAGTCTTTTGTGGCCCTGATCCTTGGCCAGGATCGAGCTGGTTGATATTGTCTTGGACTGCTGCTGCTGCTGCTGCTGTGGATGTGGATGTGGGTGCTGTGGCGCCTGCTGCTGCTGCTCGATCTTGGTGCTCTTGAAGAGCATTCGACTCGAGGAGGAGGACACGGACGAGGACGAGGACACGGAGCCGTTGCTCTGCTCCTTCTTGTGGCTGACGCGGTCCTGCAGGAGCAGGTAGATGGCCGCCACGTGGTCGTAGGTGTTCTTCTTGAGGCTGGCCCGCGTCTTGTCCGGCACGATGCCGACGTACTCGGCCATGATGCGCAGGATGTCCTCGCTGGGCTCCAGACTCGCCTGCCGCTCGGCGCCCAGGTTGTACTTGGCGATGAGGACGTGCTCCAGCAGCTCGGGGCACATCCAGCGGTGGCGCTTGATCTGCTCGATGGTGTAGCGCCGCGTCGGCTCCAGCACCAGCATGCGCCGGATGAGGTGCTCGCACTCGGAGCTCATGAAGAACGGGATGCGGAAGCGGCCGGAGAGGACGCGGTCCCGCAGGCTCTGCAGCGTGGACCCATCAAAAGGCAGGGCGCCGCAGACCAGCACGTAGAGGACCACGCCCAGCGACTGGATGGGTGGAGGGGGGTACTTGGTTTAGCATATATACTATGCTCTATAATATAAACTCACCCAGATGTCGATCTCCGGACCGGTGTACTGCTTGCCCTCGAAGACCTCGGGAGCCGCGTACGGCGGCGAGCCGCACCAGGTGGCCAGCAGCTCGCCCGGCTTGAAGTGGTTCGAGAAGCCGAAGTCCGCGATCTTGATGTTCATGTTGAGGTCCAGGAGCAGGTTCTCGGCCTTCAGGTCGCGGTGCACGATGCCCTTCTTGTGGCAGTACTCCACCGCCGAGATGATCTGCCAGAATTTGTACCTGGCCGCCGACTCCGACATTCGTCCGTACTTCGCAATGTAATCTGGGTGGATGGGTGGATGGATGGATGGATGGATAGATGAAGGTATTCAGCGGATTAGTCTCTGGTCGATGGTGAACATATTCTATTGATGGCGGCGATGCTTCAGCTTGTGGCTTGGTCTCTAAGAAATGCATTCAGCTTTTGAACCCTTTTCGATATTTCAATGAATGGGTTTGCTGAAGGGATTGGTTTGAAGAGCCAAACCCTTCTAAAGCCTTAACCTTTTCAAATGATCTCCGACTTAAAGTGACATACCTCTAATAGCTAATTGTACATTAGTTAGTTTATTTATTTTAAAGCCAGTCTGCGGAAAATTGACTAAAAACCCGCACTTTCGAAATGATCTTTGGTTTCAGAGTGGCACATCTAAAAGTTTGTATTTCAATTCCCTAACAAGCTGCATAGTTAGATAGTTTTTTTTCTTGTTTTACCACAATCTCTCTGTATCATTTGTATATGATATTCATTTATATATAACCGATATTGCGAGAGCATTGCAAAGGGGCTCACTCACCGAAGATCTCGCCCTGGCTGGCGTATTCCGACACGATGTAGATCATGTTCTTGGTCTCCATAACCTGCGAAATGGATTAACTTTACATGTAGACAGCGATTCTAGGCGGGATGTGGCGACCTGGTAGGGCTCACCTGGTAGAGCTTGATGATGTGCGGGTGCTTGAGGCGCTTCATGATCTCCACCTCGCGGTAGACCTTCTGCAGGTTGGTCTGGTCCAGCTGCGACTTGTCGATGATCTTGATGGCCACCTCGTTCTTGGTGATGCGGTGCCGGGCCAGCTTGACCACGGCGAAGTTGCCCTTGCCGATGGTGCGTTCGATGTCGTAGAAGCCCACGCGCATCGGCTCCTTCAGCTTGAGCAGGTCCTTGCCGCTGACCCCACCCGCTCCCACCGCCGCGGACGAGGACGAGGAGCTGGGTCCGGGCGTGGCGCCTCCGCCGCTGACGAACAGCTTCTGGGCGAGCAGTGCATCCTTGCAGGCCACCAGCGCATCGATCGAGGGAGCAGCGGCCCCGGCGTCCAGGAGCACGGAGCTCCGTATGGCCATCTGCAGGTGTGGACTGGGCTGCTCCGGGACCTCCGCCTCGGCCTTGTCATTCTGCGGGTGCTTCTCCTGCTGCTGTTTGTATATCTGCTTCTCGCACTTGTCTTGCTTGTCTAGCTGCTGCTGCTGCTGCTTCTGCTGATCCTCCGGCGGCTGGCTCTCCTCGGACTTGGACTTGGACTTGGACGAGGTCCCGTCCTCGCCTGCGGCCGCCGCCTCGCACGCGCTCATTTTCCAACTGCGCCACCCTTGGCGGGAAAACTCACACGGAGAGCGAGAGGCGGAGAGCGTCGGGGATCGCGATCGACATCGACGTCGAGGTGATGATGCACATGCTCGCACTGCATGCTGCGATTGCACGGAGCGGACTCATCGCCTGCTGCATGGCAGCACTCTTACACTGGTAGAAAAACTAGAAAGTTAGAAGAGTAAGTAAAAGTGAACGTTATGGAAAAAAGGGGAAAGGGGTTTCCGTTACTAGATTAAGGCATATTAAAACATTTAACGAGGAACATTTGTGTAATTTAATGTTAAACGCAAATTACAGAAGATGTATAATGTAGTATTTTACCTATACCGCCGAAGCCCACTGAGAGGGGTGGCTTAGAGGGGGAGGAATAGTCGTCGGATGATAAGAGATTAGCTCAGCTTACTGATTGTGTGAGTGTGTGTGTGTGTGTATGGCTTTCGGACGTTACCAGCCAGCAAAGCCACTGTTCTTGAGTGTGGGTATGCGCTCTTCCCCGCTCTCTCTATTTATGGCAGTGCTGTCGCATTTTAGTTAAAACAATTAAATAATTATCTGTCGTTCTAGAATCAAAATCAAGAAATAATTGAACAATCAATATTTTCTGGCTAATGTGAAAAAACTATCGAGTTCACTTTTATATCAATGCACCTCTCAACCACATATTTGGCTCTCAAAGTAAACAGAAGCTGATGTTTTAGTGTGTCTCAAAAGTATGCTGCATTGTTCGTTAATGCAGGCCACACAAGAAGCCCAAATAAAAAATGGCTGGCGTTTAACTTCCGCATTCAAGATGGCTAGTTTTTAGCTAAAAAACGGCTAAAATGCCCGAACTGCATTTGTTGGCCCGTGTGTGGGTGCCAGTGTGCGGTTGAGTGTGTGCGTGAGTGTTGGTGAAAAATCAATAAGCAGCCGCATTGGATTGCGGAAATCGTGGAAAGCCCTTGGCAGCCCTTGACCACTGCAGGACGCAGAACGAAAAGTTCAGTGCAGCAGGAGCAGTGCCTGGTGTGGATCCCTATCCTCACCCTGGAAAGCGATTCCCCGAATTACCGTTGGACGTGCAAACGCAAAAACACAAGCGTCGCCGGTCCGCAATGGAAATTCAAGAAGAGAGAAGCGGAGCCTTCAGTCCAAGCGTGGGCAACTGGGTCCCTTTAATGATAATGAGAGGATGAACGCTGGCGAGGATCCGCTTCACATCTCGCTCGCGGAACGCCACACTTGCGGCACGGAACGGAAGAGACACAGGCGATGCTGCACACACGGCGGATGACTAGGAAACGTGGCTGCCTCCAATCCCGAACTGCGTCCAACTGGCGTCCGCACTTGACGCAAGCTCGGCGCTCGTCTGCCCCACTCCACTCCGCTCCGCCCACTTGCCCCTCGTTTTTCGACCCCCAGCAGCGAGGGTTGCCAAGTGAGTGCTAAGTGCCAAGTTCCAAGAGCCGATTGCCGAGCACCCAACGCCAATCGGTAGCGTTTACTAGCAAAAAGGGTTGCCAAGCAGACGAGCTCCCAGTTTAGCCACTGCGCGTGCGCCGACATTTTCGTGGGGGTGGGAAGTCCGACGGAATTGGCTGCCAGCATTTACCACATTTGAATTCCGCGCCACTGTGGGTAAGTTATTGTTAACAGTTTACATATATACATGCATATATATATTTACTAACAAATCGAAAGCCTTTTATAAAACCTTCGACACACATTCCGCTGACGCTCTAACCACAATTTAAAACCTGATACGTTTTGGTTATGACTACACATATGTATATATTTCTTATGTTCATATTCGCTGGAGGTCTTACACATATAGTTTGTACAGTGGAACGACTGCCAACGGCTTCCGGTCGCTCATGTCTCTCTCTTTGTCTGGGACGTGGCATCCCGCTCGTTTCCAAGTTTTAGTTTCAGACAAAGCGACCGGATCTGGGATCTGGGATTCGGGGTCCAACAGGCTGGCGCCTTCCCCAAACGTAGTCAATTAGTATATACACGAACCGATGCAACTTATGTACATGGAACAGGTTTCACAAAAAACACGCTAAAAGCATTCTTAGTGCACGGGCTTATCCACCCCAGCGATGCTCGTGGATCCGATCGCCAGGAGTTTTACTCCGAGGGGTGCTCGCTCCACGCCTGCATTGGCAGGGGATTGGTCTAGTTTTGATTAATATGTCTCATTTCTGGGATGGGAGTTGCTTCTGCTCCTCCTCCTCCCCGTAGCAGCGCCGCTTGAAGTCGCCGAAGAGATCGGTGCGCGGCTGCAAACCATGCTGAAGGTAATCCACGCTCACCGTCTGTGTGGTGTTCCTGCAAAAGTAAACTGTTAGATGACTGACTGAGACCCATGCCAACCTTTCTCACCTGGTCTTGGTGAGCACCGTGCAGCCGTGCTCCATCACCATGGTCAGGGAGTAGAGCGTGGCCAGGTTGCACACGCCGTCTGGCTCGTTCAGCTCGATGTCAGGCAGTCGGATCTGTGCCTGCTGCGGATCCTGCAGGAATCGGGCTATGCGCTCGTTCACGCTCATCTTGATGCTAAATCCTGGTCGCTCGCCGTTGATGCGGCGACATCCGGCGCGGATCTCACGCACCTCCTCTCCCACAGCCTGCCCTGGTGGCGACGAGGAGAGGAACGGATTCGAGGTCTCGCCGGACATCTCACTCTCGATTTGCCGCGGAGCCGAAATGGCCCCATCCACATTCGTTTCCATTTCGGAGCAGGCGTTCAAAATTTCGATTTCGATCGGTTGAAAGCGGGACAGATCCTGTAGAGATTCCGGTGGCTGGGCCGGAGATTTTGGCGGAGGCTCCATTGCCGACGCCCCCGCCTCGGTGCCGGACATCAAGGTGTCGTCCTCGCCGATTGTTTCGTCCGATCGAATTTGAGGCAGCATTGACTTCTTGGTGAGCTTTCTCTTCGGATCGTACCTAGCTCCGGGTCCGAATTCGTTCCCAGGCCAGTCGGTCAGCTCATCGTCGCCCTCGCGGTCGGTGTCGTGCCGCCGATGACCACCCGCTTCCGCCTCACTGTCCGAGGAGGAGCTCAGCGAACTGGAGCTGAGGAAGTCGTAGAGCTCGCTGCAGTCCATGGATTGGGCTTGTGACTGCATCGGGGGCTGTGGCAGCGTTTGGAAGCGACGACGGCGGTGCGTCTTGGGGGCGATGCTGCCGCTGCTGTGGCCGGGCACCTGCACGTGGCCCTGGGTCTTCTTGCGCAGTAGCGGAGCAGCTGGTGGCGAGCTCAGCAGCAAGGCGTCAACATCAGCTACAGGGACAATGGTGTCCATGCTGAAGGAGCTTAGGTCGGGTTCGCCACTAGGCGGGGGCAGGCTCTTGGCCACGTCCGTTTGCTTGGGCAGCTCCTCCATCTCATGGCCCTTCTCATCTGGCTGCGGGCCCTCCGACTCCCTGGCCCTGTTGTCAGTCTTTCGGGTCGGCGCGGCTTGCTGGCCTTGGGCAGCCATGCGGTTGATCTTTGAGAGCAGCCCCTTGTTTAGAGGGAGCAGGCGATCGCTGAGCGGCTTTGACGTGGAGGAGTAGCTGCGCGGTCGCATCCGCTGCTGCAGGTGCTGCTGCTGCATGTGATGCTCCTCCAGCTGCGGATAGGGCGAAGCGTACAGCTTGGCCGACTCCTGCTCGTGGTAGCGGTCGCGGTTGGAGCGCTTGCGCTTGCCGCAGAAGAACAGATGCGAGCGGTGCCCGGCAGCGTCCATTTTGAGCAGGCGTTTGCGTATGGTTCCGGTGGCGGTTCCGCTCAGCATACCGGGCTGCAACGGCGACTCGGTGAAGCTGTGTGATGTGTCCTTACTGAACTCAAACTCCATGGACATGCGCTTGATCTTTCGTTTTCTCCGTGAGTTGGGCTTGTAGAATCTGCGAGTTGGGGGGCGAGTTAGTGGTTAGTGGCCGTGGACTTCAGAAGGACAAGTGAACCATTTTACCTGGCCGGACTGAAGGTGGTCTCGTTCAGCGAGTCGGACTCTAGGGCGCCCGTGCGACCGGTCAGAGTGAGTGGCAAACGGAGGGGCAGCATCGCCTGCCCCTTCTCGTCCGAGTCGCTGGCAGGCAACTGGAAATTGTGCGTGTCCAGGCCGTCGACGTTGGCACTTGGGTGATGTGTCTGGTGGTGGTGTCCGTGGTTGCCCAAGGCGTTCAGGGTGTCCGTGGGGCTGCTTGAGGAGTCCTCAGTGGGCTGGGGGGCGCAAGCTGAACACCCAGCATGGAAAAGTTACCAGTTACCGATCGGAACGAAAAAGGAGGCGATGGCGACTGCTACTTACGCAGATTGCCCGTGGAACGTGTCCTGCGGCGCGAGCCCCACCTGCCGACGCCACTGGCCCTATCCATCAGCGAGGTCTCCTCCAGCGCCAGAGTCAGGTCATGCGAGAATTGGTCCATGGCCACTGTCCGCGGTCCTTGGTCCTTGGTCCTCGGCCCGTTGCTGTCAGAGCATTTAAGTTAGCTTGTTTACCAGGCCCTCTTCGTGTTCGTTCCCGTTTCGCCTTTCGTTATCGGATTTCTATTTGCTGTCGATAATTAGCAGCGACACACTCCCCACTAAGTAGGGACACGCACCCAAAATAAATTTTTCTGCCAGGGCTGCCAGCTTGGTTTTTCGCCGTTAAATCACAGTTTTTTTTAATGGCCGACGCGGTGAATTGACTGAAGCGGGCTTTTAAACGAAGTAATATAATTAACATTTGAAATTGCTAAACTTAATTATATTTGTATCAGGCTCAGCCTGATGTGCCAACTTTAACAATGATAAAGTATAAATCAATATATGTACGTGTAGTGATAACAAATAACGGTTTGTTAAAAGCCCGCCACGAACAAATGTAAGGCGTCCATCTTGCTCTTCGCCTCAACCTGTGGACGGTCCACGCCGGTTACCTGCGCCAGGCAGTTCACACAGTTCCACACAAAGCGGAGACGGTGCCACAGATGCACAAGAACAGGGGGCACTTGCTGCTCATGCGCCAGGCGCAGTCGCTGCACCTCCTGGCAGAGCAGCCGTCGCCGCTGGACACGCCGCAGCTTCAGCTCCAGGATGCGCCTGTGGAAAAAGGAGAAGGAAGAACCGATACGATCACTGGCCGTGCAATCAGTTCCACCCAATACCTTCGCAGCTGCGTACAGGCGTTCTCGAAGTCGTTCACCCGCATCCTGGTCAGGATTAACTGCTGGCTGATGTCAAAGCCCCGGTAGCACAACATCACGCCCCGTGACTCATACAGGTCCGTTTTGTCCTGTCTCTGAGAACAGGTAACCCAGATAAAGAAGCAGCTCCACGTAAAATTCCACTTACCAGATCTTCCAGTTTTCGGTTGCGCTCCTCCAGCTCCTGGATGCGCTCCTTGGCAGCAGCCAGGCTTTGGCCCATTCTGGCCGTGGCTGCCATCTGATGCAGAAGCTCCAGCCGCTTACCCTGCAGCTCGCACTGCGCCACCCGCAGGCGCTCCTCGCACACCTCGAGCTGGCCGTCCAGCTCCGCCTGCTCCACGAGCAGCAGCGTCCGATCGACGTCCAGGCGCAGGTGACGCGAGCGCACTATAGCCGCCAGTAAGGACATGCCGGCAAGGCACTGGCCCAGCGACTCGTTCAGCTGCTGCCGCTCCTCCGGACTCAGTCCTTGACAACTCGTCCGTAAGAGCTGTCCGTCGGAAAGCGGGTAAGTTACTAGAGCCTCCTACTGATAGTTGCCCAAAACCCTACCATTTGCTGGTGGCCGCCCATCTTGGTGGCAAAGAACTTCAGGCCCTCGTCAAGCAAGCGTAGCGATTGGACGGCTTCCTGGGGATCTCGACCCGGAGAAGCCATCGATCGGAGTTAATGTGCGTTAAACTAGGAATTTCGATATTAACGCAAAAAGTCGGTTCAGCTGAGTGAAAGGGGGCTGGTTAAATGAATGAAATATGGCATTTCCAGTTCGTATCTCCATATATGACCGCACGCTCGGTGAAAACCAAGGAAGCGGATCAGGGAATAGTTTTCAGGCCCAGCAGCCCACAGCTCGATATGCCATCAAAGCGAAAGTGCACAATTTGAGGTGGAATTACACTGTCAAAATACTTTATTTAGCAAAAATAATCCAACATGACTTAAAAAAATACATTTGTGGCAAGGGGATAAAAAGCATTCATCGTGCGCCAAAAGCGGCAAACGCGGCAGGAACTCTAGGAGCTTCCCCCGAACTACAAATATCAATATACACAGATAAGATGACACCTTTCAGTGCGTTGCATACGAGCATGTAATGAATACTCAACGATTGCATGGATATTTAACAACAAATCTCAATGGTAATACACACGGAGTTCCTAGCGGTTTTTAGCGCACCTGGGGCAGCGGCTCGCCGAGCTTCTTGGTCCACTCCTCTCTGGTGGCGGGATCGGCGACCTGGCCTCGTCCGAGGCACTTGCCCTGCGAAATGAGCTCGGCAAACTGGGCCACGACCGGGTCGCGGCCACAGGAGGCCACCGCCGTCACCGTGTCAGCCTCGTTGATGAAGTACGCCACGAACTTGAAGTCCTCCAGGCTGCCGTCGACGATGACCTCCTTGTAGGAGCCGTGGCCGGCGTACCGGATGCCCTTGCCGAAGATCAGGGTGAAGAAGAAGGGCACGGCCTCCAGCTTCTTGACGCCGCCGCACATGTTTACGGCTGCCACGCGTCCGTGGTACTGGGCCAGCTGGTAGTGGCCGATGTTCACGCGGTCGTGGGCCAGTCCGTGGATGTGGGCGTTGGCTATGTCGCCGCCCACGTAGACGTCCGGCACGTTGGACTCCAGGAAGTCGGTGACGTCCACGGAGCCGTTGCGGTTCACCTTCACGCCCGACTTGGCCAGGAACTGGGTGTTGAGCTTGGAGCCGGTGCCCAGAATGAGCAGGTCGCAGGGCAGCCGCGTGCCGTCCACCAGCACCACCTCGCTCACCGCGCCCTCCGCGTTGCCCACGATCTCCGCGATGCCGCTCTCCATGCGCATCGTCACCTTGTTGTCCTCGAACAGCTGCAGCACCCGCTGGCCGATCTCGGCGCCAAAGGCGGCCTTGAGCGGAACGTTCTCGCGGCCCACCACCGTGACACTCTGCACCTTGGAGACCAGGCCGGCGGCCGCCTCCAGGGCGATGAAGCTGGAGCCCAGGCACACGACGCGCGACTCCGGAGTGATCGCCGCCAGAATGGCCTTGGTGTCGGCCAGCTCGCGGACAGTGCGCACATTCTCCAGACCCACGCCCGGAATGGGTGGTCGGAAGGCGGAGCACCCGGTGGCGATGTAGATCTTGTCGTACTTCACCACGTAGCCGTTGCTGCAGTGCAGCTCCTTCTGGGCCGAGTCCAGCTTCTCGGCGGCCACTCCCTGCCACAGCTCGATGTCGTACGCCTTGTAGAAGTCCTCGTCGCGGAAGCGCAGCTGCTCGATCTCGAGGCTCATGGCCTTGGAGATCTTGACGCGGTCGTAGGGCAAATAGTCCTCGCGGCATACGAAGATCAGGCGGCCGGTGAAGCCCTCCTGGCGTATGGTCTCCACGGCCACGGCGCCGGACGGCCCGCCGCCGACCACAATGAACACCCGCTGGTCATCGGGATTGCGTCGCACCATGTTCTTGAGGCGCTTGCTGTTGACGAGGTCGGACCGCTTGGCGCGAAGCATCACTTGGCCCTCGTTGCCCACCTCCACGCGGTAGCAGGGCAGCGAGTCGAGGCCGGGGAAGTCCTCGATGTCGCCGGTCTCCAGGTTGAAGCAGGCGCCGTGCCAGGGACAGCGGACGCGGCCCAGCCCGAGGGCGCCCGTCTGGAGCGGGGCTCCGTAGTGGGTGCACTTGGCGCCCACCGCCAGCAGTCGGTCGTTCTGCTTCACCAGCAGCACGCGGTTGTCCTCGTCGAAGTCCACCTGCTTCATCTCGTTGTTCTTCAGGTCCGCGTAGTTGCAGTCCACGCCGACGGCGCTGGTGTACTCCCAATCCGGGGAGGAGGCCTCTGCTTCGGTGGACATGGTGGTGCTGGGACTCTGGTTGCTGCACTTGGACTGATAGGAGCCGACGGCGCCACCTGGCGAGGCCATCATGCAAAGAAAAGGGCAAAAGAAACGGCGATTGAGATGCGATAACGGGAGTGTGTAGACGTCTGGGTACATAAAATTTTCCAGTTTCTTTAGGGTTTTGGGTTCGGGGGAAAGGGGAAAGTCGAGCGCCGCTTGCTGTTTAGCTGTTCAGGTAGAAACGAAGATCATTCAAGAAGATGCCTCGCTCGCGTTCGGAACTCTTGCTGGGACTGCTGGCGATCCTGGGCTCCGTCCTGGCCCGCCCGCACCTCAGCAGCTTGCAGGAACTGGAGCTCAGTTCGCTGCGCACGCACAAGCAGCTGCTGCAGGCGGAGATAGCCCGTCTCTTCATGGAGCAGCCGCCTCGGGCGGAGACGCAACTTCTGCTGGACGACCTGCAGCTGAGGGACCACCAGCTGGGCCTCCAAATAGAAAACCTCGAGCGGATCTCCAAGGGCGAGACTGGAGAGACCCAGAGGCTGGCCATCAACCTGACCGCCGACTTCGAGCACCTGCAGCACAAACTGGACGATCTGAAGCACCAGCTGGAGTTGCTGGACGGACGCTTTGCCTCCCAGGGAAAGCAGGCCGAGGGACACGCGTCGGAAACAGTTCCGCCGGCGGCTCCCGGACTGGGCTCCTTCCTCTGGGGACCCCTACTGAGCATGCCGGAGTTTCCCCAGGGCAGTGTGGCCAGCGACCAGCAGCACAATCACAATCACCACCACCATCAGCAGGACCAGCTACAGGTTCCGACTAGCCCCTCCATTATCAAACGAGTGCTGGACATGCTTAGGCCGTCCGTGGGCGTGGCAGCTCTCCGGAGTCGATGGGCTGAGTCGGAGAAATCGACTGGAACTGCAGCTGGCATTGTGGCGGCCAAACCCACCCACCCACTCAGCGCCGAGGAGCTTCTGCCCAAGCTGCAGGAACAGCGCAGGTTCCTGGATGACGCCATCACGCGATTGGAGCTCCTGGCGGCCAAAAAGGGCTCCAAAAAAGTTTGAACTCAAGAAAACCCTACTAAAACGTCTACTAAGATTGAGCAGATCGATCAATAATAAAAACAACCAATTTTAAATCGTTGCACAGCGGATCAATATAAATTTATTCACTTTGCCACAGCCAAGAACTATCGTATAAAACACCATTGATATCTGATAAGATCCTAAAGACATTTTAAACTAGTAATAGATACTTTATGTCTAAAACCACTCATATTCCTATCATGTTAAATTTCGGTGATAGTACTAATTTTACTCGCAGACCAATTACTCGTACTCACGCGATGAGGGAAGACTATTGACAATCGATGGCAACCTGACCAAAACAAAGCACATCTTAGCGACAGGGGCCGATCGATTGACCTATGCGACCTTCTTCAATGTCGAAGCCCAAACTTTGCAACGTCATCAAGAAAAGCGGATGACGACGAGGAAAATGAAACACCTGTAAACGTGTGTTCCGCTCTGTTCTAGTCGGTTCTGATACGGCTATAATGTCTACATGCCCTATCTCGAGTGACTCTGCTATGATGTATGCATTTTATATCGCTGATACATCACCGATAAGGCTGGGTTTTTTTGTGTGGAAGAACGGGAACTAATCGGAGATCAAACATTCGGGCCCTCTACTTGATACGTGTGGACTAATATCACGAATAGCAAGTCATTTTAAATACGCATACGATGTGAGCAAAGAGAATTTCGGTATACAAGATGTGCATAAGAACAAACTAGTCGCCAACAAAAATTGAAACTATTCGAAGGTTTCAAATGAGTTTAAACTATGAAATTAGGTAATACCTGGCTGGCATACATATTACAATTCAGTAACTTGAAGTCAAAATTCGGTGCTCTACTACACACTTACATATTACCTCTTTCAAATCTCATGTCTAATTAGCAATGATTCGCTAGCACAGCTGGGTTTCCCACACACACTCAACCACAACATGAATGCAAAACCGGTTGGCCTTGTCCAACTCAGTGAGTCAACAACCAGCCCAAATTGTACTAATAATAACAATTGCACGAGAACAAGTTTCACATAAGTAATTTGACTCACGAAATCAGGTATTGCCGAAAAGGATAGGCTCGAGCTAAGAGAATGTCCCGCTGTCTAAAGAGCTGGACTGTAGAACGCTTGAACGGCAGCACTCAGCGCTGATGAACGAATGAACTGGAGACCACCGCTGGAGTCGCCGATTTAAGCGAACTGGGGGCCCACCAAAGAGCGCAAGAGCGATAGGCAGAGAAAGAGGCATAGGCGCAATGCCAATAGCGGTGACTAACATAAGCGGTGTACAGTGGAAATCGGTTGGCACACACAAGGGTAATTTGATCTTTAATTACCAAAAACTGTGATTTCGCTGTGTTTAACTCAGGATTGACATAATTTAAGGGCCTAGAATTTTACAACTTAACTCGGTTAGCAAACCCCAAGATTTTTGTTTCGTTTGAAGTATTTTTCGTGTAAATATCTACTGTGGCAATGACGAAGCCGTAAAGCGAACTAGCGGCTCGCTGTCGCTGTCGCTGTACACATATCTTTCTCAATTTACGACTTATGGCGATGGGGCAATTATCTAGGATCCCCGTCCCCACTCCGGTAACAACCCTCTAAAAGCGGCTCATTATCATTCTCCTAACCAATCCCAAATTATTAGCCTTGTTCGATTGGTAAAGGGAACACGGCGATGGTGGCTATCATATCATCTACGACATTACCACAGCGTGCGATGCTTCAAAGGCTAGTAGGAAAATTTTAAAATCGCATTCTTATCCTGTGACGTAGATTGGGGAATTACTTTTCGCTAACCTGATTCCGTTCGCAGCTCGAAATGCAATATTTTAAAATTAAACACAATCCCTTATAATTACCTGTAGATTTCTCTTTTTTCGGCGTACTGCCCGTGGTTTTGTACTCCTTGCAGTTGATGGCACCCATTTTGTGTAAGCGGCGCTGGTGCAAAAGGGGCGGAATTGAGTGGGCGTTGAGTATTCTCGAAGTTTGTCTGTTTTGAGATTCGTTTCGGAAATTTCCAATTAAAAACGTAATTCTCAATGTCCAGCAGGAATACGATTTTACCTGGGCTGGAGCTCAATTATCCTGAAGGGGTTTCTGATGCCAACTTGCGTTTTGGCAAAGTTTAGAGCTGCTCGATAGGGTTGCCACCTAAAAATTAAGTTCGCAGTTAGGAGCTTTGTCTTTCCACTTAATAACAATCAATCAATGTGCTAAAGCGCGTTATCAGTTAGTTATTCAAACGAGCTTTAATCATTTCTTTGGGTTTATTCTCCAGGTGGTTGACTCATCATCCGCCGATGATTTTACGGATTCCTGAACGTTTTTGAGGCGCACATGGTTCAACAACGCGTTCCCCTTCACCACTCACCACTCTCACCAGCAGGAACAACAATAACAAAAACAAAACAACTGGAATTGCGTGGACCGAGATGACGGAGAGCGGGACCGAGAGAGCGTGCAACAGGTCTGTGCCGAGATGGTCCAGGAGCGCTGGAACCAGAGCGTGGGAGCAGCGCAGAGAGCAATGGAATGTAGCAGGAGCGAGCACGTCCGACGCGCGTGAACTGCCAGCCGCGTATGGCCCGCAACTTCGGCGCTGGACGGCATGGAACTGGAAGCTCGGTGCCTCCCTATCACACACGCACACACACCCAGGCTGTGTGTTCACCAACAAACGCGGCCAAGATGGTGGGACCGGAGTCCTTTGACTGGGGTTTCTCAACAAATGAGTTCTAATATTTTTTTTTTCATTTTTGCACCACTTACTAATTTCGCACCCTAACCCAGAGTAGCTGAGTGTCGAACTCTTAACAAAGATTTTAACTAGTTGTGCAAGTGCAACAGTCTTAAAGGTTGAACGGATTATTTCGAATGCTACCAATGAAATACTTGAATTTGTATAACAAATTTTTATTCCCACCATTAGTACCCACTTTTTAAACATTGCCGATGAAGTAAATTATTTTGTTGGCTGCTGGTGTATACCATACACGCTCCACTCCCCAAGAAGTTATACTTCTGATTTTACTAACAAAAGCCTCGCGACCTTGCCGCCGTCGCACTTCACTCCCAATTAATCTCCTCCGCGTACCTCCTTTCACTAATCCCCACTTGCTTTGCGCCTCGCCGTCACTGGCCAGCACAATGGCCAGCGAACCAAAAAATAGAGTAACACATATCTAGGCCTTCGTCGCGCCTCAGGCCAATAGACTCGTGTCGTGATCCACCTGTTGCCAGTTTCCCCTGTGGCGCAGTCTTTGCCGGCAGAGTTGCATCACCGACAGCGGAACTAGAACAAGGCCTGATTGTGGTTTTCATGACTACGAGTGGAATAACCGGGCTGAGTAAGTATTTTTGAAGTCTTAGTGTAGCTACTTTCATAATTAATTGGAAAAGGCATGTTTCTTTAGCACGTTATAAAGACCTATTGATAAATGTTGAACTTACAGATACGAGCAACTTTGTTGCCCTGCACTAAACAAGGTGTTGATATTGTGTTATTTATAAGGTACATTCTGTGCCTTTGGATTTGTTTGATTATTTTTCGATGAACACAAACAAAATAGTAAGGAAAAGTGTGCCTCTGGTTTTTTTCCCAGCAGAATGTTTCAATAAACTACCAAAGCCCTATTCCAATTTAATTTTATCTTCAGGTCGAAAAATGTTATCTAAAGTATACTGGAATTTAACCATGTCAATTGTATCTACATCAACCCCTTAAGCCCCATTTCGTCAAATTCTGGCTATGGTAAATTTTGACACCCGACAATTATGAGTTCGACGCGCTTTTATCAGACTCTGAACATTGCATCTAAGCAAATGGTTTTCTAAATTTTATTTAATTTTATTTTGGTTCTCTTTTAATAACTTGCTAAAAGCGAAACGACTTTGCACTTATTCCAGTTTTAAAAATATTGAATAGACAAATATATAATTTTTACTATTCACGCAAGATTTACTTGGCTTTTAAGGTCTAAAAGGAAATGTTAATCCCTTTTTTTGATTTTCTTTCGTGCCACGATATAAGTCATGTCACGCTTCCATTTCTAACACAACGCACGTTCACAGATAAATAAATCTCCTAAATACGGCATGTACTTACTTGCATTACTGTACTGGCGGAAAACACATATAAACACAAATGCAGTACTACTTACCCAGCCATCGCAAGTTATGTCATATAATATATATTAAACTGAAAGTCTAATATCATTTTTTTTATTTCTTAAGTTACAGAAGCCGGTGGAAAACATAAAACTTGTTTGCAATTGCCTGTTCAGGAACCAGTTCGAAAATGAGCGCGCTTTTAGTGGGACCACAATGCACGACAATTCCTGGGAACCAAGGGGCGGGCACACTCGTGAACAAATTAGAGACGCCGATCCAATTGAAATCCGAAGAAATGACATTCCGGTTTTATCCTAGCCCTGGAAATCCGGTGACAACACCTGCGAAAAAGTTGACATATAACGAGCCAGAATAGCCTTTGTTCCAGACCTGACACACAGGCGACAAATCCTGCTGACAGCTCGAAAGAAACCATCCAGAAAAACCTCTGTTCAGTCTTACAAGAAACCGAGCAAGGCAAATTGAAATGGACCCAAAGGGCTTCGTGGAGATCGACGGATCCTACCTGGAGGGCGGCGGACAGGCACTGCGCAACGCCCTGAGCCTTAGTTGCATCTTGGGCAAGCCGGTGCGCGTGGTCAAGATCCGAGCCAACCGCCCAAAGCCGGGGCTCTCGCACCAGCACCTGCACGGACTGAACCTGGTCCGAGACATCTCCAACGCGGATGTAGTAGGCAACGAGCTGTTCTCCACAGAAGTGGAATTCACGCCGCGCACCATATTGGGAAGCAACTACCGAGTGGATGCGCATACGGCGGCCAGCATCACGCTTATCTACCAGATGGCCCTGCCCGTCCTTCTCTTCGCCGGCGGCCCCTCGCGTCTGCACGTAACTGGGGGCACGAACGTTGCTTTTGCCCCGCAGGTGGAGTACATGCAGCAGGTGCTGCTGCCTAACCTGCGGCGCTTCGGCGCCGGCTTCGACCTGAAGGTGCAACAACTGGGGTTCTTCCCTCGCGGCAAGGGCAGCTGCCAGCTGGACGTGCAGCCAGTGCCCAAGCTGGACGCCGGACAGTTTTTGGACTTCGGCCGGCTGCAGCTGGTCAGCGGAGTGGCTTTTTGCGCCGGCCGCCTTCCAAAGAGCATCGCAATGGACATACAGCAGACGGCGCAGCGCGAGATTCGCCGCCTGTGGCCTGACCAGGTGTGCACTATCGAGGCGGTGAAGCACGTTCCGGAGCTAGCGCGCGACAACGGTGCTGGCATCCTGATGACGGCCCGCACGACTGGCGGTTGCGTCCTGGGCTCTGCCACGCTGGGTGGAAAGCGGATCGACGGGCACGTGCTCGGCTCGGAGGCCTCCTGCCAGCTGGCCGAATATGTGCGCAAGGAGATCTGCGTAGACCAACACATGCAGGACCAGCTTATCATTTACATGGCCCTGGCCGTCGGCCGATCCCGGATGCGCACTGGCCCCCTCACCAAGCACACGCGCACCGCCATCCATGTCGCCGAGCAGCTCACCGACGTCAAGTTCGAAGTGACGGTGGAGAACGCCGGACAGACATTGGTTTCCTGCGAGGGCCTGGGACAACTCAACGAAATGCTCTAACACTCGATCTTTACTCTACGGTAACGTTAAATTATGTTTACACATATGGAGAATATACGTGGCCCTAAAGGCGTCGGAAAATGGCCAGGAAGTGATCGCCCTTGTTGCGCACCACTTTGGCGCCCTCCTCGCTGCTCTGGTACAGCTTCGGGGTGATGGGGTCGGATTGCTGTGGGTTGGTATTAAAGCAGAGGATTATTGTGCGGCAAGATCGCCCGCAGGAATCAACGTACCGCCTCCTCCTCGGTCAGACGCTCGTACAGCGGATGCTCCTCCATGTGCGCCACGATCCACTGGTGCAGGTCTTCTACGTCCGTCATGGTATACACCAGACCCTAGATGAAGAGTTAAATGCTGTAGCTGTAGTTCTCTTAGCAGGTGCCGGGACTCACCCCCTTCTGTAGGACGTAGGCGTACTCGGACAGCAGGGCCTGGTTGATGATGCGCCACTTGTGCTTGGCCCGCTTGAAGTGCGGGTCAGGATAGAGGAAGAACATCTTCTCGAGCTGACCTTTGGCGAAATAGTTGGGCAGATACTTCATTGCATTGGTGCGCAGGCAGGCCACGTTCCGGTAGGCGCCTGTGGACGCGTTCTTATGCCGCAGCGCCGCGATTCTATCCACCACGTAGTCGGACACCTTGACGCGGATCTCCATGCCGATGGACAGCTTTTCGGGAAACATCTCGCCCAGGGTGATCAGGAAGCCGCCGTAACCGCAACCGATGTCCGCGAAACTCACCTGCTGGCCCGGCTGGATGCTCGGATACAGCGTGCGCCAGTCAAAGTCCTCCGGGTGGGCTGGACTGCAAACAAATCCGTTGGTGACCGTGGATCCACAAATAACTTCTTTATAGCTCACTCACTAGTCAAAACTGTGGTCCGCAATAGGGTTCGAGTGCGCCCGCTGGCGGTAGTAGCGTTTCTGTGGCAGTCCCGTCACCGCCGACGTGGGGCTCAGAACATCGAGTTCCTGAATCTCATCCCGGTCCTGGTCCTGATCCCGGTTCTTGACCTGTGCGCCGGTGGCAACCATAATTCGTGAAGAGGGGAAACCTACTAAGAGTGGACAACAGCACGTTGCACGCCGATAAAATGTACTAAATATACCAAAAAAAAAAAAGGCTCGCAGATATTGGGGGCATTCCCTCATCTTAAAATCTGTGAAATATACCTTCATATATTTGTTATTTTTTTTTATTTTTATAAAGTAACATATATTTATTTAATTATAATAAATAAAAGATACATACATATTCTCGATTCCGGATAGAAATTTAGGTATTGTTTTTCTGGTATTTTAGGTATTTTGGCCGTTTTCGCTCAAATTTTTAATTTCAAATATCAGGCAAACATAATCTACAGAAAGTAATAGATGCCTAAAAGCGACCAGTAGAAAATCTGCTCAATAAGAAACCAAAAACTTTTCGGCGACCACCTTCTGAATAGTTATGATTGCCTGATGCTTTCAATTCAAAATCCCACACTTTGCGCGATCAAGACAGCTGATTTTGTTCGTCAAATAGCCAGGTTTCTAGATTTCAAACACCAGGCTCCCCCCAAATTTTTTTTTGCTTCCGCCCCTGCCTTATACATAAATGCTGCTGCTGAGCATCCACCTACTAAGCCTTTCTGTTTGCCTGGTGTTTGGGATCTTGAAACCAGCCAATTTCAATATGAAATTCGATTTCTGACACCAGGCCAACATAATCAATAGCAGGCTGCAGCTGGTAAAACAGAATTTACTTAAGTAACGGTTCTTTTTTAAGTTAACTGTCCTTGGCACACTTCCCCTCACTGTTTCCACCAATCAGAACGCCGCATCACTCGAAAGAACCGTTGTTTCAAAATAAACATCAGATCAGAGATGCGAAACCACGCTGATTCTTTGTGCGTGTCACGGAATAGCACGCCGCGCACAAGTAATTAATTAATTTCCATGTGGTTGTTGTTGGCGTGACAAGAATAATTTGTCACGCGCTCATCACTGAACAAGCCAATTTTAAGCTGATCAGCTGATCGATTTTCACCTGCTAAGCGGTTATGTTGGCCTGGTGTTTGCAATTCAGTTCGTCGCAATTTGCTTGCAGAAAATGTTATTCTTTTTATCAGGGGCGGACGCAAGGGGGTGAGCCAGGATGTCCGGACTCCCCCCGAAATCTCAGACTTCTTCAAAACCCCTTGCAGCACACGGTCCGTCAACCATATAAGCTAAATACATTTTTGATTGCACTCCCCTGCCGAACTAAAAAATTGTTCGCAGCAAGCAAAACATGTAACAACATCAAAATGACCAGTAGAAAATCTGCTCAATCGCCACATGCCCAGTAGAAAATCTGCGATCGAGACAGCTGATTTTGTTCGTCAAATAGCCAGGTTTCTAGATTTCAAACACCAGGCAAACATAATTCCGCAGCAAGCAAAATATCCCTAATTGTAACAACATCAAAATGACCAGTAGAAAATCTGCTCAATCGCCACATGCCCAGTAGAAAATCTGCGATCGAGACAGCTGATTTTGTTCGTCAAATAGCCAGGTTTCTAGATTTCAAACACCAGGCAAACATAATTCCGCAGCAAGCAAAATATCCCTAATTGTAACAACATCAAAATGACCCGTAGAAAATCTGCTCAATCGCCACATGCCCAGTAGAAAATCTGCTTAATTGGAATCAACCAAATAGGGTACCAGCCCTATGGGAAAGAACAGTTAACTTGCATTCCAGCGTATACTAGAGATGACAATTCGGTTGGTTTCTTCTCGCCGTGTCACGACAAAGTACCATAACTTTATTTTGAAGAATACCTCTAATGAAATTAAAAACACTATCCGATATAAAGCTAGAAAGTATACAACTCGGTGGAGTGCCAGCACTGCTAGCGACCAAAACATTTCGTTCTCAGAATCGGTTTATTGCAGCGCAATTAAAGTAGATAAGTTTGTTGTGGCCAGTGCTACAGTGCATCGCCACATCCAACATCCAACCATCCTCGCCCCGCCGCCTCCTCTGACGAAATGTCACAAGTTTATCTGCTGCCGGTGGCTACGTTCCTGGTTTTCCAGGTCACTTTTATTGGCACGTAAGTAGGCAGTGGACGTTATCTGATTATCCGTCCTGATTATCCCCACCGCCAGGTACATTTTTGCCGTGTTGGAGGGCCATGTGGTGCCCACGGTCCCCTACATCAGTGATGCAGCGACTTATTCGCCCGAGAGCTGCGTTTTCGGGCAGCTGATCAACATCGGCAGCGTTCTGTGTGAGTCCCCTCGCCTCTCGACATTCTATCTCATTCTCCAGCGAATGAGTCATCTGCCGATTGGTCGCGGCGGCTGTATTGCAATTAGTCTAATTGATTTACTCGTGCCTTGCAGTGGGAATCACAATTTACGTGCGCTACCGTCAGGTGCTGCAGCTGTACGAGCACCACCCGGATCTGGACGCCTCGGTGCTCCGGCACAACCGTCTGGCGCTGTGGTTCGGTCTGGTGTCCTGCCTCGGCATCAGCTTCGTCGGGAACTTTCAGGAGACGAACGTGCGGATTGTGCATTTCATCGGAGCCTTTTGCTGTTTTGGCTGCGGCGCCCTATACTTCTGGATGCAGGCGCTGATCTCGTACCTGATCTTCCCCATGGCAGGAACCCGCATTTACGCCCACCTGCGCCTGGGCATGTCCGTGTTCTGTACGATCCTGTTTATCGTGCTGGCCGTCACCGGTGTGATGTCGCACATCCTGTTCAAGGGGCAGAATCCGCGGAAGTGGTGGGTCCACAGGAAAAACCATCCAATACTTACTTTTACATCGCATCCCACATCTTCTTTTAGGTATCCCTCGGACGGCGGCTGGTACTTCCACGTGATAAGCTCTATTTCGGAGTGGATCCTCGCCACCATCTTCAGTTTCTTTATCCTCTCCTTCACCCAGGAGTTCCGCGACGTGTCGTTATCGCATCCGCAAATCGCCTTGATGTCCTACGCGACCACCATCTAGAGTGTAGCCTGCTGGCTTAAGAGCGGAAAGCTTGGGCTGGACTAGCCAGTAATTCCTTGCAAACTTCTACATTTAGTATACAATCCTGGGCGGCAAGGGCAAGGGTTGTGAAGATGATGTGCTTGTCCGGGATACGCACTGCGACTGCCTTCTCTCTTTCTGATGCTCTGTCTCTGTCGGATTGCTGTGATATGTTCAAAGTGATTCCCAAAGCTAGGGATTAGGTCGCGCCGAACGGGGGCAGTGGCTAATGGAGGAGTTACATTTATTGTTTACCCGAGTTCGTTTTCACATTACTCATTACACATACTAAATCGAACTAACCGGTAGAAATGATCTGTAAATCTGTAAAATACAAAAAAGTTAAATGAAGAGGAGTGTTTGCTTGCTTGTCAATCCCTAGCGCTTGCGATCCCTAGAGCGGTCGCCATCCCGATGCTTGTGGCCACCTCGGCTGCCGTGGCTCCCGTTTCCTCCTCCGGTCCTTCCCTCGCCGCCCCCGCCGCCACCACCGCTGTTGCGATGCGACGAAGAAGAAGAGTAGCGACTGTGCTTGCCCGAATTCGAGCCGGAGTTGCGGTACTTGTCGCCATCACTCACATTGTTGCTGCTGCCGGCGTTTCCGGACCGGTCCTTCTTGGAGTAGTACTCCGAGCGGTCGCGCGAAGATTTCCTATAAGTGTCAACAACTCGGATATGAATATCAAGTCTTCTCTGTGTGTCACTTTTGATGAAAGCAGCATAAGCTAAGCTAAAGGGTCTTACAACTAGCAAGCACTAAATACTGGAGTAAACGCAACCATTGGCTGAGAATTATCGAAATAAACACTAGTAGTTAGCAACTTACGTTTTCCTGTGCTTGCTGTGCGGCGAGCTGGAGCGCGTGGGCGACCTCGAGTAGTGGCGCGACTTCTTCTTGTGCTTCGGCGGCGACCGGGAGCGCGAGCGGGAAGATCGGCTGCGGTGGGACTTCTTGGTGCGCTCGCGACTCGGGGACCTGGACCTCGGCGAGCGGGAGCGCGGCGTTCGCGACTGTGTGCGTGTTCTGGAGCGCGAGCGCGACCGCGAGTCCTTCTCCGGCGACTTATCCGAGGGCAAGGGCAGTGGAATCGCCCGCTGGATGAAGCCGCCCCACGCATTGTGGGAGCCGTTGTTGCGATCTACAGTGATGACTGCCGGCGGGGTGTTCGCCTCCTTCGTCTTGTTGCGCGCGTCGATGTACCGCTTCTTCAGCTCGTCCACGGCGGCCTCCAGCTTTTCCACCACCGGCTTTGGACGCGTGTACAGCTCCATCACCCGGTAGCAGATGTCTGTGATGTCGGCCATCGGCACGCGGAAAATGCCGAACCACGGCGGACTGCTGGGCAGCGGTATGTTGAGCTTGCGGGCACTCAGGTAGATGCAGGCGCAGGCAATCGCCTCCGGGGTGTAGCGCATGAACACGTCAGTCCGCAGTGAGTCGTTCATGAAGTTCCAGGAGAGCTGCATCAGCTTCTCGTGCTTCTCGTACTGCAGCACCTGCAGGTACATCACAATCAGCTTGTGCGGGTGCTTCACGTGCACGCAGAAGCCCAGTTCCTTGAGGACGCGTCGCTCGGCCTTGATCACTTGCATCTTGAGGTTCGTGTAGTACGGATCTAGCACCATGGGCGAGATCTCCCTGCGGGCATATGAATTGTTTAGTGTTGTCTATAGGGTTTTATAACGCACCGAGCCACACTTACTTTTGAGCACGCACTTGCTTGATGTGGTGAAACACATTGATCACGTCTCGGATGCGCCGTGGCGCCTCTTCAATCTTTGAGGCCAAGCAAACACAGCTCATGGCCACCGTCTCCATGTTGTGCCGCACGAAGCTCTTTGAATAGAAGAAGCGCTGGAAGAGCACCTGGCCGGTGGCCATGGCCACCTGCGGCAGGCGCAGTAGGATGCCCGCCGTCTGAATGAGCTCACAGCCCAGAATGCGGAGGTCCTTCTCGGTCTCGTGGTCCAGCCCGTCCTGGCTGGAGGGCGTCACGTCGATCTTGACCTCCGGGATCAGACTGTTCTCCAGCGTCAGCACGATACGGTTGAACAGGCGCGGGTAGATGGGCTTGCTGGCGTCCGTCTGGGCGGCTGCCACGCCCCCGACGGCATCACCGATCGATGCATCCGCCCCCGGTACCGCTGCGCTGTTGTTGTTGTTCGCGATGTTGATGCTGTTCGAGTGGATCGTGGTCAGCACACTGGTGATCGTCTCCACCGTTAGCGAACTGGTTGTCACCGTCGCGTGAAGCACAGCGGCGCCGCCCCCACGGCTGGCCATTCGTCTCCGAAGTCCACGATGCGCGATTCACAAAGCAAAGTGCTTATTTTTGTGTTTTATTTATCACTTTGGGCAATTTTCAACTTTTGGCAGCAATCGATATCGATAGCTCGACGCGTGAATTTATACTGACCTGTTATCGTCGGCGTTGCCCCTTTTATGTGCGTTGATAATGTGCTAAATAATGTCGAAAATACTACAAAAGAAATTGGTTTGAGTCAGAATATAGGTGGGTGTCCAGACACGAAGTTGCAACACCCTAAAAAATACCTCAGATTGTTCGAGTCCACACTAACCCATAGACAAGTTTTCTACCTTTGTCAGACCCTAAAAAGACCTCCGATGGTTCGAGTCCACACTAACTCATTGACAAGTTTTCTACCTCTGTCAGACTATACACTTACTGTATTAAAAATCGAGTTTCTTCTTGGCCATAAACCAAAGATCGGAAAAAATATGTACTTATTATTTTCTGTTAACCTATTAAACAATTTTAAGCAAAAAGTAAAATAAAAACATTTCAAAATAACATTGATATGCGATATTTTGTCAAGAAAAATATCGCGATAATAATATTTATTATTTGAAGCAATCGATGTATCGATATTGGGATATGTTTTCGACATCCCTAATTTCGTTTTCGTTCGTTGTTTGTCAAAACGCGAAGTGCAGTACAAAAGAAAAGTCAACACAACGTAAAAACAGATACTGAACCGCCGAGCCGCGACTGTGTGTTGGTGTGATTATTTTTTTTGTGTTTAGTGTTTATTGTGCGGACGAAAAAACAAACGCTGGAGTCAAAGCGGAGCAAGTCCAATTGGAGTTATTCGAGATCGCAGTGCTTCTAGAGGAGTCCTGTGTTCCGGGGCACTTCCCCCGCTCGAAAAGAGCCCCTTTCAACCCCAGTGTTCCAGTCGAATTAGGGGTTGCAAATTTTTTGCAGCCAGCCCGGAGAAGTTGGGGGAAAGGAGAGTGAGTCAGAAGGAAGGAAGCGCGCACATCAACACGGCCCCCACGTCCAATCGGAACCAGAAGGGGAATCAGAATCCTTGAGAGAATCCTTTTCGCGTGCCATGCGTGACCTCGGCACCAAAATGGCCGAGCTAAAATTCGAGGCTCCGTTGGCGAAGTTCGAGGAGACGGACGAGTGGGGCGGCTGTGACTTCATATCGAGCCAGAACGCCCTCAACGACACGCTGAACCTGAATCTGAAGGAGTCCTCGTCGGCCGGCAAGCCGGACGCGGCCAAGCTGCGGCTCCTGGAGGATGCGGTGCGCGACGCTCACGTGAGCAAGAACGGCGGAGGAGGCGGCCTGGGCGGACTGGGAGGGGGGAGCTGGCTCCATCAGCCCCAACTGCAACACGCTGCAGGGCGGCGGGTCGGTCGCGGACCTCGGCCTGTCCGACGTGGGCCTGGTGCCCGGCGAGGGCGGCGGGTCTGGCCTGGACGGCCTGGAGAAGCGGTCCCTGGCCGCCGGCGACCATGTGGACAACTTCACGGAAACCTTTGGCGGCAGTCTAGAGGATCTGGTCAACACGTTCGACGAGAAGATCACCAAGTGCTTCGGCAACTACGAGGAGAACGTCGAGGAGCTGGCTCCGGTGCAGGTGCGCAGCCAGGAGGAGATCATGAACGAATGCCAGTGAGTATATTCGCAGTTACACATACACGACTAGAAATGATGCTATTGGTCAGTCATAACTCGGAAATCAATAAACCAGATAGGGTTCCTCTGCGAACCACAATTTCGAGTACGTGATATCATACTGTCACCACTTGCTAGGGGAACTGAAATCACCAGAGATGTTCTGGGCTTTTTCCTGTGGAAGTGCCTTCTGTGTGATTCAAGTTCCGTACCCCAGCCACTGCAGAGTCACTGCAGGAATAGTCAAGTGGGGAGGAGCCCCGGGACCCCAGGATGCCGTATGCGACAGCTCCAATCCCAGTTATGTAAAGTGCATTCAGCGATGTTTTGTGTTTTTGCGCTTTCGTATCTATTGCGACGCTGCTGGGGGAAAGTGCGCATGCTCCGGCAACAAATCGCCACCCGAATCCCGAACCCCGAACCCCGAACACAACCCCAAACCCGACTAGCTGTTTCGAGGCCCGGCGCCACACAACGACGTAATCCTGGCCCACTGCGAAGGGTGGGTGGTGTGGTGTTTTCTTGTTGGATCGATAAAAGGGCCAGGAGTCGCCGTTTGGCCGTTTTTATCTGGTTTTCGGGCGCTGTTGCGCCTTGCAATTGCAAATGCGAATGCAAATGCACCGGGCACTCAGTAGCCGTAGCCGTAGCCCCGTTATAACGCCGATCCACTTACGTCGCTTATGTCCACTCGGTGGAGTGGCAATCGCAGAAAGCAGAAAGCGCAGGGGTTGGGGGCAATAAATCATTTCATATTTCATTCCAGATAAACACTTTACGGAGCAATGCTCCGCTCCAGGGAAACGGTGGAAACGGAATAGCGTTTCCGCGGGCAGCGGGGGAAGGGCAACCGAAGCGGGGAAGGGGAAGGGGACGGAGCCAGCCACAGTGTGGCAGCTTCACTTTCGAGTCGAATGCAAATCCAGCGAAGAGCGAAAAACAATATTGCTATATACATATGTACGAATATGGCACCATGTCGCTATCTTTCTCGTTCCCTCTTGGCTGACATCAGCCATAAATTTGATAATCGCGTGCACACCCGCGATCCACGTGTGCGTGTGTGTGTGTACAAACAAACACACAGTGGACAATCGCTTAAAGGAACCCAGAAATGATATCTGAAATAATAGTCTCGCAACCTGTTTCTTATTCCCTTTTCCCTCATAGTAATATTAAATTTGGTCGAAAACAGAAATTCCGTTTCTTTAGAAGCTATAATAGAATTGGCATTTTTGTGTATCCCATACTAACTGTATTCAAAAGCCTGGACACATGTGCGTCCGAAACATTTGGAGGTGTTCGCGTACGATGACTGAATTTCCATTGCCCCGAAGGAATGAGCAATCATTGATGTTTTTGTCTACACACATAAATTAGTATTAATTGATTTTGGCCCTCTGCCGTTTCCATATCCTCATCTCTCGGAACCTGGAAACCTGCCAACCTGGAAACCTGGAAACTGAGTACAGATGACAAAACTCCGCAGCGGCAAAGTCACCCAAAGTCGCTAGCTCCGCTGCAGTTTGTCTTAGTTCCGTTTTTCATTTTATGAGTATTCATTGCCACCGCTCTCTCTCTGCATGTTGGACCCCCCGCCACCCTCTTCTGCTCCCCCTCCCCCCTCTCTCGCTCTCTCCCACTTTCTCTCTCTCTATCACCTACACGAGTGCAACTTGTGGTGCCCAACTAACTGTTTCTGCCTTTGTTCGGGAACAGGGTACCTTCTCAACTAACGCACCACTTCATACCCTATAATTGGTTTCCGCAGAGTCTAAAGCTTGTGGCTTGCAGTGTTCACAAAGTAAGTAACAAGCGTGTTTCCAGAATGAAACAAGGGGTATTGGTGGGTCTACCCAGATGCTGAACGGTGGCTGAATGGTTTTGTTCTTGTGTATCGGCGCGTTAATCGAACTGCGTCGTCGCCGCCTGCTGTCAATATTTGCCTTACTTAATAACGATTCAGCGGAGGCTGTGGAAACTTCGCCGAGCGAGGATGCCTGGGTCGAAGGTCGCCCGTTGTTCGCATCCCCTTCCCGGGGACAATCCCCCTTTGACCAAGTCTTCGCCCGCATTCCGCTCCGATAAGTGGCAGCTCCTCCAAGGTCGCAGTTCGGGTTGTGCGGAGAAGTTGCGTCAACACGGAAGCTGCGTCCCACTGCAAGCTAACGAGAACACACGATGATTACTAATTTGGGAACCCGACGACTGGGACGTTCTTTTGGGGACGCATTCTTGAAGTAGCTGAGCTGAGGCATCTCAAGACGAGTGACCACTGGAAGTACATATCTCATGAGCAAGTGGGACACAGTTGCGAGGTTACGCACTCCGCTGACCATATGCCGAGTTTGGGGCCCAACGGCTGCACACAAAGGCTCTCCATATGGACAGCGTTCTTCCGGTTGCTTTCGGCGAAGCACGCCACTTGGGTCGATAAGGAGCCGACGGCGAGTTGCTGCTCATAATTGAGTTGTTGCTGGCGACCCACTTTTGCTGCCAAGTCGCCGAGACCTCAATCGATTCGTGCTTCGCAGCGGGTTCAATGTCCTGCGTCCTGCAGTCCTCCCGACTTCGGGAGCACGAACTGCATCTGCTTGGAGCCTCACCAAATGAACGCAACGGCCAGCGGATAATGGGATAGTGGGTACTGGATACGGCGCTTTGGAATATGGCCTCCAACAATGTAAAGTTCTCAACCGAAGCTCACATTAGCTGAGCTCCAGTTGGTGTCGTCCCCTGTTGGCCTTGCAGTTTCCATGCCCAAATGCGATGTGTTCTGTCTGTTCTGCTGCACTCTGCCATATTACCTTTTGCAATATTACCTGTGCAGTGGAAACCTGTTCGCAGCCATCTACGGCAAATGGCAAAGTGGCTTTGCTGGCCGCAACTGCCCCACTGCCTCCTCGCCAGTCAGAGGCTGTCGGAGATCGAAGTGGATCGGTTGATGGTGGACCACACGCGACGACAGCACTCCGCTCCCAACTCTCCGCACTCAACACTCAGGGGTGTTGCATCAGAAACTCATCCGACAGCAGTTAGGTAAATGCCGAGCGGTGACCGCTCTTGATTTGGTTTGGTTTGGTTAGGAAACCTGGGCATGAATATGCATTCAATCTGAAGTAGCAGTAGTAGAGCTCATTTCTGACACTCGACTCGAGCACAGCTTAGTGCCTTTCAATTGGCTGGCAATTGCAATATTCGGCGAGGACTTCCTCCAGTTGGCTGAAACTTGAGCCCGAAGTCCTGCCAGTTCAGTGGCGTGGTAATCAATTACGAGGGTCGGCTATAAATAATCGGACTGGGAACTGCTTGCGGGGGTTGCTTGTTTGGCAAACAGGGCCGAACCAGGGATCAAACCCTCGAGCCCTTCTGATATGAGTGGCGAATAAAACAGAATGTACATAGTAGGACGTTTATTCGGGGGGATAGTAGCACACATGGGGGTATCCGCACTTGCTGGATGAGTCACCCAGGCAACTTGCCGTATGCGGGGTCCTTATCAATCCGAATCCGAATGCATTCGGTAGGCAGGGCAGCCGAGGGGTTGCTGGGTTTCCGGGTTGCATGGGAGCCGTCCGGGGGTTGGTTGCAGGGTTGGACCGCGGGGCCAAAGGACGTTAACCTCCGGGCATTGTTTGCCAGGCGTTGCCGGGGAGACGAGCCTCTACACCCACGGGCTGACCCACCCTGGAACGCTAATTGCCCGACCTAACCTCACTCAACTTCGCACGGAGCAACTTTGGGTTTCGGCCGTTCGGCGCCAGTCGAATATTAGAACGTCTGCCCGCCATCGAAGCGGGGAGATATATCCGATGACTAATCCGGCACGAGCTCGGAGCACGAGCGAAGACGGCGCCTTGCTAGCCTGCGGCACTATTACATCATCGCAGTGAGGATAAGAGGGCGGCAGGCAAACAAATAACATTTGGAATACAGTCAAGGACAAAGCAGTCAGAGGGCAGAGGACGATCTGGGGAGCTGGGGCACGGGCATTGTGCAATTGAGCCAAGTCCTTGCCACGGAGCATCTGCAGCTGCCTGTGGCATTGAAAGGGGAGTGGGAGTGGGAGTGGTGCTTGCTGCTTGGTGCGCCAAGGATGCGCCAAGGATGCTCCAGCGAAGGCTGCAGCGAAGCTTCGCCAGCAGACGACTCACAGCAGTCCTTGAACAACAATGCAAACAACGGTGCCTGTCGCCTGCGGAGGCACCTGTCTGTCTGTCCGTCCGTCCGTCTGTTTGTCTGTCTGTCAGCCTCTCTGCACTTTGTTTGGGCCACATTTGTCTTTGGCGCAACGTGCTTACCTAACTGGCTGGCATCTGGAGACTCCCGAGGCTCGCATGAGCGACTCGGCCAGAGGGGAGTGAAATCCGAGGAACCTCACGTTGCCTGCTCATAACCAAGTCAGTGGTTGCTCCAAGATCCACGATCCGCATTCAAAGCTCCGCTCATCGAAGGCTCCAAGTTGGCGAGTCTTGCTTCTCCGAATTGAGCACATCGGTGAGCAGAGGCGCTCTCCTCCCACGAATCTCCCACAGATCTCCGCTCCTCAGCGAGGTGCTTCTCCGCGGTCGCTGCTTCTACCGTCGCAGATACCGTCTTTATATTTATATATACATACATATATTATATATGATATATACACATACATACACACTATATGTGAGGCGAATGTTTTTGTTTTGCTTGCGTTTTCGCTCTTCGCTGTTCACTGTTATTTGTTTATGGGCCACATAACTGGCAACATTTTGCTCCGCTCTGCGGTTTCGGACGCTGTTGGATTGCCATGCCACCGAAGCCATACGTACGTATCGCCCGGCTTTTGCTATCTCTCTCCATCTCTCTCTCTCTCTTTCTGGCTTGCGCGTTTTGTTAATGTTAATGGCCTATTTATACAAATTATTAATCAATTGATTTTGCTCGGGCACGCAACAGAAACAAAATGCCAGAGCCCCGCTCAAAGTGTGAACGGAGTTGCTTGCCTTTGCTTACACATTTACACTTTGCACAAAACTTATCAAAAGATCGGAGAGATCGGAGGGGGATACCAGGTGGAAAGACTTTGTGGCAAGACCAGCAAATGAGGTGCAGATGGTGGCCCATTTTCGCTCTGTGAAGCCGTGAAATCAAATCAACATTCCCCCGCAATGTCCAATGTCCAATAGTCGCATCCCCTTGTCTTTTGTCACCGCCAGAGTTCCCCAAGTGTGTCCCCGATTGCCCGCTATTTCGATCCCATCCACGCCCATTGGCACACACACCTCCTCGGTTCGCATTCGGATCGACTATGTGGGCTATGGGCTATGGGCTGTGGCTGTGGGGCTCCTGTGCCAACGCACAGGCCAAGTGCGAACGGCCAAAATTAGAAACACTTTGAAGTGCGCAAGACTCTCCTGATGACTTTCCTGCGGCTGTCCGCAGTTTTTATTTAGCACGTGGTGGCATTTCTCCAAACATGTATCTGCTGTCACATAGTCAGCATAGCATGTAGCATGTAGCATTTGGCATGGGTGGATGATAGATATGTAGCACAGGGCCACCCTTTTACTTCGGGTGTTCAGGTGGAGAGGGGGAAACTTTCACGCTCCCCACAATGAACAATGGACAATGTGCGGCAACAAACAACGAATGAAAACCACTTACGCCGAAACCAAACCGATTTACCCGACTCCCTTTTGTCCAACTCAACCCAAAAGCTAAGTCTTTCCAATTAGCTACTAGATTGGTTCGGATATTCTCGTAGATATACCGATCTATTAGATTCAACCGACTTGGAAAGGTTTTAAGATGCAGCCAAACTCAAAGGGAATCGAGTGGTCGGCTTGTGGAGTATTATGTTAACTGCAGGTTGCCGAAAACCAAGTTGCGAATGTTGAGCCCGTTGCGGTTGGGTGAAAACTCGTGTGAACGAACCTTAAATACAATACAACAAATAAAGGCACACTAGTGGCCAAACCCGAAGGGGAACCTCTTTATCTTGGCCCTTCGGTGTTTGGAGCACTACGAAGCATTTCGAATCAGAATCAGAATCTCGCTTAGGAACAATACCAGTGGCTGTGGCATTCAACTACTAACATCTGGGAGTCTCTTCATCGCAAACCATCAGCGGCAAACCCGTTTGACATTCATAATATAATATGTTCGCAGAGGAATTGGAACCCATTGGGATACCATCGAGGAATTCTCTATTGCCGCTTCTGGTTGTCAGCAGCTCGAAACCCTACAACGGCTTTTCCATGCCGCTCCAGCTACCCAACAGCTACCCAACTAACAGCTACCCACTTCCCTTCGAACGCCATAAAAACACCAGCCACCGTATTAGAAAGTTATTTCTCCGCTTTTCGCTGCCGAAAGAGCCACAAGCACTCATTCATTTCCTATGGAATTCCGATTCGGAGGGAGTCGAAAATCAGGAAGCAAAGGCCAGCGCACGAAGTGAAATACTGACAATGCCAAGCGAGTTGTCTTCGGGAGGGGGAAACAGTCAACACTGCGTGGGCGAAACGAAGCCAATTGAGTGAAGAGACGAGGGGGTTGCGAGGGGGGAGGGGAACTCTTGGACAGTTCGACTGAACAACTGAGCGTCGTCATCATCACGAGATGGCCAATTTGGGGGGCGCTGATTCATCATCCGCCTATCTAAGTACACACAATTAAAATTCATTAAAGACTTCCCCTTCCGTCGCCAATTTTCATCAACCGAAACTTGTGGCTTTCTGTCATTTCATTTTTGTTTAATGCTCCCAGCCACTGGCTACGTGTGTCACGAATTTCCCAGGGAGTTGAAGCGAGTTCGGTGCTGTGGCAGATATAGTACGTAATGTCCCAAGCCTAAACTGTTTCTAATTTCACACATTATCTCTCCGCGTGCGCCCCTCCCAATCCCAATTGTTATTGAATATGATGTTGTGTTCGTCTGAGCGATGAGCTCATGCTTTTTGGGGGCGTTTTTCGAGGGTAAGGCTGCTAATTGTCGGACATTCGAGCATGTGGCACCAGGCCCGCATCCCACATCCCGCATCCCAGGCTATGGCCCCACGGAAAGGGGAGAAGATCTGCCCGAACGGAAGGAGCCGCCAGCTCCGGTCAGCGGGAAGATTCCATCTGCATCTGCGATGTTTATGGGGCCCATAATTATAATCGCCGACGGGTGCGCAAGAGGCTGTCCCCGCTCTAATTGCCCGACTCGATGACGGACACTTGGGGAACTGGGAAATGCCAGGCGGGGAGTGGCAGACTAGAAGTGGGAGCTGCAATCTGAATTGGTTGCCACCGATAAGGCAGTTCAAGGGTCGAGGATGAGGAACCTATTGGGAGCCTGTGTATATGTGGGGAACCGCTTTTCCAGAAGCGAAACTAAGCAACGAATTAATTTTATTAACGGTTATTGGACTTCCGCGAATTGCCACAAAATGTGGAACGGGAAAACAAGGTCGAACCCCATTAGTTGTGGCCCCAAATGTGACCTAGTTTCTGTCGCAAATGCTGATTTGTTGATGTGTTGATTTTAGTGCGTATAGTGTGGTTGATTTGATCATTTATTCCCATTTCCATTTCCGAGTGAGATTAGCCGGAGGAGCCTGCCTCCCCGGAGAGTTGTTCCGTAATTAGTTCGCCGCGATGGCAGTTTAAATATTCATTCGTACGGGTATCTGCCGCCTCTGCACCGAGCTCCACGGCTCCAAAAGCGGTGTCCACATCATCGCCGGCACGTAGAGCATTCATTGAGGCACTTATAAATACACATACTCTATGTGTGCATACGTATATAATATATATAATATATTTATACGAGTGTGTATCTGTGGGGCGGCTCATCGGTGTGGCTGTAAGCTGCGTGCCATGACTGTATGGGCAGTGGCGGCTGCTGCAGCATTAGCACCTCATTCAGAGCCAAATCGGAGCGACAACTCAACTAGCTCGCATTCGGAGTACTCGTTCGTACTATGCTCGTGGGACGCACTGTACGCTTGAGTTTATTCGTTTGACACATTACCCCCCGCTCCCCCTTCTGCGCCCCTGGCCCACAGCCAACACCCCCGCGAGTTGTCACGAACAATTCGCCAGCAGCTCTGGTTTTTCTATCGCTATTCAGCGGCGGCCTCTGTTATGTTTTCTTGGCTGCCTTCGTTTTCCGAGAGCTGCCACTGCAGCGCATCGCTCGAATTGCTGCACTTTATTTGCAGATTGAGGCACCAAATTCCAGCGATTTCGGAGGGGCATTCAGAATTGCCCAGAAATGATGAGTGGTGTTTAAAAATACATTCCGATTGTTTTCATAGACATATCTGCTCATCTCGGGCAGCAGAGTGTTCCTGTCCAAGGGAATGACGTAGGAAGTTCGCTCCTGAGTTGCAGAAGGCATTGAAGTGTGCAGAAATCATTGTGTCCGAGTTGGAATCGGAGTCGGACTGGCTGGCACACATTCTACAATTGATTTTCCCATGGGGTTGGCTCGTGACAGGGTAACGAATCCATCTTAAAGTTCTACATGAGATTCTCCTCCGGATACTTTCACCAGAGAACAGAGCACAGAGCACAGGTGGCCGTTCTGCATTCTCACTCATTCCTCACCGCTTACCGCCCACTGAATTCCGCACTTGAATTGAAGTGAATCACCTCCCACTAATCGGCGGAGTGCACTCGCTCGCTCATTGGCAATGTAGAGCATGAATAATTATGGGGTAAACCTAGCGAGAAGTCGGGAAGTCGAAAGCGGTGGCTAAGGGGGATCCCCCCAGAGCAGACAGCGGCAATTAAATGATTGGCAATGATCATGAAATTTGATAGCAACGAGCCAGCAGCAACTGGCAGCCAGAACAGCACATTACAGAACGGAACAGAAAACCGAACAGACAAACAGTCTGACTGACTGACAAACTCTGCTGGCGGTTCATGTGGCCCATTGCCAGAGGCCAAGGAAACGGAAGGGTAGCAATTACAGTAAAACAGAGATGCAGTGATGCAGTGATACAGTGATACAGATACAGATACAGATACAGAACCACCACTGTTCGGGAACTCCAAGCTCCGTTGAAAAGAGATTACGGATAGTTAAAGCTATCGAAGTTGGACTGTGGGCTCCCGAGAGCTCCGAGATTTGCTGAGAGGCAACTGCACCTGCCTCATTGTCTTTGGGTCGATGTGCGTGACTGCCTTCGGGCAGTTTCTCAGTTGGTTAGTCGCAGTTTGTTGAGCCAGTTGCTGGCCACCTACTGCTACCTACATGCCGAATGCCACCAAATGTCGTCTCGAGTTTGTGGGTGGCGACAGGCAGAAGGAACGGGGATTTCCCCCGATCTCCCCGGATCTGCCCAGGAGCTGTGCCAAGAATGGGAGGACGGTGAAAGCAGTACTCATTACTGGCTGCCAAGGCACTCCACAAATCTCGAGGAAAGCCTTGAGCGGGCTGGGAATGTTCAGGAAGTGCCTTTCTTGGCACAAAAGCCGAAGTAGAGCAGCCGAGTGCGAGTTCAGGCAAATGCAAATGAAAGTGTCGCTAAATCCACGCTGCTTTGGTGCAGTTCCTTGTAAGTTCAAAGTGCAGCGTTCAGAGGTGCAACTTGAAATCGAGTTGAAGCCTAGAAAGAATAGAGGTGTTTCTAGAAATCAATACCCATCCATGAGAACGAGCTCAAGACCTGATTTCTCTTCTTCCAGAATGTGGTGGACCATCACCGGCAACTTCGGCAACATTCTGCCCATCGACTGGTCCAAGTCGTACACCCGTCAGATGCACATGCCCACCCTGAACCTCGGCCAGGGCCACACGAAGCAGCAGCAGCAGGCGCGCAACCAGCAGCAGCAGCTGCTCAGCCAGGGCGGCCAGGCGATGCCGCCAGCAGGAGCTGGCTCCCACGGATCCGGAGCAGGAGCAGGAGCAGGACTGGACGCCCAGACACCGGGCGACGAGTTCAACGACCTGGCCAGCGAGGACGAGGCGGTGGCCAGCGACCTGGACATGCACGCGCTGATCCTCAACGGGCTGAACGGGGACCTGGACGACCAGCCGATCAAGACGGTGGAGGAGGTGATCAAGGAGATCGACGACATCATGGACGAGGCCGAGAGCCCGCTGGACGAGCCGGACAACTGCGACTCGGAGGTGATCGAGAAGGCGCGCGAGGTCCTGGGTGCGCCGCTCTACGCGGAAAGTAAGTACCCGACTTGGAGTTCCTCCTGAGTTCCCCCTAAGTTCACCCATGATTTCCCCCATGAGTTCCTCCTGAGTTCCCCCTTACAAGAGCTAATTGAACCAATCAATCAAACCCGCAGAGCTGCAGTATCTGAGCACGACACAGCTGAACGAGCTGTACATGGAGATGGAGGTGCTCATCCAGGAGCTGAGCGAGACCCTCATCAACGAGCTGGCCCTCCGCGACGAGCTGGAGTTCGAGAAGGAGCTGAAGAACTCCTTCATCTCGCTGCTCCTCGCCGTGCAGAACAAGCGGCGGCAGTACCACGTGGAGAAGAAGCGCGGCAAGTTCCAGGGTGAGTCTCCTCCCATCCTTTCCGATCTTCCCGCCTAACGAGACTCGTGTCAGCAGGTCCCGAGCCCAAGTACTTGACCACAGTCATTCCGTACCACCTGGAGATTGGCACGCCCAACAACCAGTCGCTGCAGGTCCTGATCAAGAGTGAGTTACCTAACGCGGTTCACCCCGACTATCTATCTGATCCAATCCCCCAATCCCTTGCAGTCCTCAAGGCCATCAACGAGGACAGCCCGACGGTGCCGGCCCTGCTCACGGACTACATCCTGAAGGTCCTGTGCCCCACATAAGCAGTCATAAGCAGTTGTTAGGAACCTAGGAAACCGAGGAGTCCAGGCATCCAGCTACCGCTCTATCTCTCTGTCTGTGTTTATACCACTTACCGTACATCTATATACAACTTGCATATACGCGCACGCCCCACATAGTCTAAAGATAAGTTCCGGTACCTTCAGTTACTGTTTGCCCGCGTACCCAAGCAAACATTCGGGTGGAGTGGAGCCCTTTCCACGCAGCAGGAGTGCCCGGGAAACCCCGGCGATTGGGAGCCCTTTCCGGGCGCCAAGGAGGCTCGACTCCTGGCCACCTGGGATGGAGATGGAGATGGAGTTCCCCCTCTGGCCGCACCACAGATCAAAATATGCAACAAAATACACATGTAACGCGTACTCGTATTTAGACTCTATAACCTATCGAAATATTACGGAGGCGCCTTATGTAAAGGGCAGCCCCTGCCCTTCCGGCAATAATACTCACTCTCCGCCGCCTCTCCTCCCCCAAAAGTTAAGAAGACGATATTTATACCTAGGAGCATTCGCATTCGCATTTGCATTCGCATTCGTATTGTTAAAGAGCCGACTCCAATAAGCTTGAATATATATGGTAAATGCATCCGAGGCATCGCAGCTTCAACTACTCTTCTATATGTGTACGAGTAATGCCCAGATCGAATCCCTGCTGCTTGCATTATGTTCGCCGGCTTTCTGCAACCGAAGGAGCAGGCCTTCCTGCCAGTCCCTAGTTTGTACAATAAGTATCTTGTATGTAATATATAACTTGAGTGTATAATGTGCATGGCCTGTGTGTCCCGGAGAATCCGTCGTTTCCGAATGTGTTCCGAGTGCAATCATCATTTGGGACGGCCGTCGAAATCTGAATCTGAATCTGTATCTGAATCACAATCAGAATCAGAAACAGTGGAAGTTATTGTTTTCGCTTTGCTTTAAGTTTTACTACGCCTAATTTACTCATTTTATTGTTTTCGAGGCCATAAATTGCGTTCTGTTTTGTTCGAAGCAATCGTTTAATGTAGAGGAGGGAGACACAAATTTAATTATAATTTGCATACGAAACGCTGTGTTATTTACTTTTACCAAACAAGCATAAATAAATACAATTAAATAACTATAAAAGTAAGCTTCAAATCAGTCAGGCGCACAGTGCTCTTCTTTTACTACCAACTACCAGGAAAATGTCCTCTTTCCTCGACCTTTAAGCTACCAGCCACACTAACTAGCTAACTCCAAACTAAATGATAAAATGATAAGCAAGTAAGAAGAATCCGTATTGAATATACAAAGTTGCATCAAGTCAAGTCCAAGAAGTACCCCTCTCACATACATATATCATGTCCGAAGGAAAGGAGCCGCCGGAGCGGAGGAGGTCGACTTTCCTGCTGGACGATAATTGATAATTGAATCACATCTATGCACATCTTAGGTACCTTGGTTAGTAAACGAAACCCATGAAAGACAAACACACCACACACAAGAGAAACCGCATAAATGTTTACGACTTCATCATATACGATATACGATTAAATGTATATCAATTACGGTCGCGCTTTATAAGTCAAATGAAAACGTATTTACCCAAAAGCAAATTCAAATGGAGTACGACTTTTTTAGGTCTCTGCAAAGTAACATAAAGAAAGGCTATTAAATCATATAATATGATTCAAAATAAAAGGAATCTCTTAATTGTACGTGTATTTGTAAATTATTTAAAGAGTCCATGTTAAAGTCGAACGAAAAACAAATTAATGACAGCCTAGAATGGAAATTATATTTATTTAATAAATTAGTGAAAGGAGAACACAAAAAAGTTCTATGTACAATGGACAAACCGAAAAACTTTTAAATTGCTTGAATAAAATGAAGAAAAACCACCAGCTGGCATTTGATTTTTGGGGCATGAATTTATGATCCTTTATTTAGTATTAACGACTAAAATTAGGAAGCAAACGTTGCAAACTTTTGACGGAAATGAAAATACCCTCTGCAAGGGTATAAATATGGCAACGGAAACGCAGATCGAAAGTTGAGTGTTGCAAAACCTCTCAAGGTATGGAAATGCTCAAAAATGTGGCGGGCTTTTTAACGGTTCGAGCCCACACTAGCTGCTTACTCAAGATTCGACCCCGTTCTTTCGGGCTTTTTTAGGCCCTTTTTCACAGTGGCTTGGTCACACCGCACAGCCCAGTAAAAAAATAGTTTTTTTTTGTATCCAACTGTAAAAATAAGTTTAAACAAAGCATCTACTCATAAGTTTCATTTTTTTCCGTTAAGTGTCACCATTATTTATTTTTTAAGTGTGCATTCAATAAGAAAATGTCATCGCGAAGGTAAATCCAATAGGAAATACGACAATGTACTACACACACGCACGCACTCGCACACACATACACATGCACGCTCCGCTCCCAACTGGGCTATTTACATATGTATAAGTAGATACAAAAGCAAAGGCAAAGCAAAAAAAAAAGGAAAACAGTAACAAAAAAACTGTTAAGATAAAAAGTGCAATAAAGTTGTTGATGAAGGGGGAAGGGGTGGATGCAGGCGAAAAGTTACTGCTGTGCAGCTACAGCTGTTGCCCACCGGGTAATCAGTGCGGGATCCAGTACCAGTATCGGTTGACCCAAAAGCTTTACAAGCTGCTTGCTATTGCAGTGATATCTACTGCCCACCGAGGATCGAGTGTGGTAACCAGTGACAGTTAACCAAATTCCACGTGCACATCCTTGTGATGCAGACACAGCTGTTGGCCACCCGGTAATCGATGCTAGACCATTGGCTTTCGCCGCAACACCCACAAAACCCCCTTTTTCTGGCACCCGGACACCTAGACACCTAGACATTCTGCCCACCAAGAAATCAGCCTATTAACCAGTGACAGATGACCGAACCCACATAGGCGACTGCACCCACACCAGTAACCAAACCAAAGGCAGTAGACTATGCTAACCACCGTGTTCACCCCCCGCAGATGGTTCCACCCAACGATATCTGGCATCGAAGCTGAGAAACTGCTGCAGGAGCAGGGATTCGACGGCTCCTTCCTCGCCCGCCTCTCCTCCTCGAATCCGGGCGCCTTCACGCTCTCCGTGCGCCGCGGCAACGAGGCGACCCACATCAAAATCCAGAACAATGGCGACTTCTTTGATCTCTACGGCGGTGAGTGACGCGATCCCCTCGAGGGGATCCCCCCTCCCTCGAGCACCCATTTGACGAGTTCGAACAAACCCCCCGTTACCCGTTTTGCAGGTGAAAAGTTCGCCACACTGCCGGAACTGGTACAATACTACATGGAGAATGGCGAGCTGAAGGAGAAGAACGGCCAGGCCATCGAGCTGAAGCAGCCGCTGATCTGTGCCGAGCCCACCACGGAAAGGTGAGTCCCGGAATCCCGGATCAGGGGGCCGATAACGCTAAGGCTAAGGCCAAGAGGCCAAGAGGCTAAGAACGGGCTGCGGAGCCCGGATAGATGGTACGCGGCACGGCACGGTACTCACTCCGAAATGTCCCAGGATGCTGTACGCCGTACTGTTTCATCATTGTTAGCTGTAGTCATGTTCTGTAATCTCGCTGCGGTGATCCCAAATTGTTTGTAAGGTCTGCCATAATTGGAGGCAATTGAGGCTAATCAGCGTTCTGCAAAGAGATGTAACGATGTTATCTTTTAGTTACTTTTATTAAAACAAGCAAAGCCCAAGTGTATCATGGTCATTCGAAAGTTGTTTAAAGAGAAACCCCTGACCCTTTTCCTACTTTTCTGTATCGCATCCCAAAATATCCACGCGCCACTGGAATTAGATCCCCCGGAATTGGGTCACCAGCTAAGCAGACAGCCTGCCCTCACGAAATCCATGACCTACTTTAGTGCCACTCCGTTCCGTCCAAGGATGAGTCGTGTTTGTTTGCTTTCGATTATTGTGAATACGCCATGTTTACAAACGATCTTGTGAGGGCACTCAAGACATCTAAACATCTGCCCAAGCACTGCGCTCATCAGGCTCTCCCAAATCCCAAATGGTATCGGTGCCGGACGACTGGAATGCGAATGGAAACTGGGACAGGGTCGCCACTCGCATCCCTTCCGCCTTGTGCGGTTGTTGTTGTTTTTCCTGCAAGCAGCTGCTTTTACACCCTTGCAGGGGGTATTATCATTTCGGTCAGAAATTGGCAACGCAGTGAGGGAGACATCTTAAAGTATATATTTTATTGATCACCATCATGATCTAATTCGAAACACGTCTGTACATCTGTCCTCCTGTCTGTTTCCATGTAAACCGTTCTCTCAGTTTTGAAGCTATCTTGCTGAAATTTTTCCAAAAGCTGTGTAGTTATTGCACGCAGTATATAAGTCGGATCGGGCAGCTATATCGGATAGCTCCCATAGTAGAGATCGAGAAAAGAACATCACGCCGTTGTGTTTATCATAGCGACTTGATTTCTTTCAGATGGTGTTCTCTAACTACTTTTGAATTTCGAATAAAATTTTATCAAAATCTGATATTTATATCGTATAGAAAGATCGAAATATCTACACAGAATTAACGAAGAATCATGTATATTTTCAAAAATATAGAAAATTAATAGGGAAATCGTCATAGCTTCGATGTTGTTTAGCCTTTGGTTATTTTGTTCGACATATTTGATGACTGCAGGGTATTTAGGCTTCGGCTTTTCGAAGCTGGCTTCCTTTCTTGTTTTTGTGCCGCTTCAGAGGTTTCAGAACCATATCAAATTAATAAACATTTGGCAATTTGTGATGATTTGTTTATATCCGATTCTAGATTTAATCGAATTTTGGGGAGGACCTATAAACACACCCGCAGTTGATCCGAGCTGATAGCAGTAAAGGAATTACGTAAAGCTCATGGATGTGAATATCAGTTCAGGTGGAAACATCTTTTCCAAACAAAGGGGGTATTTGCATATCCATGTGCATATGTACTCGTGTTTAGTTCCACTTAGTGCGATTCTACGTTAAAATATACTGCTGCCTACAATGTGTACAAATTAGCATTTTCACCCGTTAGAACAAAGACGGTTCGACAGCCTGATCATTTCGGCTGTGGGTCAACCCCCTCTCTGTGTAGTTGGAGGGCTTGGCTTGGCGAGCATTGTAACAAGCAAATGGCACATTTCGGAATACTGCAATTACAAGATCTAAGAGTACTTAAACCAGAATACGAGTTCTTGATCGAAATATGGACCAGATCCAGGCGGACGTACTAGTTGTTCGTCTGGATTGCTTTCGGTTCGCTGAGCTCGGCTTGCAGCTTATTTTCGAGGCGAAATGAAATTTGTGGGTGAATAATTTCTAATTCCGATTCCATCTAAGCCACACACCCACACCCACACACCTGTTGCTAACGCAGACACCCACAGCCAAGCAGCCAAGCAGTGACCATACAACCATACAAGCAGTGCATTGTCTTTGTTGCTATTGTCATACTGGCTTTTACAACCCACACGCGCAAAATATCTTCGTTATTTATTGTATTTCTGGCTTATTAATATTTTTGTGCCCGCTGTCTACCCGGGCCGTCAAATATTTTACGGCCCCCCGCTCCTTCTTCTTTCTTTCTTTCTTTCTTTCTGGCTTGTTGCCTTGGCTCGCTTCTTATCGTCGCTTCTGCTTTGGCTTCGTTCCGTGCGCTGCACTTTCCGCATCCTAACGGGTCAGACACCTCGACTGGCTACGCCCCCGCCGCCCCTCCCGCCCCTCTTTGGGGAGCACTAAGGAGAAGTGCAGTATAGCCGAACAGGAATTTCGGATCTAAACTCACAGTTGCTGTCGAGTAAATAGCACTGCATGGCAATCGAACCTTGACAAGAGGTTGTTAAATCCTTCAACTGCTTTACTGCAAGAAAGGGCACTATGACTTTGGCCGTGCCTGTAATTCACTGACGCATTTACTGACCCCTCCCCAACCCACCAGCACTCTGGTTCTCAGCCCCTCCAACCACCTCCAACCACTTATCCTTGACTGAAGCTCGTGACGTTTTTGATATTTGTTCGTTTTGGTTCTGGTTTATTTTTAAAGCCCCTCGATCCGAGCCGCGTTATTTTTAGCCCAAGAGGGTGTTGTACGGCTCATAATCGATCTGCGACTGCGAAAATCATTTGATTGGCGGTGACGTCAAACGAGGCTGGGATGCAATGGAGTACTAATTATAACTTGTATTTCAGGGGTTGGTCAGGGGGTGATTTAATTAAGGCTGAGAGCGTCGGGCTTCCGAAAGTGGGTTTATTGGGGGCTGTGGAAACTTTAGGCGGTCAGTTTATTAATAAACGGATTCGTTTGACTTCTGATATTGGGTTTTATCGCCACAGTAATATGCATACAATGGGCCCTACTAGTTCCATCTCAGATTTAAAAGAAGGTCTGTAAGACATTGGGAATTTCTGTTAAACTGGCAAGGGTTGGGTGGAGAACTTGTTGTTCTGCAGTAACTTTGATCATTGAGCACTAATTTATGCTTTCATGGCGCATTCACCTATTATGTATTCATAAAAGTTCCCGGCGAGTGAGAAGTCCCCCAGAGGAATGCTGATGGAAAAGCGTTGGCCTCGCGGAAAGACATTCTCCAACCTTCTCCATCCCATTTCGCCGGGACAGTCCACCCCCCGATTTCCCACCCATTTCCATTTCTCGGCGCTGATCTTAACCTTTGATCGACTCAGAACTCGAATCAGAACTGCGATCGCCGTGCAACCGAATTGCAAATGACTCGCGGCGATGGCGATGCGGTTAGATTGTTTTTGTTTGCTCACCTGCCCACTTAATCGTTGCAATTAAAGACGATAATTGTTAATTGCTTTAGTTTCGCGCACTTTCTTCCAGTGCTGGGTTGATCTGTCGAGGAGTAAGACAAATCTGACAATCGTCAATTAAGCTTTGAATTGTTTGTGTTGGATAATGGATAATGGGTAGTGGGTAATGGCGTTGCCCACCTACCACCTACCACCTACCCCACAGGCATAGGCACTTCGGGACGGCTCCCAACCCCAACCCCAACCCCTTCGCCTTCGCCATCGCCATCCACTGAATCTCTCAAGTGCCCGGAACGCTAAATGCTTTCAGTTTTCGCCATTAAGACAAGCCTACAAATGGTTTATAAATTATGCCGTGCACGTAGCTCTGACTATTGCTATGTCTGTATTTGTATCTGTATCTGTGCCCCAACCTTCACTGCTATCCGTATCTGTATCTAAGGCATCGGCGTTAACAGCAGCAGTAATAAAAGTCTATGGAAAGGTAGATGGGAAACAGTACCAAGGGGACTTGCGATCACTTTTTCCTGGGTCTAAGAAGAGTCGAATACCTGTTGAAGGTAGGTCCAGGCTACTTCTAATAACGGTTGCCAATCGAAGATAGATTTACCCACCACAAATAATCTTCCTTACACAATTTGAAGATTGATATTTCCAAATTAAAGTTGTTGTTCCCTGTGCACCTACGCACATGAAACGTATATGAATGCATGTATATTTGGCTGCAGGTACTTCACCGACCACCCCCAACCCACCTGGCCCCGTTTTCGGTACCCTCGATCTCGATCTCGATCGTGTCATCCGTCACATACTCCGCTAAGTGGTTGAGTGCGAACCGCTTGCTTGATGCAGGCAAAACTGTACCGCCCCAAACTGCTTGGCGAGAGCCACCAACTGCTTATATAATAGCTATCTATTATCGGAGATTGATTGTGCCTTAATTGTCGACATCAAATGTTAATCGCGCAACTAATTCAAAATGCGGGCTTCCGAGAGCAACCCAAGATCTGTTGACTTGATGATCATGATTTTCACTTTTAATCGAGCCCTTTGATCTTGAATTAGAATGATTTCAAAGCGTCTTTATTAACTTATTAAAGACAAGAAAACAAGCCTTTTAGTACCGTAGTCCTTATCACTGACCCAGTGCTAGTTTATTAAAAACCCACACACAGCTCTATTATGATCCGCCTGAAACTATTGGCTTTAAGTGTTCTTTCCCCCATCAACCGAATTGAATTTAAAACGCACGTATACATACGCAAATCGATATGATCGCTCATTATATTTGGTGTCCTAAACCGACCAGCACACGACAATTTAAAGCTCCCGGCACGAACCGCAAATGCGTCCGTCCCGCAATTAAACATTCAGGTAAATCCCTCGCCAAAACCTCGGCAAAACAAAGAGCCACAAATAAAACGAGAAGAGATTCGGGATTCGGGGCAATAAATGGGATATTCGATTTGTCCGATCGCCGAGGAAATCGAAATGGCGGGGCCAACGAACTGGCCGAGTATTCTTCTCCGAGCCAAAAGGAAAACTTTTCGCCATAAAACAGAGCGTGAGTCCCCGGCTATTTGTGGAACTGGAGAGCTGATCTGGTT